CTAAATAAATAAATCTTTAAAAACAAAGAAAAAGAAATACTGTTGACTTTGAGTGTTGATCTTACATTCTGCCATCTTGCTGAATGGATCTGTTGTAATAGTTTCCTAATCAATTCCAAAGGATTCGCCACATACAGGATTATGTCATGGGCTCGCTTTTCTTACCTAATTCCCAATATTGTGTTGGATAGATGTGGCAAAAACAGATATCCTTGTGGATCTTTGAGGGAAGGCTTTCAATTATTAACCGTGCAGTATAATGTTAGTTAGGAGGTTTTGGTGTATAGCCTTTTGGTTCCAAGTGGAAGAGTGAACTAGAATTAATTTGGGTATGCAAATAGAAGCTTCTGTCCCATGGTGAAAAAATGTGTCATAGCCTGAAGCTATTCATGGCTTCTTGTTCATTGCAGATAAAACCGTTTGTTTTATGTTTCAGCGATGGCTGCCATCCGGAAGAAACTGGTGATTGTCGGTGATGGTGCTTGTGGCAAGACGTGCTTGCTGATAGTCTTCAGCAAGGACCAGTTCCCAGAGGTGTATGTCCCCACAGTGTTTGAGAACTATGTGGCAGATATCGAAGTGGATGGGAAACAGGTGAGCACACTTTTTGTTACAGCTGATGCCACTTTGCATATTAGGCTGTGTGTAGATCTTTAAAGGTTTAGGCCTTTTTGCCTCTTAGTACAGGTATTAACAAAAATGTTGGAAAGAGGGCCCAGTATTGTGTGGAAGGTAATGCAACTCCAGCATCCCATATGGGTGCTGGTCCATGTCCTGGCTCCTCTGCTTCCAAGCCAGCTCACTGCTAGTGGCCTGGGAAAAGTAGTGGAAGGTAGCCTGAGTGTTTGGGCCCCTGCACCCATGTGGGAGACCTGAAAGAATCTCCTGGCTTTAGCTGGCCTCCCCCAGCCATTGTGGCCATTCATTTAGAGAGTGAACCAGTGGATGGAAGATCTCTATCTCTCCCTCTCTCTGAAACTGTGCCTTTCAAGTTAATAAATAAATCATTAAAAAAAAAAAAAAGTTGGAAAAAAATTTTGGAAAGAATAATCTCCTCTCACTTTGCCGCTTTAGTCCACATTTGATCATTTTCTTGTCATCTAAACTTTATCCACATTCCTATGTATTTCACACAAAACAACCTTTGTAGTATATGTGCCCTTTTCAGATTTGTTAATATGAGAAATATAGTTTGTTGCCAAATAGATAGTGCTCAAATGAACCTCTTAATTGATGAACTTTTTTTTGAGATTTATTTTTTATTTGAAAGAGTTACAGAGAAAGGTAGAGACAGAGAGAAACAGGGGTCTTCCATCCACTGGTTGACTCCCCAAATGGCTGTAGTGGCTGGAGCTGAGCCGATCCGAAGCCAGGAACCAGGAGCTTCCTCCAGTTCTTCCAGGTCTCCCATGTGAGTGCAGGGACCCAAGGACTTGGGCCATCTTCAGCTGCTTTCCCAGGCACATTAGCAGGGAGCTGGATCAGAAGTGGAACAGCCAGGACTCAAATTGGCATCGATATAGGATGCTGGCACTGCAGGCAGTGGCTTTACCAGCTACACCACAACGCCAGCCTCTATATATTGCTTAAGCTAAAGCAGGGACAAACTTTTGCTGTCAGCTCAGGTCTCCCCTAATATTCAAAATGGTGTCTTTTTTTTTTCCTTCTAGGATTTATTTATTTGGTGTTTATTTGAAAGGCAGAGAAAGTGTGCCTCCAGCTGCATTCCCGAAATGGCTGTAATAGCAAGGGCTGGCCCAGGCTGAAGCCAAGAGCCAGGAATTCCATCTGTATCTCCCACATGGGTGGCAGGGGCCCAAATACTTGGGCCATTATCCACCACCTTCCTGGATGTATTAGCAGGAAGCTGGATTGGAAACAGAGGAGCCAGAACATGAACTGGTACTCCAGTATGCCAAGCAGCAGCTGAATCCATGCTACCACCACACCAATCCATCTTATTTATATTTACTATTAATAATTATTTGAAAGGCAGAGAGACAGATTTCCTGTTTGCTGGTTCAATACCTTGGAGTCCAGAAATCGGTCTGGTTCTGAACATGCATGGTAGAGACTCAACTGTTAGAGCCATTGTTTGCTGCCATCCATGATGAACATTTGCAGAAAAGCTGGATTGGAAGAAGAGTACCCAGCACTCTGTCCAAACTCTCTGATACGGGATGTTTCAGTTATTGAAGAGAGGGGCACCGAGAAGAAATTGTTGTGTTAGAAGTATTAAGGGTAGTGAATTTGGTATTTCCCTGTCTTGCCTGTGTACCTGGTAAAATGTTATTTACATTTTAAATGTTATCTACATTTTAACCTCCTCTCTTGTCTATTCAGTTTCTTTTCTAGTAGAATGTTATTTAAACATGTCTTACAAGAGACAAAGTTATTTTTTATTTGGCATTTTAAATTATGCCACTTTGTACATTTCTAGTAACTATTTATAAAATTTGTAATTTTGAGAAATTTCAACTTAAAAGACTGAGCACAACTTGTTTGTTTGGGCTTGAGTCTCATCAAAGTGAGTATTTCCTATGTCTTCCTATTTTTTAATTTTTTGCCGTTTGCATGTACTGTCACAGATGTCACTTTTTCTAAGTGGGTTGTGGGATTAACCTTGCACTTTTGTATTTGGTTGTTTTTTTCCATCACAGGTAGAGCTGGCTTTGTGGGACACAGCTGGCCAGGAAGATTATGATCGCCTGAGGCCCCTCTCCTACCCAGACACTGATGTTATCCTGATGTGTTTCTCCATTGACAGCCCTGATAGTTTAGGTAAGTGCCCCTGCAGCCTACTGTTTGTCACTGCCTTCATGACTGACATCTGACTTCTGAGGACTTCTGGGGATCCAATGGCTGAAAATTAGAGTTGGCTGCCAAATAAATAAAAGAGAGACTTGGGCTTGTGGAAGAGTCATCATTGGCTGGATTCTTAGAGCCTTGGGACTGTAGAATATAGACCATGGATCACTTTTCACCATAAGTCTCCATGGCTACTGTTAAATGTATCCACTTGTAAAGTACATGGGTTTCAAATGTAAAGCCATCTCTTAGACTGAGATTTGAAACTGGCTTTTTGGTTTCCCACATCTCTTATCAGTACTTCGTATTTAGCCAGGTACCTCACAACATTGAGACTGGTGATTTGCTTTTCTAATTATTTTTAAAAGCCTTAGTTTAGCTCTTTTCTAAGAAAAGTATCTTAACTTAGAGAGAATTGAACCTGACCATTTCAGTAGCCCAGGTGGCCACATACTTCAAAAGTCATATTTCAGAAAAAGACTAAACCGTGCTGACCACTTCAGTCTCACTTTTTTAAGAACATGTTTTCAAAGGAGGTATTTGGCTTTTTATTTATTTATTTGAAAGGCAGAGTTAACAGAGGCAGAGAGAGAGGTTTTCCATTGCTGGTTCACGCCCCAGATGGCCACAGTGGCCCGAGTAGTGCTGATCCAAAGCCAGAAGCCAGGAATTTCTTCCTGACCTCCCACGCAGATGCAGATGCCCCAGGACTTGGGCCATCCTCTACTGCTTTCCCAGGCCATAGCAGAGAGCTGGATTGGAAGTGGAGCAGCTGGGACTCAAACCAGCACCCATGTGGGATGCTGGCACTGCCGGCGGCGGCCCCAGGTCTTTGGCTTTTAGCACCTGCCTGTTATCAGCCACTTCTTGTTTCTTGGTGCTCCTACTGCAAAGGGCAGACCCAAGGAAAGAGAGCAAGGTCAGGAAGTAAGTAGCAGCAAGAGTTGGAGCTCCGTTCTGCACCACCAAAGGATAGGGTCTGCGTGCTGGGAAAGCTGTGCTGCCACTGGCCGTTACTGCAGGAGAGTTTGATAGTGGGTGGACCCTCTTGCTGAGTGGACTGAGCTTTCACTAATCTGTGTTAGGGAGTGAGGGCAGAATCCCACTAGTTTGCCCCCATGAGAAATCAGAAGTCTAAATCAGGAAACTGAGAAGCTAATGTGTGGGGAGCAACTCGGACTAGACTGTTACTGGAATTAAGACTTATTCTATGCATCTGCTCTCCCACAATATAGCGCTGAGAAGGGAGTAACAACTTCTACGCAGCTGCCTCTCGCCAACTTGAGTGATGACCTGCAGGAGCTGATCCTGCTCCTGATTGGAGGAGAGCAGCGTACTCGGCGTGTGGGTAGCAGAGTTGGGATTGGTGGAAGAGGACTATAAAGGAGGAGAGAGACAACATGCACCAGGGACATCTAAGGGGAACACCTGAGCAGCCCCCGAGAGAGCCGGCCGGCGGTGTGCCGCTCCCCCGCGGAAGTGGGGAAAGTGGCAGGGGGAACCGCCCTTCCACGGAGGTGGAAGGGTCGGTAGCCAACCCGGGAAGAACCAGCAGCAAACCCGGGGGTGGGGGGGCGAGCAGACGGAAGAACAGCGCAGGGTCCTGTGTCGTTCCTCCACGAAGACAGGGAGCGACACTAATGTTAACCTCTCCCTCCCTCCCTCCCTCCCTTCCTTCCTTCCTTCCTTTTCACAGGCAGAGTTAAGACAGACAGAGAGAAAGGTCTTCCTTTTCTGTTGGTTCACCCCCTAAATGGCTGCCATGGCCGGCGTGTTGCGCTGATCAGAAGCCAGGTGCTTCCCCCTGGTCTCCCATGCGGGTGCAGGGACCCAAGCACTTGGGCCATTCTCCACTGCCTTCCCGGGCCACAGCAGAGAGCTGGCCTGGAAGAGGAGCAACCAGGACTAGAACTCAGGGTGCCAGCACCGCAGGCAGAGGATTAGCCAAGTGAGCCACAGCACCGGCCAATAAAGTGCATTTTTAAAAAGATTGATATGTTTATTTATAAGGCAGTAGTAGAGCGAGAGAGAGCATGATCTTCTATTCATTGATTCACTTCCCAGATGACTGCAATGACCAGGGCTAGGCCAGGCCAGAGCTATGAGCCGCGAGCTTCCAGGTCTCCCACATATGGGATGCTGGCATTGCAAGTGGCAGCTTTACCTGTTTACACCACAATGCCGGCCTCTCACGCGTCTGATTGACAGATCTGGAGCAGTACAGTCTGCTGTTGGATTTGCTCCACAGATGCAAGGAAAGGATGTCCTTGTGCTTTCTGTCTGCCTGACTGTGGCAACCAAGACTGAATTATGAATGAATACAGGGGAAAAACATGGAGAGACAATCTTTGCAGTCTGGGAATGACCTTGAAAACAGTGAAGGGCTTGTTATACCCCAAAGAAGCAGCTAAAACTTGAGTTTATATAATAAGTGTTATGAAATATTCCCTTCCACTCTCACCTGGTAATTATATTTTGAAAAAAGTAAGGGTTAAAACAAGTTAACGGCCTGCGCCGCGGCTCACTAGGCTAATCCTCCGCCTAGCGGCGCCGGCACACCAGGTTCTAGTCCCGGTCAGGGCGCTGGATTCTGTCCCGGTTGCCCCTCTTCCAGGCCAGCTCTCTGCTGTGGCCAGGGAGTGCAGTGGAGGATGGCCCAAGTACTTGGGCCCTGCACCCCATGGGAGACCAGGAGAAGTACCTGGCTCCTGCCTTTGGATCAGCGCGGTGCGCCGGCCGCAGCATACCGGCCGCAGCGTACCGGCCGCGGCGGCCATTGGAGGGTGAACCAACGGCAAAGGAAGACCTTTCTCTCTGTCTCTCTCTCACTGTCCACTCTGCCTGTCAAAAAAAAAAAAAAAAAAAAAAAAAAAAAGTTAACAAAAATTAAATTAAAAGCAAGCTAGTGGAGAGGGTGTTGTGACACAGTTAAATTATACTTGGGGGGCCGGCACTGCAGCATAGTGGGTAAAGCGCCACCTGTAGCACTGGCATCTCATGGGCACCAGTTTGAGTCCCAGCTGTTCCACCCAGTCCAGCTCTCTGGTATGGCCTGGGCAAGCAGTTTAAGGTGGCCCAAGTGCACTAGCGTGAGAGACCCAGAAGAAGCTCCTGTCTCCTGGTTCAGATCAGCACAGCTCTGGCCATTGCAGCCATCTGGGGAGTGAACCAGCAGATGGAAGACCTCTCTCTCTCTCTCTCTGCCCCTCCTCTCTGTGTGTAACTCTGAATTTGAAATATATATATAAATAAATATATATATAATAATTTAATATAATAATAATATAAAATATATATAAATATATATAAATAAATTTTTTTTTTAAGCAAGCCAGTGAATCTTCAAAAGATAAATCTCCATGCAGTTTCAGCATTGCTGCTGCTGGCTAATGCTGACAACAGTTTCCCTTTTGGAACCTCTGCTTTCTCACAGACAGTTGATCTAGAGTCGAGATTCTAGTCAAGACCTGGAGTTGGCAGACTTCTTTAAAAGGCCAAACACTAAGTATTTTTGGCTTTGTAGGCCATGTGGTTTCTTTACAACTTTTATTTATTTATTTATTTATTTATTTATTTTTGCCAGGCAGAGTTAGAGAGAGAGAGAAAGGTCTTCCTTCCGTTGGTTCACTCCCTAATGGCCGCTACGGCTGGCACTGCGCCGATCTGAAGCCATGATCCGGGTACTTCCTCCCGGTCTCCCATGCGGGCACAGGGCCCAAGGACTTGGGCCATCCTCCGCTGCCCTCCCGGGCCACAGCAGAGAGCTGGACTGGAAGAGGAGCAACCGGGACCAGTACCCGGCTCCCCGACTGGAACTGGAACCTGGGTTGCCGGCGCCACAGGCAGAGGATTAGCCAAGGGAGCCCCGGTGCCAGCCTTTTTACAACTATTTAATGTTGCCACAACTACTTACTTCTGCCTTTGTAGCACAAAAGCAGCTGTAGAAAATACATAAATGAATGAGTTTTGATGTGTTCCAATAAAACTCGACTTACGAAAAGAGATTCCAGATAAGATTTTATTTGCTGGCCTCTGATCTAGATAAGGGATCCTTTTTTTTAGTTTAATTCCCAAAGCCAAAACCCCTACTGTCTACTGTAAAATTACATAAATCAATGTTCCCTAATGTGATCAGATTACTTTGGAGGTAGGAAAAATTATAGATGATGGACATGGTGAATTAAGATAAAATAAAAAATGGGATTGGCACAGTGGGTTAAGCCATTGCTTGCAACGCTGGCATCCCACAGTGGAGTGCTGGTTCAAGTCCTGGCTGCTCTGCTTTCTTTTTTTAAGATTTATTTATTTGAAAGGCAGAGCATCCAAGAGGGAGAAACAGAGAGATTGTGCATGCCTCAGGTTCCATGAGAGGTGTTAGCTTTTGGTATGATTTTCTGTAGTCAATGAATAATTATTGAGCATCTATTAATAGAAGTTTTTTTTTCTAGATAAAAGGAAAGAGAAGAATCAAAGCAGGATGAAGTAAATCAAAGAACAGTAGGGGCTGCATTGTGGTGCAGCAGGTTAAGCCTACATTTGGGATTCCCACATCCTACATTAGAGGGGCTGGGATTGAATTCTGCCTCTGCTTTTGATCCTGCTTCCTGCTTATGCACCTGAGAGGCAGCAAATGGTGGCCCAAGTGCTAGGAGATCTGGCTGGAGTTCCTGGTTCCTGGCTTTGGCTTGGCTCAACCCTGGCTATTGCAGGCATTTGAGAAGTGAACCAGTGGATGGAAGATACATAATATCTGTTGCTCTGCATTTCAAATAAATAACAACATTTATGGATGTGTTCTATGGCAGTATGCTGTTTAAGTAAGGTGATCAGTGATGGTCTCACTGGAAGTAGACCAGAAGGCTGTAAGAAGGTCAGTGTAGATACCGAACAAGAGAGCTTTCCAAGGTAGAGGAAATAGCAGGCACAACATCACTGAGGCAAAAAGGAAGGGATCGAGTAGCTTTGGTGGCCCAGAACTGGGTTAAGGTGCTGCAAGTGGCTCCAGCATCCCATATGGGTGCCAGTTCAAGCCCTGGCTGCTCCATTTCTGATCCCGTTCCCTTCTAATATGCTTGGGAAAGCAGAAGATGGTCCAAGTACTTGGGCCCTGGCACCCTTGTGGAAAACCCAGATGAAGCTCCAGCTCCTGGCTTCCCAGCCCTAACCTTTGCAACCATTTGGGGAGTGGAGCATTGCATGAATGATCTGTCTCTGCCTCTGCCTAACTCTGCCTTTTGAATAAATAAGTTTAAAAAAAAAAAGCTGCAGAGGCGATGAGGATGAGAGTGAGGATCCCCTCCTTTCATTGTGAGTAAGGATGGAAGCTTTTGAAAGTTGGAGCAAGGGAATGATGGAATCTGATTTGCCTTTTAAAGGGATCAGTGTGACAAGTGAACTAACCATAGGGTTCGAGGATAAAGAGCAAGTTTCATTGCTGAAAGCTGTTTGGTTTCACTGTTAGACATGCTGGCCCTTTTCTCCTGATTGCTCTAAGGACCCGGATGGTGCACTTCTTTGGGAATCCCTGTATTCCAGAGTACGTCTTTGAGTTTGATGTCACATTAGCAATGTAATTGACTGTATAGCTGCTGTAGGAAGGGAATGGTTGAGTCTCCATGTGTGTACTGAGGAGTGGAACATTGAGCTATGAGACCTTCCCTGCCACACTCCATAGCTTCTCTGCTTGATGTGGCCTTTCACCCAGAGGACAGAACATCTTTCCGCATTCTGAGTAACCCCTAGCTTTTGGTAATGTGTCTTCAAGTCAAGGAGTGAATAATTTATTTTTAAAATATAATCTCAGATAATAGTACCATCTGAATGATCATCATATTAAGTACTTCATATGCATTCACTCAGTCACCCTAGGCAGGCTAAGTATTGCTGTCTCCATTTGATAGGTCATCCCTGCCACAGAGAGAACGACCACTCGCTGTGTCCTAGAGATTCAGTTTGGGGCCCTCATCCACCATGATACATTATACAGCCTTTCCAAGTTGGTATCATGTTGCCTAGAAGCTACAGTTGGTTATCTTTTGGATGTTTTCAGTCAGTCTTTTTTTTTTTTTTTTTTTTTGACAGGCAGAGTGGACAGTGAGAGAGAGAAACAGAGAGAAAGGTCTTCCTTTGCCGTTGGTTCACCCTCCAATGGCCGCCACGGCCAGCGTGCTGCGGCCGGTGCACCGTGCTGATCCGATGGCAGGAGCCAGGTACTTATCCTGGTCTCCATGGGGTGCAGGGCCCAAGCACTTGGGCCATCCTCCACTGCACTCCCTGGCCACAGCAGAGAGCTGGCCTGGAAGAGGGGCAACTGGGACAGAACCCAGTGTGCCGGCGCCGCAAGGTGGAGGATTAGCCTAGTGAGCCGTGGCGCTGGCCCACAGTCAGTCTTGATCTACTTGAATCCAAGGGTGGAGGTCCATGAGCAATGAGGACTGAGCCTCTGCTGGTGGCACCAGCATCCCATATGGGCACCACCAGTTCATGTCCCGGTTGCAGCACTTCTGATCCGGCTCTCTGCTTATGGCCTGGAAAAGCAGTGGAGGATGGCCCAGGAGCTTGGGCCCCTGTAACCATGTGGGGGACAGGAAGAAACTACTGGCCCCTTATTTCCAACCAGCCCAGCTCTGGCCGTTTGGGGAGTGAACCAGAGGATGGAAGGCCTCTCTCTGTCTGTCTCTCTCTCCCTCTCTCTAACTCCATCTCTCAAATAAATAAGTCAATCTTTTTATCTTTTAAATAAAAAACAGAGATGACATGTGGACCTTGGGCCAGCTGCTGCCCCAGAAGGGCGACCCCTTTTGTAAGCTGCAGTCAGAATTGTCTGCCACAAAGACCTGTGGGAAGTCTCCCTAGGGCTATTGTGGAGCTTCTCTGTGTTCTGGAGCCTCCGTGCCTTCTGAGCCCTTACTTGGGCCCTACCTCCGCAGGAGCTTGGCCATCTCTCTTGAAAAGCCTGTGGCTCAGTGTTTAAGGGAGGGGCTTAGATTTGCATTTTTCTGTCATTTTTAAAACTAGGAGGATTCCATTAAATGTTCAGCATACTTCTGAAGCAGCAAAGGAAGTATTTGCAATTAGAGCTGAAGGATATTCTTCAAGATGGAATTATTTGTAGCCCCATATTTGTGCATTTTTTCTTTCAGAAAATATCCCAGAAAAATGGACCCCAGAAGTGAAGCATTTCTGTCCCAACGTGCCCATCATCCTGGTTGGGAACAAGAAGGATCTTCGGAATGATGAACACACAAGGCGGGAGCTAGCCAAGATGAAGCAGGCACGGTCTGGGGCGGGCTCTGTCTTCTGTAGCCGTCTCGAATGGGGGTCCCAGGGTTGGCTGTTCAGGGAATCCAGCAGAAAGCCTCACAGGCCAGGTTGTTTTAGATGCCTCTCTATCCATCTGGCCCTCAGTGACTTGTGACCTTAACACATGATCGATCCCTAAGACTCCTTACTCCTATGAGATGGGCTCTCTTAGGCAGTAGCACTGTACCATCCATCCAGGAACCATCCCAGTAAGTAGTCAAGGCTTCTGAGGTAGGAACTTCATCAGCCTCTTCATTTATTGTTTTGGCACATGTGAGGCCAAAGATAAAGTAGTAGCAACTAAAGAAGCAGGAAGTCCCAAGGCATGGAGTCCAGACAGAAGACTCTAATGCTTTCATTAAAGTGATGATGGAGGTAGCATCTTGGCTTTTTAGAATCTAGTCAGGTGGCAGGCTGGGTGTTGAGCACAACGTGTAAGGCACTGCTTTACATTGCCCATACCCATGTTGGAGGGCCTGGTAGGAGTCCTGGCTCAGCTTCTGATCCAGCTTCCTGTTAACACACTGGAAGCCTTTAGAGGATGGCTTAAGTATTGGGGCCCCTGCCACCCATGTGGGAGACTAGGAGGGAGCCCTGGCAGTTACAGACATTTGGGGAGTGAACTCTTAGATTGAAGATCCTGTCTCTGCTTTTCAGATAAAATGGGAATTAAAAGTTCCAAGAGGCCTAATGGCAGGGCTTCCTCCAGAGCAGGAGGAACGTTGAGGTCTTCAAACCAAGTTCTCCCGCTGAGGTCTGAATGGGAGGACAGTCTCAGTCTCTCCATGGCATTCAGTCCTCTGTGGAAGACCAGTGCTTGCCCTGGATAGGCAGCTTGAGTAATTTAATCGGTGATTCTTTCCTTAGCTTTCCTCTGACTTCTTCCCTCTTCCTCATTTCTTCCCAAAAAAGCATGTTTAATAAGATTTTATATTGGAAAAGGAGTAGTCACTGCATTTCAGTGTCACAATTTCATAAGATAGTTTAAATTTGGGACTTTGGCAACTTAGAACTTTGAGCTGAATCTCTAACTGCTTACTGTGTGTATTTAGTACTGTTAGCTGACAGCATTCTTCTTTGTTGCAGGAGCCAGTAAAACCTGAAGAGGGCAGAGATATGGCAAACAGGATTGGCGCCTTTGGGTACATGGAGTGTTCAGCAAAGACCAAAGATGGAGTGAGGGAGGTTTTTGAAATGGCCACGAGAGCGGCTCTGCAAGCCAGACGTGGGAAGAAAAAATCCGGGTGCCTTGTCTTGTGAAACCTCGCTGCAAGCACAACCCTCACGCGGTTAATTTTGAAGTGCTGTTTATTAATCTTAGTGTATGATTACTGGCCTTTTTCATTTATCTATAATTTACCTAAGATTACAAATCAGAAGTCATCTTGCTACCAGTATTTAGAAGCCAACCATGATTATTAACGATGTCCAGCCCGTCTGACCAGCCAGGGGCTTCTGACACTGCTCTAACAGCCCTCTCTGCACTCCCACCTGACACACCAGGCGCTAATTCAAGGAATTTCTTAACTTCTTGCTTCTTTCTAGAAAGAGAAACAGTTGGTAACTTTTGTGAATTAGGCTGTAACTACTTTATAACTAACATGTCCTGCCTGTCATCTGTCAGCTGCAAGGAAGCTGAGTTAGCACCTCAGAGCTTGACTCCTTCAAAGATGGCATTCGGCATAGCTCTGGGGTGGGCATCCAGTTTTTTTTTTAAAATGTGCTCAGCCAGAAAGGTCCGAGACGTTGCAGCTGTGGCAGAGTTACAGTTCTGTGGTTTCATGTTAGTTACCTTATAGTTACTGTGTAATTAGTGCCACTTAATGTATGTTACCAAAAATAAATATATCTACCCAGACTAGATGTAGTATTTTTTGTATAATTGGATTTCCTAATACTGATATTTGTCATCCCCACAGAAAGTGTATTGGTTTTTTTAAAAAAAAGAAAGTGTATTTGGAAATAAAGTCAGATGGAAAATTGATTTTTTAAATTCCCGTTTTGTCACTTTCTCTAATAAAAGATGGCCATATCACCCCACCTCAGCCCCACGTATCCCAGTGCCCCTCTCCAGAGCTGGGTTAAGTACGTAGGAATTTGGTTTTCAACTGTGGAAAGTGGCATAGCCTTTCTCCTGGACTGCAGGGTCTGGCTCTGATTCACAGTGCTCTTTCTCCTCACTGCAAGAGGAGCCACCCACCTCAGAGGCGGCACCGGCTTCTCTGCTCTCCACCGACTAGACTTTTACTGTGTGCCAGTTACGTTTTCCAACTACTAATAGAATAAAGGCAGTTTTCCAAACTTGAGTGTCTTGGTGTTTGTGTTGCTCTCTCCAGGGCTGAGGGCAGGAGGATCGAAGGACTCCGCCCTCTCACCCTGGCCCACCCCTCGGGTTCCTTCCCCCCAGAGAACACGGACGTGATTATTCTGTGCCACTTTCAAGTTCACCGTCGGGAGTGGGTGGGAACGCACTCCGGGCGGCTTCTCGGTGCTGGTGAGGGTTCTGGGCGACACCCGAGCCCCAGGCTTTAGGGCATTGTACTGCTCAAAACCTGTGTCAAGGCAGTGCAGCCCTGGGGCCGACTGGGCATTGGCAGACTGGGACCGAATGGGAGCACGCTCTTGGCAGCCTCACCGCGCAGAGCCTGGTGACCTGGGTGGCCCTTGGCGTTCCTGCCCAGCGCCAGGGAGCCCCGCCGCGCAGAGCTGCTGCCCACTGCAGCTTCACCCCGTCTTAACTGCGGGACAGCTGGCGACAGTAGGGCACACGCTGCAAGAGGAACACGGCAGAGGAGAGGGCGCTCTGCTGGACCCCTCTACCAAGGCTCACACCCTAAGGAGCTTTTAGGACAGCTTCCAGGGGGCCCTCGGCGCTGTTACCCAGGCCCGTGTGGTCGGACCTTGGCTTCTGGCCGCACCTTCCCGCCGGTCCCCAGCTGCGGGAGGGGCCGAGACCCTTCGGGGAAGGCGGAGGCCGGATGAGGCGGGACCCTCGGGCCCGGAAAAAGTGCCTGCGCCACGTGACCCTGCCGCCGACCAGTTAAAAGGAGGCGCTGCCGAACACCCCAGCTCCGCGCTTCGGAAGCTCCGCTTTGTCTCACACCATGTGTGCGGCTCGTATGGCGGCGGCTGCCCAGTCTGTGTACTCCTTCTCAGCGCACCCGCTGGCCGGCGGGGAGCCCGTGAACCTGGGCTCCCTGCGGGGCAAGGTGCTGCTCATTGAGAATGTGGCGTCGCTCTGAGGCACTACGGTCCGGGACTACACCCAGATGAACGAGCTGCAAGAGCGCCTCGGGCCCCGGGGCCTGGTCGTGCTCGGCTTCCCGTGCAACCAGTTTGGGCATCAGGTGCGCGGGGCGGGGGTAGGGGGCGCTGGCGGGGCTGGGGGCGCGCAGCCGCGGTCAGGGGCGCTGGCGGGGCGGGCCCTCGCTCCCTTCCCTTCCCCAGCGCGTCACGACTGGAATGCAGGCGCACACCGGGGTTGGGCTCCGAAGGCCACTTCCTGGTGACTCATCAAAACCTCCTTGTTTGCGGTTTGAAGTTTCCATGCCCTCCCTCCCGCGGCCGCGGGTCCTAGCTGCCCTTCTCTCCTACAGGAGAACGCCAAGAATGAGGAGATTCTGAATTCCCTCAAGTATGTCCGGCCTGGAGGCGGGTTCGAGCCCAACTTCATGCTCTTCCAGAAGTGCGAGGTGAACGGCGCCAAGGCGCACCCGCTCTTCGCCTTCCTGCGGGAGGCCCTGCCGGCGCCCAGCGACGACCCCACTGCGCTCATGACCGACCCCAAGTTCATCACCTGGTCCCCGGTGTGCCGTAACGACGTTTCCTGGAACTTCGAGAAGTTCCTGGTGGGCCCCGATGGCGTCCCGGTGCGCAGGTACAGCCGCCGCTTCCCCACCATCGACATCGAGCCCGACATCCAAGCCCTGCTGTCCAAGGGGTCTGGCGGTGCCTAGGGCGCCCCCTACCCTGGCTGCTTGCCAGTGGCCTGCTGCTCTCTGGGGGTTTCATCCATGAGGGCGTTCCCCCGAAAACAAATGGAGGAACGCCTGATGTCCGGGAAACCCCCAGGTGGGCGCTGGTCCTGTCCATCCCTGCCTCTCCTCTGCCAGCCTGAGGCGAGCTTCTTCGCTAATAAAATGCTGAGTTCCAGTACACCTGCACTGTGTTCTGTGTCAGTGTCTGCTTGGGGACACATTTCCTATTAGCATTGGGTCTTATTTCTGCTAGGTCATGCAACAGGGCCACCCAGAGGCCCAGCCGCAACAGAAAACCCTTACTCGGAAAGAGGAAGGCCCATGGCTTGGCCCGCCTGCCTGTCCTGGTAGAGAGGCCATTCCTTTGTTTCCTGGACACTGAGAGATGACCACCACAAACTCAGGTCCCCACTCGCTTCAGTCTGGCCTCTCTAAGTGTTAGGCCACACAAGCCCCTTGTACACAGTTGGAAGCTCATGTGATCTAGTTGGCCAGATCTTTCCATTTTGGGACCCAGTGCTTGAACCTGTTCAGGGCCAGTGCTGTGGCGTAGCAGGCTGAGCCTCCGCCTGCAGCACCAGCATGTCCCATATGGGCACCGGTTCATGTCCCAGCTGTTTCTCTTCAGATCCAGCTCTCTGCTCAAGGCCTGGGGAAAGCAGTGGAAAATGGCCCAAGTGCTTGGGTTCCTGTACCCACATCAGAGACCCAGAAAAGGCTCCTGGCTTCAGATCAGCCCAGCTCTGGCCGTTGGGGAGTGAACCAGTGGATGGAACTATTTCTCTTCCCCCACCCTGTGTCGTTACAAGGTGGGATGTTCTAACAAAAACTGGAAGCCACTAAAAGTAAACATGTGTGGGTTGTTGGTTGAACATTAAAGAAACCTTTGGTACCAGAGGGCATCAGATGCTGGGCAGCTGGCGCCAGCAATTGAAGTCAAGCAGGAATAGGTGTTGATTGCTGATTGGCTAAATGCATGCTCACCATGCCTGCACGATTAACTTCTAATAACAGAATTTGGTTTTATCTTTAAACAACCCTCCCCTCCACCCCCATCACACTGCAACTGGCTGCTGTTTTCTCTGTGAGAAAGGCAGTAGCCAGCAGGCTAATGGCTGTGTTTTAATGGGTGCACCCCGCAACAGTATAACTCTGCCTCTCATAAAAACAAAAGCCTGCTCTGAGGCATCCTTACTGTGGCTGCCTCATGTACCAGTGAGAAGGGTGCAGTTTAACTGGCCCCCCTGACTCGTGCCTAGCACCTGAGTGTGATGACTCGCTCAGGCCCTATAGCAGGGCCTATCTCCGAGCCCAGCTGCTGCTCCTCAGGTCCAGCCCCTTCATCGGTAGACCTTGCTGCAAGTAATCTTTAAAGACAGACCTGGAGCCATTTCTTGTCAATGCAGGGGCCTCTGCTGGGTCTGGGTGCAGGGTTGCTGGAGCAGATAGGGACCCAGAGACAGGTTGGCAGTGTCTCCTGGTCCAGAATGTACACCAGTTTTTGGTATCCCAACATTTGTGCTCCGGTTGGCTCAAGGCCCTTCCCATGTCTGAGCCAACTCTCAACTTTTCCTCTGGCAGAAAGTAGGGATCTTTGTTACTATCTCCCGCCTGCTCTCCCCGCCCCCCACCGCCACCATAGTCCGTGTGCCTTCAGATCACTGCAGGGTGAATGACCCTCTGCACCTGCCCTGGCCAGGCACCCAAGGACTTGGGCCATCTTCTGCTTCCCCAGGCCATAGCAGAGAGCTGGATCAGAAGTGGAGCAGCCAGCACCGCAAGTGACAGCTTTACCTGCTATACCACAGCACCAGCCACTAAATAAATCTTTTTAAAAGATATCTCTTCCCAGCCCTGGCCATTGCAGCCATCTGGGAAGTGAACCAATGGATGGAAGCTCACTCTGTGTCCTTGTCTCTTGAATTCTGCCTTTCAAATAAGTAGATTATCTTTAAAAAACAAAAAGATGCCTCTTGGAATATTTACATCCCATATTGCAGTGCCTTGATTCAAGTCCCACTTTGCTCTTAATTCCAGCTTCCTGTTCATGCATACCTTGGGAGAAGGCAGGAAACAGTTTAAGTAGTTGAATCCCTGCCGCTCACTTAGGGGACCTGAATTGAGTTTCTGGCCCCTGACTTCAACCCCAGCCATTATAAGTATTTTGGGCATAAATCAGTGACTGGGAATTGTCTTTGACCATGTCTCTCTGCCTCTCAAATTTTAAAAAAGTAAAGCTATGTTGCAAGGAATATGCAGATGGAGATATCTGGGGCAGGTGGTTACAGGAGGCTCAGGAGAGGAGTGTGGGTTTAAAAGCAAAGGTCTGGCTAAGGAGACAGTGGCCAGTGGGGAGGATGAGGCCCCCTGTGGAAAGCAGCCACAAACAGATCAGAGGACCAAGGCCTGAGGTTTATGGATTCAGAATCCTTGGTCGGGGGCCGGGGGCAGAGAGAGGCAGCTAGGGAGTAACAGGATGGAGTCAAGGAGTCGAGGGAAAGGGCTTTTCGTAAAGAACCATCAGCTGGCAGGGTGGGCCTTTACCCTAGTTACTACAGCCCACACTGAACTTCCAGTCCCTGCCCCACCGCCTGCTTCCTGCTAATGCACACCCAGGAGACAGTGGTGATGGCTCAAGCAATTGGGTTCCTGCCACTCATCTGGGCACTTGGGGAGGGAACCATCAGATAAGGTACCTCTCTCCCGCGCTGGCTCGCTCTCTGCCCCTCATATACATTTTTTGAAAGTTAGAAAAAGGACTAGGATAAGGGCTGTGACCTGAGCACTGCTCGGCAAGTGCAGTCTCAGGGCTGTAGCCGGAAGGGAAGGAGAAGCCAGGCGTGTGGGATGGAGCGGGTCCGGTTCTGGGAACTGAACGCGCAGTGCCTGACAACCACTTGTGAAAGTGTGTGTGAGCCCTGGTCCATCTCCACAGGGGCTACCCTGGAGAACCCTGGGGGACCTAGGAAGCGACTCAGTGACCTATCAGCTGGATCTCCCAATCCAACTCGCACCCCCTAGGTGCCTGGGCCACACTGGTTAGGCTACAGGGGCTTTCCAAACTGCAACCTCTTCGCCTCGGGCTGCCTGGTGACTCACCCCTGCCCGCCCACTCTTTCCCCCTCTGTTTATGTCTTGGGTTGCCAGGGAAGGGAACTTCTGGCGGCCAATGTGGCTGGTCCCGCCTGGGGAACATTGCTCTTCAGATCAAAGGGCCTGTCTCCCTCAACCCAAAGTTCTTCAGGAACAGCGGCGTAGGGCCAGCTAAGACTTCCACAGTGTCCCCGCTAAGAACCTGGACATCGTTCTCCAACACAGATGCCGACGCAGACACCCCACCCCCATCCCATTGTTCTCAGTCAACTGTGTCACTGCTACTACCCTGCACCCACCCCACCCCATTGTGAATCAGCAGTGCCAAGAACAAGTAAGAGAGAAGTCACACTCAGCCCGCCAGGGATCCTGGCCTGGGGCAGAAATGGCTGCCGGGCATCGTTTAGGCCACAGACCTTCTGGGAAGGGGATGGGCTTCCCTGTTACTCAACTAGGCTGAAAATCTTCCATTTTCACAGTTCTTGCAGAAATGCTTTTTGTTTGTTTTTCTTTTAAACATTACATGTGATCAAATTAGGTCAGGCACATCTTGCACAATTAGCCCTTGAACCAAATGACTTCCTTTTAGAAGGGTCTCAGTGTAGTTCCACAAAGAATGTTCATTTATTATTATTTTTTAGATTTATTTATTTATTTGAAAGGCAGATTTACAGAAAGGGAGAGGCAGAGGCAGAGGCAGAGAGAGAGATATCTTCTATCCCTGGTTCACTCCCCAGATGGCTGCAATGGCAGGACTTGGGCTGATCCAAAGCCAGGAGCCAGGAGCTTCTTCCAGGTCTCCCACGCAGGTGCAGGGGCCCAAGGACTTGGGCCATCTGCTGCTGCTGTCCCAGGCATGTTAGTAGGGAGCTGGGTCAGAAATGGAGCAGGCGGCACTTTGATATGGGATGCTGGTGGCTTCACCCGCGGAGCCACAGGGCTGGCTCCCATCCTTCAGCTGTGATCTTCGCATCAGCTTCCTGCTGATGTACTCCAGGAGGCAGCAGATGATGGCTCAAGTCCATGGGTCCACATGGGCTGCAGGACTTGCCCAGCCCTGATTGTGGTGGGCATTTGGGGAGTGAACCAGTTAATGGAAGGACTCTCTGTCTCTCCCACTCTCTGTAAGTTGACCTCTCAAATAAATAAATAAATCTTAAAAAAGACACGCCTACTGAGAATTTGTTCTGTGCAAAGGACACACACACACACACAAATTAACATCTAAAAACTTATTCACAGCTCCGACTTGATGGTAACAGAATCAGAGGAAGAAAAAAAGACACTAGCCACACCTGAGCTTAGGGTGCCACACCCTCCCTGCCCAAACAGGGTTGGCCACCAACAGTGGTGGAACCAGAATGGAATCTGTTCATCAGCATGACTCCCAGTGTAAGTAAAATGATCCCACTTCCTCTCCGTGAGACTCGGGCACCTTCCTCAGTGACTGAATCTTCATATAAAAGGGGAAGATATTTTATTCTTCTAAAGTGTACTTCAACATTTTTTCACAATCCCTTGGGCAAATTAAGGAAGTACAAGGAAGACGTATAATTTTCTCTCCTGCTGCACCTTCTGATTAAGATGTGCGATTCCTGCCTCGTGTCTTCTGACGGCTGCCCAAGTGCGCAGCAAGGGTAACTCAGGAGGGCCACGTCCAGTGAAATAGAGAGAAAGCTGTAGTACCAGCCGAGGCAAAACTGGTGATTTGGAGCCAAAGTTCAAAGTTCACACACCCGGACAGTTAGATCATCCCAGTCCAAAATCAAGCAGCCTGTGACCAGTCAGGCCTGTTCCCTCCAGTCTCCCAGTCCTGCTTTCTCTTCTGTCCTTGCGGCCCAAGCTCTTGTCTCAGTGAGTGACCTACCCAGTTTAGGAGCTGGGGACCCCTCTCCCTCGGGTGCAGCACAGTCATGGGACCAGCATGATCTCTGAGCTGAATCACTCACTCTGTATTTCCTCCCTAGTCACTAGGTCATTCCCACAACAGCAGAAACACACAAGGAGATGCTAGCTACTTCTCAATTAAAAAAAAATGTAAAATCTAAAAATCTAACAAAGCTTAAAGACATTGAAAATTATACATATACACATATACACACACATACATATATAAGAGAGCAAAGAGGAGCTGATACTATGGCCCAGCAGGTTAAGCTGCTGCCTGCGTCCACTCTGGGCACCGATTCAAGTCCTGGCTGCTCCACTTCTGATCCAACTCCCTGCTAATGCACCTGGAAAAGCAGAGGAAAATGGCCCAAGTGCTTAGGTCCCTCCACTCACATAGGAGACCCTGATGAAGCTCCTGGTTTCTGGCTTCTGCCTGATCCAGCTCCTGGGAGGTTGTGGCCATTTAGGGAGTGAACCAGTGGAAGGAAGATCTCTTTCCCTCTCCCCCTCTCTCTGTAACTCTGTCTTTCAAACAAATAAATAACAGTTTTTTTTTTTAAAGAGTTAAGAGAAAAGCAGAGGCAGTGCTGGCCGCAACAATAAATCTTCTAAAAAGAGAGAGAGAGAGAAAAAGAGAGAGCACGCAGAAAAAGGACTCACTTGAAGGTGAAATGTGGCCAGAGCAGTCATTTCTTTCATTTATTTGAAAGTCAGAATGAGAAACACACACACACACACACACAAATATGGATTTTCCACCTGCTGGTTCACTCCCCCAAATTCCTGTAACAGCTGGGGCTCAATTCTAGGTTCTCTGATAAGAGACGTGGGCTCCCCAAGCAGCAGCTTAGCCTGCTGCACCCCAACATGCACCCCGATGATCTCAATACAGTTCACTTTATTTCTTGCATAATTGAACTGCTGGCACTGATAACCTTAATTTTTTAGGAAGTACTAATAATTTGACAGCCATTTCATATCCTTGAAAAGTTTCAACTTAAAAATCTTTACCAATTTTTTTGTTTTTATAATTAGGTTTTGTCTGCCTTCCTAGGGGTGTGGAGGACTTGTCCTGCTTCTTTAAGACGGCCTTGAACAGCAGAGGACAAATGGCCAAAAAAAGAAAAGGGAACCAGACACCCCACAGCGTTGATTCTGAAAGCGAAGTCAGAACCAACCTTCGTTTCCCGCAACGAACATGACTACCGTGCAATAACATTTTTAACAGTTCTAAAGAGAGCGGTTTCACAGAAGAGGATGCAGCCGGGTGGGCTCCCCAGTGCCGAATCATCTGTGGTTCTGACTCTCGCCTGCAGGGGATTCGACAAGGTGATCTCACGCCATTTGAATTCCCCACTTACTTTCCCTGGCCATCTACCCCTGCTATCAGATGGTGGGTGATGGACGTCCCAGGCAGAGCAAATTAACCTCACAAGTCAAAACCCAACATCCAAGCAGTCCGTGTGTTTAGACGACCTACCGCGCCCTCACTAGGCCGGCTCCTCTTCCCATGGCTCCTCCCTCACAGCACCCTCCCCAGAGGTCCCCGAGGGCCTCCCGGGGTGCACCACTGCCGGTGCGGGTGCGAAGCCCCTCGGCCATTCCCTCTGCTGCACACCTCCTCCAACAGGTGGGGCGTGGGGCTCCCCCAGCCTCCCTTAGAAATGCAGGACCAGCTTAGCCTGCCCACGCCCACTCTGATACTGTCCTGCTGTTCCAGAAGTTCTCAGCCTGCCCTCCTGTAACATGCGGGTGCAGCTCTCTGCTTCCAACACTTCCTTCAAGATCCCACTCATCCTGCTGAAAGTCAAGGCTGGGCTTGCGCCTGGCACTCCTACAGCCTGGGGTTCACACCCCGTAATGGCATTTGCCAAACACTGGAGCGATGTGCGGACGGTCTGTTCTCCACTAGATTCTACGAGGGCAGGAACTGCTGGGCAAGCCAACGGCCAGTGCCTGGCCTCCTTGCTCTGGGTTCACTTCTCCCTCCGGGAAGACGGTGTTTTTCTGTGCGCGGGATCGAGTGTTTGGAACAGATGCCGGCGCACCTAACCAGGAGACCGCATCTGGAGCTCCCTTCTTCCCCAGCTGCTATCGCCCCTCCGTGGCTGCTGGCCTCGCCGACAAGGCCCAGTGGCCCAGCGCACAGCGCTGCGGGGCCCTGGCCACCGGCCAAGAGACTCCGCCGTCCAATGAGGGCACAGTGCACGCACGGTCGGTCCCGAGGAGTCGGTGCACCTGGCGCTCCCAAGCCCCCCGGAGGGATCTCGGGGCAGGAACACAGGTTTGGGCCGCTGAGGTCCCCAGCTGAAAGCGGAAATGGTGCGAGTGAGAACGAGAAAACTTAGTTCCAGGGTTTCTTGAACAGGGCCTGCCTTTGTTTAGGAAAAAGATAACGCCTTAGGCTAGGATGGGGTGCCCGAGAGGTCGTGGGGTCTGATTCCTTCAGGTCATCGGGCTGGACAGCGCCTCGGAGGCCAAGCGGGCGCCACTCTGAGCAGAGGAAGGCGTGCCTGACGGGCACCAGGCGGGCAGCTCGCGATAGGTGTGGCAGGTAGCGCAGGAGGAAGTGGCAGCCTCGGTTGACCCCACCCCACCCCCGCTCCACTGCGCATGCGTGGGAGGGGTGCGTGGGGGCGGGGAGAACCTGGGCGAGGGCGCGGCGCAAGGTGGGGCTGACGCGCGCACACGGGCGTGCGTGCGTGCGTGCGTGCGTGGGCGCGGCCCATAGCGCGGCGTGCGTGGGGCGGATGTCCGGGCCGGCTGGGCCGGGGCCGCGGACGAGATGGCGGAAGGCGGAGGTTGCCGTGAGAGACCGGATGCGGAGACCCAGAAGTCCGAGCTCGGGGCCCTCATGAGGACCACGCTCCAAAGGGGGGCGCAGTGGTGAGCAGCGGCCCCTCCCTTCCCCGGCGTAGAACTGGGGGCCGGGGCGCTGATCTTAAGGGCAGGCTCCCTTTTCTCGACTTGGATAGGAGTCGGGCGGGGGCGGTGTCCGATGACCCTCAAAGAGTGTCCTGACACCCGCCCTTGGGGAGTGAAACCCCAGGGTCAACTCGGGGAAAACGCAGGTGGGACTGGAGGTGGTCCCGGCCGGTTCGGAGTCCCAGGGGGCGGGTCCGGCGGCTATCCGCGCTGCAGGGTTTAGAGAAGGGGAATGCTCCTCAGGGGTGTGGTGCGAGCCCTTGCCACCAAGTTCTCACCTTGTGACCTTGGGCCGAGGTGTCCAGCCCTCGCAGACCCTAATGCCTTACTGTTGAAACCCACCGGCTCAGTGGGTTGAGGCGAAGATCAGAAGTAGGTACTTTGTAACTTGTAAACTGCCAAGAAGATTTCAAGGGCAGACGTTAATCAAATGCCTGGAACCCCAGATTATTTTGGTATCAAATGTAAAAAATAACTGTGGCAGCAGAGCCTCCAGGCGGGAGAGGAGGGTGGCCCAGATCCCGGAGCTCCACAGAATGAAAAGTGCAAGGTTTAGAAGAGCCAGGCTGAGATAGGCGGGGATTAGACCAGGGGACTTCGTAGAGCTCAAAGAAACGTTGCATTGTTTTCAGATTTCATTTTTTCATGAATTGCTTGTTTGATGCACCCTCATACTGTCCACCAGGAGAGTGAGTCCTAGGTGGTGTTACTTGTGGGAGTAAAACACTAGGCTTTGCCTTGTGTATCACTGAGCGCTGTCTGTCTTTATCAGACCAGCAGAGAAGGGGAAACATTGGAAACAGGAGGAGTTCTGATAGGGGTTTAAAAAAAAAATAACATTGTGTGACCTGTGGAGTGACAGAGGGAGAGATAGATAGGGAGAGATGGCTTCCGTTCATCATTCCCCAGATGGTTGCATCCTCTGGGACTGCTCCAGGCTGAAGGTAGGAGTGCGGAACTCCACTGGGGGCTCTGACAAGTGTGGCAGGGACCCAGCACCTGGGCCATCTGCTGCTGCCTTCCTAGGAAGGTGAGCAGAGTAGCCGGGCTGGAATTGGTGCTGTCGTGTGGGATGCCAGCGTCACAAGTGGCAGCGTAGCCTGCTGTGCCTCAGCGCTGGCCTCACCAGTATAGTTGTGGTACTTCGCTGTCCCCCGGGGTTTTCTCCCTCCTGTCTGAATTTAAAGCAGCCTAGTGATGTGCTTAAAATAGGATGAGATTGGCTTGTAGTAATTAAGCATAAAAAGTATTGAGTGTCAAACACAACTTAATGCTTTTTGACAAGGTGACCTGACCTAGACACTGGTATAAGTGTGTGTGGCTGGGTACACACATGCGCTGTACATTTAGGGATATCTAACATGATCCTCAAAGGGAAACTGGAGTGGTAGTATTCCACTTATAGAAAGAAAGAAACTAGTTTAATGCTGTTCATGTTGAGCAAAGCAGAATAACCAGACTGCCTGCCTGGACACAGGCCTTTATCAAGATCACTGTCAAATTAATAACTTGTTTAATAGCAGGCGTGATTTTATGCATAGAAAGACTCCATTTACATAACCATTTTGAAGCTGATTTTTTCCTCCGTTTTATTTATTCTGTTTTTAAGAGTTGTTTCACTTAATGGATGCTTGCCCAGGGCCAGGCCCTTTGGTACCATTTTTTTTTTTTTTAGTGGGAATTACTTGTTCCCTATGTTTAAGGCTATAAAAAAATATTAAGGGAGGGGCCAGCATTGTGGCACAGTGGGTTCATCTGCCGCCTGCAGTGCCAGCATTCCATATCAGAGTACTGGTTTGAGTCTTAGCTGCTTCGCTTCTGATCTAGCTCCCTGCTAATGTACTTGGGGTAGCAGCAGAAGATGGTCCTAGTACTTGGGAGACTTGGCTAGAGTGCCAGACTCCTAGCTGTGGCCTGACTAGCCCCAAATATAGAGGCCATTTGGTGAGTGAGCCACCCTCTCTATCACTCTGCCTTTCAAATGAATAAAATAAAACTTAAAAAATAAAAAAAGGTATAAGAAAGCAGCTGCAAAAACTTACAACCCTAGCTTTTCTGCTTCTTCAAATTTTTGTCTCTCTAGGTATCTCATTGACAGTCGGTGGTTCAAGCAGTGGAAGAAGTATGTGGGCTTCGACAGCTGGGATATGTATAATGTGGGTGAGCATAACCTGTTTCCCGGCCCGATAGACAACTCTGGACTCTTTTCAGGTACAGTACCTTTTCTAGCTAAATGTTCACCTGGGCGGTGGCCTGAAACCACATGTATGTGTAATGTGGACATTGTGAGCCTTTCTCGGTTTAAGGAGACGTAAACAAGTGTCCTCAGTTGGCATCTGTCGCCTAAGGCTTTGCAGACCTGTAGGGTGAAGTTAAGCAGCTTTTTTACCTAAATAACTGCATCTAGCAATAGCATCCTTCCAATGTTTTAAATCCCTGTCTCTCTCTTTCCCTGCAAATGTGTTCTCAGATTAGTATTTGGGATGGTAAGAAGTAAAGTATCGTTTTTAAACTGCATCTGAAATTTGGGAAGCAGAATTTTTTGTTACCTTCTCAGTGGAACAAGTTGTAGACGTGTCAGTGAACATCCAGCATGACTGTGAGGACAGTGTTTGTCATAGAAGTGGTGTGAGGAAAGGTGGGAGGTCAGTAAACAGAGTTTCCCCTGTTTCCCAGAGGAAACTGTGGCCAGAGGTGTGTGATCCGACAGAGGGTGGCTAGTACCCACAGACGCACTGAGGTGACAGGTTGGTTTCTCCCAGGTCTGGCTCTGCCTGACTTGACTTCCTGTAGGATAGAGGTGATCTGTAGCCTGGCTCCAGAGTCAGGGCAGCAGTGCCATCATTCGAGTAAGAATTGGCTCCTACCTTACGTAGACATTTAATCCCCGGAATTATAAATTGGTGGTGCTGAAGGGGTGGAAGAGTGATGGCTTGATGGGCGGTCATTAGGTCACTAGGGCTGTGATCTTGGAAGGGAATTGTCCCAAGAGGGTTGGCTGTAAAGGCTGAGTTAGGCGCTGAATCTCTGCTTGCTGGCTCGCTATGTAATCCGTCCTCTGCATGTGTTCTGTCATCCACTCTCACCACCAGACATAAGAGCAGTGGGGCTGCCCGACTTTCCACCGGAAGCTTCCAGAACTGTGAGCTGGAATTAAACTTCCTTCCGTAATAAGCAGCCTGTGTGAGGTATTTAGTTGTAGTAACAAACAGCTGACTGATACAAATAGGAAGGCAGACGAGGCATGAGATTTGAGCCACACAGCTAATATTAACCTTGATATATAATTTTTTATTTGAAAGAGTTAGAGGGAGAGAGAGAGAGAGATAGAGATCTTCCATCTGCTGGTTTACTCCCTAGATGGCTGCAACAGCCAGGGCTGGGCCAGGCCGAAGCTAGGAGCCTGGAACTTCTTCCAGGTCTCCCACATTGGTGTAGGAGCCCCAGGAATTGGGCCATCCTCTGCTTCTTTCCCAGTTGCATTAGCAGGGAGCTGGATCAGAAGTGGAGTTGCTATGTCTAGAACTGATGCCCATATGAGATGCCAGCTTTGCAGATGGCAGTTTTACCCCCCCTACCACAATGCCGGACCCAACCTTGATATTTTTAAAATTGAGCAATGCTTCAGTTCAGTCCTTGTTTTAGAAGAGGCCTAAATGATGTAAACAGTGTCATTTGCTTTGTTTCCTGGTAGAGATCAGAGGGTAGCCCTATACCATGAAGTTGCCCCAAGGATTTACATAGCACTGTGTTCACATTTGGGCTTTTCCCCGTTTTATTTTTTTATTTTTAAAGATTTATATATTTGAAAGACAGAATTAGATAGAGGGGCTAGGGCCAGGTGCTGTGGCATAACAAGTAAAGCCACTGCCTGCCTGCAGTGCCAGCATCCCATATGGGCGTCGGTTCAAGGCCCAGCTGCTCCACTTCTAATCCAGCTCCCTGCTAATGTACCTGGGAAAGCAGTGGAAGATGGCCTCTGCGCCCATGTGGGAGACCTGGAAGAAGCTCCAGGCTCCTGGCCTTGAACTGGCGCAGCTCCAACCATTGTAACCATCTAGGGAGTAAACCAGCAGATGGAAGACCTCTCTCTCGGTCTGCCTCTTTGCCTCTGCCTCTCTGTAACTACCTTTCAAATTTAAAAAAAAAAAAAAAAAAAAATTATAGAAAGGGAGAGACAGAGAGAGAGAAAGATCTTCTATCCGCTGGTTCACTCCCTAGGTGGCCACAACAGCCAGGTCTGGGCTGGGCCAAAACCAGGAGCCGGAAGCTTTATCCACATCTCTCACTTGGGTGCAGGGGCCCAAGCACTTGGGTCTTCCTATGCTGCTTTCCCAGGCATAGTAGCAGGGAGCTAGATTGGAAGTGGAGTAGCCAGGACAGGACTTGAACTGACACCCACATGGGGTGCTGGCACTGCAGACGGCAGCTTTACCCTCTGTACCACAGCACCGGCCCCTCCCCTTTTAACTTTAAAAGGAGAATTGTTAAGGCTTTTAGTAGTAATAGTGACAAAAACCCTCAACCTAGACAGTAGGTGGTTCTGTACAACCTTCAGCTGAGGGCAGCGGGCTCCTTGTGTAGTTCTGCAGTTTCATGTCACTGAGTTGTCTCATGTCAGGTCCTGGGGCCCCGGCGGTGCAGCAGTGACCAGCTCTGGCAGATGAACTTCCTCACCTTAGTTCCTAGGCATTCAGTCACCTGCCAGGCTCCCTGGCTGCCTTCTGCCTCGAGTCATGACAGTGGCCTGAAAGAGATTGGTGAAAGTGTGAGGAGGAAGAACGTATCCTTACCTAGGTTGTCTGCAAAGCTGTCCTGTTAGTTCTGCCTGTGACCTGTGGTATGGCACACATTAGGCTGTGCTCTCCTCCCCCTGCTTTATATATAGCTCTGTCAAAAAATTTGTAAAGAGTAAATTCTCATTTTAAAAATTTAGTGTGATTTTTTTTCTTCATGTGATTTGGAAAAAAAAAATTATTTATAGGGTCAGTGCTGTGGCGTAGTAGGCTAAGCCTCCTCCATCCCATATGGGTGCCTGTTTGAGTCTCAGTTGCCCCACTTCCAATCTAGCTCCCTGCTAATGTCTGGGAAAGCAGTGGAAGATGGCCCAAGTGCCTGGGCCCCTGCACCCACACGGGAGACCCAGAGGAAGCTCCTGGCTTCTGGCTTTGGATCAGCCCCAGCTCCAGCCATTGTGGCCATCTAGAGAGTGTACCAGCAGACGGAAGACCTCTCTCTCTGTCTCTCCCTCTCTCTGTCTGTAACTCTGCCTATCAAATAAATGAATACAACGTTTTAAAAAAGTTACACCTTTTTTTTAAAAAAAGATTTATTTATTTATTTGAGAGGCAGAATGACAGGGAGAGACAGAGATCTTCTGTTCTCTGGTTCACTCTGTAAATGCCACTGGACTTTTAACATGATGACCTTGGACAAATCCAGTTTTGAGTGAAAATAGTGATTTGTATTGAAAGCTCCAGTTAAAGGTGGATATTTGGCCAAATGATTAACATACCGGTTAAGACCATCCGCCTCCCATATCAGAGTACCTGGATTTGATATCTGGTTCCTGACTCCAGCTTTCTGCTGAAGCAGACGCTGGGAGGCAACAGTAACAATGGAGGCCTTTTTGGGAGTAAACCAGTGGATGGAAGACCTCTCTCTATCTGTAACTCTACCGCTCATGTAAAATTTTTTAAAAAAAGAAAAGAATGACACACTTGGGAAAGTTGTCACTCAGCCCCAGAGGTAAAAAGAACCTTGAAGGACTGATATACTTGGCATTGGTAAGGCAGAAAGCTGTTGGTTCATTTCCTACATTTAAAGATTTCTTTCAAAAAAAGATTTACTAATTGATTTCAAAGGCAGAGTGACAAGAGAATGAAAGAGAGACCTTCCGTCTGCAGGTTCTACCTCCCGATGCCCACAGTAGCTGGGATTGGGCTAGGCCAAAGCTGGGAGTCTGGAACTTCATGCAGATTGGCAAGGACTCAGCCACTTGAGCCATCACTGCTGGCTCCCGGATGCACATTGGCAGGATGCTGGATTGGAAGTCGGGTAGCTGGGACCCAGACCAGGCCCTCTGATGAGAGATGTGGGTGTCCCAAGCAGCTTAACCCGCTGTGCCAGAATGCTTCCCCCTTCATAAAGCTTTCCTGGGAAAATGATAGAATGTGGTTTCACTAAGGCTATTATGGTAAATCTTCCTAATTAACAGTTTTCACTGTGAGGTCTGGAAGCACTTTGGAATCCAAATTGGCATTTTTCTCTGTTGTCCTGTGCTGCCTCCAATTATAGAAGAAATATGATTTCCTTCAAATGTTCAGAAAACATGGCTAAGGACAGAGAGCAGTACAAGTCTGCTCTGTGTTACGGCCAGTGACAGACATTTGGAATTTTGCACTTGTTCCTGTAAATACTTCTTTTGTTTCTGAAAAATGCATGAAAATCATTTAAAAATCGTTGGTGGGAGAGGGACAACAGTGAGTTATGTGCTGTTTTCCTTTTTCAGATCCTGAGAGTCAGACCTTGAAAGAACACTTAATTGATGAATTGGACTACGTATTGGTTCCAACTGAGGCCTGGAATAAATTACTAAACTGGTATGGCTGTGTAGAAGGTCAGCAGCCCATTGTGCGAAAAGTGAGTCCATGGGTCGTCACACGTGCTGCGTGGCGTCTGCCGCTGCTCCTGGGGGGACACTGGCTGCTCCTGGTTCCCTAGGAAGACGCGTGCACCAAAGGGGCTGGGAGAAGGGGGTGGCGTCTTGTATTTGTTTCTCTTCTGGGAATTATTGTGAATGATGGTGAGAGAGGCTGCTCGCCCAGGGTAGGACTGCGAATGGGCTCAGGACATCAGAGCTGCCCAGTGCTGTGAGTGCGCCTTCTGGAGGGCTTCCTGAGGAGGTGTTCACTGGGGACACGGGGACATACAGTGCACTGCTCGTTTCCCTGCTGTTAGGAGTCTTTGGCCGCACTGTTGAATAATTAAAAATGCAGGCATTTACTGCCCAGAGAGGATTAACCTGAGGGAAAGGCGGCTTGGGACAGAACCTGGGTTGTTAGTGCCTGTGATAGATGGGACTCGGGAGGACACCACCACCCTGTCTCCCACAGCGCTTGTGCTGCTTACACCAGAGAGAAATCACAGGAGCCCACGTGCCTGCTGATATTTAGGCTCTGGATACATTTTCCGGTTTTTAATTTTTTTAAATAAAACTTTAAAGAAATTATTTGAGAGGCAGAGAGAAAAGAGCAAGAGAGAGAGAGCGCACACTTCCACCTATTGGTTCACTCCCCAAATCCCTGCAGTAGCCACAGGCCAGGGGCTGAAGCTGGGAGCCAGGAACTCAGTCCAGGTTTCCCGTGCGTGTGGCAGGAACCTCATCACTTGAGCCATAACCAGTACCTTCCAGGGTCCATAAAACAGGAAGCTGGATTCAGGAACAGAGCAGGGACTCCAGCTTGAGCTCTCTGAGGCGGGGACAGGTGCCCCACTGGCAGCTTGACGCTGGGGCTGAATACCTGTCCTGTTTCCCATTCTTAACAGAGGAGGAAAAAGCTACAATTCTGAGACCATGCTTCTGATGTCACAGTTCAGGACCAGAACTGCGTTTCTTTCCAGCTTAAAACCTGGAAGCCTGGGAGCGAGGAGGAGTCAGAAATGCCAGGCACTAGCAGAAACCCCCTGCTTCCCTCAGTGCTGCCTTGCGAGCGCTCTGCCTAGTGCTGCACCTGTGTTCCCTGAGCCTCCTGCAAGGAGGGTCCATTGATCCTCGCTCAGAGATGAGTGATGACTTCCCTTTTGTGCAGTGTCTGGGCTTACGGGCAGGGTTATTCTTTGTCATTATTTCTGAATTTGTTAATTAACTTTTGAATTTTGTGTCATGACCGTCTCGTGGCTGTACCAGTGCCATGTTGTAGATATGCAAAGTAATTCTCTATAGTAAGAATGTAAAATACATGCCCATGTATTTTGAGGGGAAAGAGTAGAGTTTACTTTTGCCAAGACTTTTTTTTTTTAAAGATTTATTTTATTTATTTGAAGACGGAGTTAAAGAAAGAGGTAGAGACAGAGAGAGAGGTCTTCCATTTGCTGGTTCACTCCCCAGATGGCTGCAAAGGCTGGAGCTGTGTTGATCTGAAGGCAGGAGCCAGGTGCTTCCTCCAGGTCTCCCACACGGGTGCAGGGGCCCAAGGACTTGGGCCATCTTCTACTGCTTTCCCAGGCCATAGCAGGGAGCTGGATTGGAAGTAGAGCAGCCAGATCTCGAACCGGCACCCATATCGGATGCCGGTGCTCCAGGCCAGGGTGTTAACCCACTGTGCCACAGCGCTGGCCCCTTGCAAGTCTTAAGTAAGACCTTTCTGGGGCTGATGTTGTGGCGTAGCAGGTAAAGCTGCCACCCACAACACTGGTAATCCCATATGGGTGTCAGTTCCAGTCCTGGTGCTTTGCTTCTGACCCATTTCCCTGCCTTTCTCCGTGGGAAAAGCAGCTGAAGATGACCCAAGTGCTTGGGCCCATGCCACCCACGTGGGAGACCCTGATGAAGCTCCTGGCCCCTGGCTTGGGCCTGGCTCATTCCTAGCCATTGAGGCCACTTGGGGTGTGAACCAATGGATGGAAAACCGCTCTTGTCTTTCCCTCTCTTTCTCTGTAACTCTTTCAAATAAATAAATAAATACAAACAAACAAAAACACAGAAAAGTAAAAAAAAAAACAAGACTTCTCTGTTCAAAGAAGACTTCTTGAGACCTGCCTGGGAGCCCTGGTATCGCGTTAAATCCAGTGAGGAAAGGGTTGTCTCTGGTTCCGTCGAGGTGCCTTTCACTGGCGCTGAAAGTATGGAAGAAAGGTTTTTAATTTATTTGAGAGACATACTTATATATAAAGAGCTCCCACCCAGTGGCCAGAGCTGGTGTAGGGCCAAAGCTGGGAGCCGAGAATGCAATCCAGGTCTCCCACGTCGGTGGCAGGAACCCAATTACTTGAGCTATTGCTGCTCTCTCCCAGGGTCTGCGTTAGCAGGAAGCTGGGGTCAGGAACCAGAACTGAGACTTGCTTGAACCACTATGTTACATGCTACTACCTGGAACGAGATTTTTAGACTCCTGGGGTAGGTGCTGAAGGCTTTAAAACTTTGTACTTCTGGGGGAGATGTTTAGCTTATCAGTTAATGTGCTGATCAAGGTGCCCGTCCTGTCCCCCAACATGGGGGACCGAGCTCCAGGATTCAGTCTTAGTACCAGCCAGGTGACTGTGGGTATTTGGAGAGTGAACCGGTGGGTGGGAGCTCTCTATCTGTTCCCCTTTCCTCTCAATTGTTTTTTCTGGTCTCTCAAATTTAAAACTAAACAAACAAAAACTACTTCTAGTCTGCTGAGCATTGAAGGAAAGTGATTTCATGAAGTACCTGCTTTTTGCTGTTGATGAAACACGCTGCTTCCTGGACTGCCCTTGCATCCAGCCCCTGCTCCCTCCCCTGCCTGTTCCAGGTCGTGGAGCATGGCCTGTTTGTCAAGCACTGCAAAGTGGAGGTGTATTTGCTGGAACTGAAGCTTTGTGAGAACAGTGACCCCACGAATGTGCTGAGTTGCCATTTCAGCAAGGCAGACACCATTGGTGAGCAGCAGAGCGGGGTCCTGGGGTGTGGGGAGAGACTGCAGGACATTGTGGCGGGTGGAAGGGACGTTGGGGTGCCCTCTTTAGACTTCTTGGGCTGCGGCTGCCAGTCCTGACCTAGGAGCCTGTTCCTCAAGCTTGGGAATCAGGTTCTGAAGGACAGCAGGTATGATCTTTGCCCATTTGCCATATGATGATAAAGATTAAGCAACGAAGAGTCAGAGAAGTTAGTAACTTTATTTAGAAACATCTCAGCAAGAAAGTGACAGAGCTGTCTTAACTCCCTCTCTGCCCCCCCCCCCCCCCCCGCCCCCCATTACTCGTGGTGTGTCAGGGAGCCACATCTTCAGAGAAGAGGCTTAGGGGACGTTTCTGGGTGTGTGAGTGCCACAGGAGGTCCCTGGAAGGTCAGTGGCCTTAGGAGAGGGCTGACGTCAGTCAGAACTTCTAAAACATAAACATCTGAACAGGAGGTAGCATGAGCTTTGGTTTGCCATCACCGCTGTTAGCCTTGTACCTGGAGAGAGCCCTGAGTGACGTTTGTCTGTCTCTAGCGACCATCGAGAAGGAGATGCGGAAGCTGTTCAACATCCCGGCGGAGCGTGAGACGCGACTCTGGAACAAATATATGAGCAACACCTATGAACAGCTGAGCAAGCTAGACAACACCGTGCAGGATGCTGGGCTCTACCAGGGCCAGGTAGGAGGTCCAGGCCCAGCCGCGGAAGGCAGCTCTGCCCAGGGTGTGTGCCAGATGCCCCTGGCTGAAGCATGTCGGAGGTGGGATGGTCTGTGCTAGCCCCATTTCCTTTCCCCTTTCCCTCAGGTGCTAGTAATTGAGCCCCAGAATGAAGATGGCACATGGCCCAGACAGACCCTGCAGTCAAAGTAAGTGAACCTTATCACCCCTGTGGCTGGGCTTACAACTGTAACTGGTTCATTCTTGCCTAAGGCAGGTACTAGTGTTAAGAAAAATTGTTCTGAATCAGGCAAAAAAGAAAACCGTTCTCAGTTTCTAGTCTGGAGCCTGTAATCCTAGATGAAGACCCTGGCCCTTAGCAGTGAACAGCTTGTGGCAGTCATTAGGGAAGCCTGTCCGTGTCTCAGCATGGCGATGGCGATGGCGGTGAGCCCCCTCCTTGAGATCAAGGGGAGGGAGAGAAGTCCTGCACTGGAGGTTGCTGCTCTGTCAGGAAGGGGCTTTGTCTCTGCCGAGCCCTTTTTATTCCCTCCCACTGCAGTTGGAGGCGTGGCGGAACACTGGAGGCCTAATGCAGGGATCACATAGGATTTCGGAGTGATAGTTTCATCCCACCCTACGCCACCCAGTGGTCCATTACTCGCTGTTGCCCTTGGAACTTGCCAGGAAAACTGCTCAACTTCTAACGCGGACTCTAGGCATATCTATCTTAGGACATATTCCTGTGATATGTGGAATTATGCATAGTCTTAGACGGGGAGAAAAACAGACGATGATCCGTTTTCCTGATGATGTAAGCTGGAGAAGGCCGTCTGTGTTACAGTAGACAGAGGGACAGTGCTGGGCTCTGCTCTCTTCCCTCACTCAGGCCTTGGTCTGAGACCTTTATGTAGTGATAGGCTCACATGTAACTTGAGAACTGGGAGAACTCTGTCTCTTGAAAAATATTCACAAAGGCACAAAATATTGTGCAGGTTGTTTCAAGGATTTACAGAACCCCTGAAACCCAGAGCTGGACTCCAGTTAAAGAAACCCTAAGGTCAGGGCTTTGACCCAGTGAGTGAGAATCTGCTTGGGAGGCCTGCATCCATATCACAGTGCCTGGGTTCGCGTCTCAGCTCTGCTTCTAATTTCAGCTTCCTGCTAATGCACACCCTGGGAGGCAGCAGAGTCAGCGTGGTGAGACAAGGATTACAGAGGCCATGAGTCAAGGAATGTGAGCAGCCTCTGGAAGTCCTTAAAGCCTTCGTAAAGGAATGCACCTCTGCCAACTCCCCAGTTTTAGCTCAGAGCCATTCCGACTTCTGAGCTCCTGAACTGTAGATAATTTGTGTCACCATGGAATTCTTGATAATTTGTGGCAGCCAACTCCCTTCTTGAAACTGGAAATGCCACACAAGTGAGAGAAAACAAGAACTATGAGGGGCAAGTGTTTAGCCTCGTGATTAGATGCCGGTAAAGACACCCACATGTCACATTGGAATACCGGGGATTGATCCCCAGCGTTGGTTCCTGATTGTGGCTTCTTGCTGAAACAGATCCTGATAGGCAGCAGGCGCTGGCTGAGGTACTTGGGTTCCTGCCACCCATGTGGGAGACCTGGATAGAGTTCTCTGCTCCTGGCTTTAGCCTGGCCCAGCCCCAGTCATGGTGGACATGTGAGGAATGACCAGCGGAGGGGAGCTCACTCTGTCTTTGTCTCTCAAAAGACAAACACATAGATAAAACCGAGGTAACCCCCGGGGAGGCAGAAGGTAGTTGAACTCTAGTCTCTGAGTTGATGACCTTAGAGCAGAAGAGGGCTGGGTGTGCTGACCAGGGAAGACCATTTTAGTTGTGTCTTTTTCACTTCTCAGCATTGCTTTTCCCATCGTTGCCACCCTCTGAGGCCTGATATTTCAGTGAAGGGACACACTTTTTGGAAAAGAGCAGAGCCTTATTGAGCTTTCCTGAAAGTTAAGAATCTCCTGGTACGGTGTAGCCAATGGGGAGTGAGCTCAGAGTGGGAATCTTGAGGCAGGTTTCCTTCCCCCCATACACAGTGTCATACATTGTTGTAGGTACTAGGCATCAATAATAAAGAAAATACAATCTCAAGGAATGGAAAACAGATGAATTTAAAAAAATGTGTCCTGTGATTTATTTCTCAGCACTGTAAGATAAAAATCATAGGTGAGAATTAGCAAGTCTTGGGCTTGGGGAAGGGGGAGGGGGCAGATTTAAATGGAGTGATGCAGAAGCCCCCTGAGCTGTCTGTTGAATGCGGTCATGAAAGAGGTGAGGGCGTTGGCAGTGAGTGGGGTGCTTATTGGGAATAGTAGCATGGTAAGCAGAAGTGACAGTGCCTGCTGAATCCTGAGGCGGAAGTAGGTCTGGTTGAAAGACCAGCAGGGCGTGGTTGTGGCTGGAGCCAGGAGGATGATAGGAATATGGGCAGGACCAGGCTTGGGAGGTGAGGAGGGAAGCCCCCCTGGTCCTTGTGAGCCAGAGCTGCTAGCTTTGCCTCTAGGGGAGTTGGGAAGGGTGCCATGAATGCAGGAGCAGTGCCATCCTGCTGGGGAACATCTCACAGGGAGCCAGAATGAGAAATTGACAAGAGTAGTGAGCGTAATGGAAAAGGACAGTTGGCAGCCTGAGCTCTTGGAGCAGAATCCATGCTCCTGGCAGTTTAACAGGAATATCCTGAAGAAAAAGAGGAAATGGGTACATAAAACAGGAACAAGAATATGCTTGGAAATAGTTCAGGGGCTGGATGGGCTGAGCAGCAGAATGGAATGAGTTGAATAACTAAAGATAGTGAAAGAGTTGGACTGTCAGAAAGACTTGCAGAAGGCTTCATGAAGGGATAAAGATGTGGGAGATACGATTACGCGATGGAGTATGTCAATATATCAATGTTCATATACAGTCATATGAGTTGTTTCATGCCTGGATACAATCTGAGAAATACATTGATTTTGTTACTGCTATCAGAGCTAGCGCACTTCTACAAGATGGCTGTAATGTTACTAAGAAGTATAATCATTTTTTTAGAAAAGATTATTTGAAAGGCAGTTAGAGAGAGACCTTCCATTTGCTGATGCACTCACCCAGATGGCCATAGTAGCCTGGGCTGGGGCAGGCTGAAGCCAAGAGCTTGGAACTCCGTTCTGGTTTCCCACATGTGTGGCAGGAGCCCAAGCACTGTTGCTTTCCCAGGTGCATTAGCTGGGAGCTGGAGTGGAAGTGGAGCGGCTAGGACTTGCATCCACGCTCGTGTGGGATGCCAGCATCACGTCCAGCAGCTTAACTCCTCGGTTCCACAGTACTGGCCCCCCTAAGTGATACATTGTGTGGGACCACTGTCAAGTCTGCAGTCTGTTCTTGACCAAATGTCTATATAAAGCAGCGCTTCACCATGTGTTGTCTGGAAGTGTCAAAATCCATTTAGTAGGGGTCTAAGAAATAGAGAGGAGGATGGGCCTGGGGAAGAAGAGGTTAAAAGAAAGAGGTACTGAGAATTTCTCAGAAATCACAAAAGATAAAAGATTTCAAATTTGAAGAGTGCCAAGCATGGTAGAAAAATTAAGGATACATCTAGACAGAAAGATGAAATTGAAACTAACAACAAAGATGAAGAGAAAATTGCCGTTTATTTTGAAAGAAAAAGTCACTTATAAAGGAATAAGAAGCAGAGTAATAGCAAACCTAAATAGGAACTGTAAATCTGGTAACTTTTCAGGCTCCAAAGGACTTTAGAAGTTTCTAGCCTGTTAAGCTATTAACTAAATGTAAAGATGAAGCCATTTTTACTTGGTGAGGTTTTCCGCTTCTCTTTGAAAACCTCTTGGAAGACGTTCCTGCTGGAGATACAAGGGTACAAGGGAGGGCTTTGGAAGAAAGAATTCTTCCTCAAGAAACAGCACTGCAGACTTCAGAGGCGGGAGTGTTTAATTTTAAATTAAGGACTTCTGTTTATTAGAGAGTAAAAAGGCAGACCACAGAGTGAAAGAAGATACTTAGATCCAGAATTTCAAAGAAACACAAGTCAAGAACCAGAGCCTGATAGAGAAAGAGGCACATGGAGATGGGCGTTGTGGCACACTGCTGCCGCCTGCGATGTTGGCATCCCATATGGGCATGGGTTCAAATTCTGGCTGCTCCACTTCCAGTCCAGCTCCCACTAATGTGCCTGGGAAAGCTGGGAAAGATGACCCAAGTCTTTGGGCCCCTGCACGTGTGGATGGGCTGCAATGGAGTTCCAGGCTCATTGCTTCAGCCTGGCCTGGCCCTGTCTGTTGTGGCCATTTGGGGAGTGAGCCAGCGGATGGAAAATCTGTCTCTGTTACTCTGCCTTTCAAATAAATAAGTATAACTTTCTTAAAGGAAACAAAAAAAGTAGAATTATATGCATATTCTACAACTCATCCACCCCACTCCTAGGGAAACCACCAAGATAAATACAGCCCATGTTCACTTAAAGGATGTTTGCGACAACATTGTATGTCATAGTCACAAACATCGGAACTAACTCAAATCTCCACCCTCGGATTAGATTTGATTACAGAGAGAGAATGACGTGTGTCCGCCCAGTGGACCTCCATACAGCAATGCATAGAATCCTTGTTGAGTCTTGTGGTCAATGCTGAATGACAGACACTGGACACAAAGCAGGTGTACTCTATGATTCTGTTGTTACAAAGCTTGATGTGCTTTGATGGGAAAGCTGCCCCCTACAATGTGAAGCAAGGAGCCAGGAGCTTCTTCCAGGTCTCCCACTTGGGTGCAGGGGCCCAAGGACTTGGGCCATCTTCTATTGCTCTCCCAGGCCACAGCAGAGAGCTGGATCGGAACCAGAGTATCTGGGACTCGAACTGGCCCCCATATTGGATGCTGGCTCTGCCAGCGGCGGCTTTGCCCACTACGTCAGCCCCAACACTGTCTTTCAAATTAATAAATTAATCTTTAAAAAAAGAATAAGAATTTTGGAGACAGGTAATGCAGTACTGTAGCAGCAGCTTCGTGCATGATTAGAAATGAGTTGCTTCGTCTTGTTGCTCTGTTGTGTGTGGTTTCTGCATCACAGGTGGCCACTTTATGGTCTAGTGACTGCTAGAGCTTCGGGAATTATACTTGTGAGCTGGCAGCTGTGGTTGGGGAGTAGGACACAGATTTCCTTTAAAAAACATCTCCTGGGGCCGGCGCTGTGGCATAGTGGGTAAAGCCGCTGTCTGCAGTGCTGGCATCCATATAGGCGCCAGTTCAAGTCCCAGCTGCTCCTTTTCCTATCCAGCTCTCTGCTATGGCCTGGGAAAGCAGTGGAAGACGGCCCAAATCCTTGGGCCCTGCACCCATGTGGGAGACCTGGAAGAAGCTCTTGGCTCCTGGCTTTGGATAGGTGCAGCTCCGGTCGTTGCGGCCATCTGGGGAGTGAACCAGCGGATGGAGGACCTCTCTCTCTCCCTCTCTCTCCCTGCCTCTGCCTCTCTTTCTCTGTGTAACTCTGTCAAATAAATAAAGAAGGATTCGGGCCATCTTCTGCTTTCCCAGGTCATAGAAGAGATCTGATCAGAAGTGGAGCAGCCAGGGCTTGAACCGCTGCACCACAGCACTGGCCCCCTCCATGAGGTTTTAATCCGTATGCCAAACACCGTCCTGAAGAAAGGACTAGCCATCTTGAAGCAGGTAGCAAATTGCTGCACCTGCGAATGGTTAGTGGAAGGCAAGAAAGAAAGGAAAAAAAAAAAAAAAAAAAAAACTAGTAAAAAATTAAAAATGTTTAAAAAGCATGAAGTAAGGAGTCTAAGCTAAGTGCACCTGTAAAATACAAATGTAGGTTTGTTAAGCTCACTCATCAGAAGACAAACTCTCAGGTCAGATTTTTGAAAAAAAGTACATATTATCTGTAATATGTTATCTGTCAAGGAAGATAGGAAGGTTAAAATGGGAGGAACACCGAGGTGGATGTTTAGCCTAGCCACGAAGTGCCTGGGTTCTGTACCCTGCCCTGGCTCCTGACTGTGGATCCTGGGAAGCACTGGTGAGGGCTCCAGTGATTTTTTTTTAAAGACTGACTGACTTATTTATTTGAAAGGGGGGTGGTGAGAGGCAGAAGATCTTCCATCTGCTTCCTGAATCACCCAAATGGCCACAGCGGCCAGGGCTGGGCCAGGCTGAAGCCAGGAGCCAGGAGCTTCATCTGGGTCTCCCACATGAATGGCAGAGCCTTAAACACTTGGGCCATCTTCCCCTGCTTTCCCAGGCCATTAGCAGGCAGCTGGATGAGAAGTGGAGCGGCTGGGACACAAACTGGCGCCCATATGGGATATCCACATTTCAGGGCAGTGGTTTTACCCTGCCACACCACAATGCTGAGCCTTGTAACTAGGTTCTTTCCACCTTCATGGGGGTCATGGATTGTATTCCTGCCTTTAGCTCACTGCCTTTAGCAGGCAGTGTCAGATGCCGGAACGTGTGTTTCACTCTCCTGTCTTCCCTCCTGAGACTGCCATGGCTGCTCGGCCGTGGGGAGCAGACTTTGCTGCCACGGAGGTGGCGGGGACTCCTGTCATTGTGGATAGGTCTGAAGTGTGTGCCTGAGCTCCCGTGTGGTAGCAGCGTGCATGCTCTGCTCTCATGAGGGCTCGTTCTGTGGCTGCCTGAATTCTTGGGCTCCTTTGTGGTGTGAGGAAGAGACTGAGCAAGAAATGCACCTCTCAATTAAAGAGAGGACATTTCCCTATGGGAAGGAGAGGCTGGGGGCGTCCTCTTGCCCTCTCTTTTGCTGTGACTTCAGATTTGGGTAGAACCCAGTTCCTGACGCCTGCTTAGGCCCCCTGGATAATTTCCTGATGTCTGCCAGCTGCTGATGCGGACACAGGGTCATACGTTATCTTTGCTGCCATGTGCTTGCCTCTCAGGAAACCCTGGTTGTGATCATATCCCATTAGGTTGGACACTGTGCTAGGAAGATTCACTTTCTTCTGTAGGTTCTTAAACAGATTTTAAATAGAAGATCAATAAAATTGATTGCAATTTCATTTGGGCAGTTAGTGCTTGAAATAATATATGTGGAAATAGGAACAAATTTAAAATAAGGAGTTTGAAAGATACTGAAACATAAAACAGAAGTGTAATTTGTGTTTAGCAAATTTGAAGAAAAAAAAGAATGGCATAGTGAAACCAAATTAGCATTTTCCTGCTTTAATGTCTTCTTTTAAAAAATTGATCTTTTTTTTTTTTTTTTTTTACTTTTTTAAAGATTTATTTTATCTATTTGAAAAAGTTACAGAGAGGTAGAGACAGAGAGAGTGAGAGAGGTCCTGCATCCGCTGGTTCATTCCCCAAATGGCTGCAACAGCTGGAGCTGGGCCGATTCGAAGCCAGGAGCCAGGAGCTTCTTCCAGGTCTCCCAAGTGGGTGCAGGGGCTCAAGGACTTGGGTCATTTTCTGCTGCTTTCCCAGGTGCATTAGCAGGGAGCTGGATGGGAAGTGGAGCAGCTGGAACTAGAACCAGTGCTCACATGGGATGCCAGCGCTGAAGGCCTGGGCTTTAACCTGCTGTGGCACAGCACCAGCCGTTCCTGCTTTACTGTCTTTATAGCTAGCTTTTATTTTTCATCAAACATTTTTGAGGAAAGCCATCTCTTAGTGCCATTTTTCAATGCCTTTTGCTAGTAACTTGAAAAGGTAGTTTTTTTTTTATGATTTGTAAATCAAGCATGGATGCCTGTGGTTGTATCACAGTGAAAGATTCAGCATATGACCCTGTGGACTACTGAGACAGGAAGACCAAGTAATTGCTTCGCTCTTACTCAAGCTTTTTGTAATTTATTTTTTCAAAATTTTTGCTTATTTTATTTTGGAGCCAGAGACACCTTCCATCTCCTGGTTCATTCCCCCAAATGCTCGGGGACCAATGGCAAGGAAGAACTTTTTCTTCTCTTTTTTTTTCTCGACAGGCAGAGTGGACAGTGAGAGAGAGAGACAGAGAGAAATGTCTTCCTTTGCCGTTGGTTCACCCTCCAATGGCCGCCGCGGCCGGCGCGCTGCGGCCGGCGCACCGCGCTGATCCGATGGCAGGAGCCAGGAGCCAGGTGCTTTTCCTGGTCTCCCATGGGGTGCAGGGCCCAAGCACCTGGGCCATCCTCCACTGCACTCCCTGGCCATAGCAGAGAGCTGGCCTGGAAGAGGGGCAACCGGGACAGAATCCGGCGCCCCAACCGGGACTAGAACCCGGTGTGCCGGCGCCGCAAGGCGGAGGATTAGCCTAGTGAGCCGCGGCGCCGGCCAATGTTTACTTCTTGAAAAGGGACCTAAGCATAAAGTAGGGCTTACTTCTTGCAAAAAGTCAGTAGCATTGTTTCTGCTTCTCTTCCCTAGATCAAACACTGCGCCTAGCAGAAATTTTACTACCTCTCCAAAATCATCAGCAAGTCCCTATTCCTCAGTGTCTGCCTCTCCCATTGCAAATGGTGATAGCACTAACACCTCTGGGATGCACAGTTCCGGTGTCAGCAGGGGGTAAGAGCAGGCCCCTTTCCTTTTGCTTCCTTTTCCTGAGTCCTTCCCCGGCCTGTCCCTGGGGAGCTCACTGGCCGCTGCACTAAGCATAGGTGGGTGGGAGTTTCCCCGGAAGTGTGCTGCATGTGGCTTCTCAGTGCGTTTCCTACTGCCGTGCAGTGTCCTCCTGCTTCTGACTCCCGCTGCTTGTCTTCCTGCAGGCTGGGTCCTCCACACGGCTTCAGTCAGCAGTGGTCTCGGGTCCCTGCATTCGCGTTTGAGGGATGGGTTGGTCTGGTGGGCAGAATACTTGGAGGAGACCGTTCCCGGCTGTGGGACAGCCAGGCCGGTTAACCCTCTGGATGTCTGAGATCCTTCCTGCTAGCTTTTCAGGAACAGCTGCCATACACCATAGACAGGGCGGAAGATGAGAGTGTGGCACAAGTGTACGTGAACGCTCAGGCCCAGCCAGGGTTGGTGTGGCCTGCTGGGCGGTGGCCGCCCAGAGCTCTTGATCTTGGAAGCCAGAATGTTTTTCCCTGCGGTGATTTGGCATCAGCCTTCAAAGGGGTACAAAGTTAGCATTTGCCAAGCCTGAGAGAAAAACATTCAAATAACATCTTGCCCCTTCAGGTGCTTGCCACCTGCTAGCTTAACCTGTCACCCTGGGCTTGGAGAGCAGAGGCTGGAGGGGAGGAGGGAGAAGGTGCACCGTGCAGTTTCAACCAGACCTGAGTTTGAGAAGCCCCTGATGCCCTAAAAGGTGTCCTTAGGACGTGTGTGCAGCACTCACCTTCCCTGCTGGTCTGGTTGTGTTTTCCAGTGGATCTGGCTTCTCTGCTTCCTATAGTTGTCAGGAGCCTCCGTCGTCTCACGTACAGCCTGGCCTCTGTGGACTTGGAAACCTGGGAAACACCTGCTTCATGAACTCCGCTCTGCAGGTAGAGGGGAGCACGGGCGTCTGCCCTGGGCTCGGGTGGGAGTGCGCTGCTGAGTGCTGGGGGCCTCGCTTAGGGCTTCCCGCCCCCATCTTGTCAGTGCCTCGGTGGTCTCCTGTTGGGCCCCTGCGGCTGGTTGGTGCAGAATGACTGCCTCAGTGTCTGCAGCCAGAGCATCGTGTTGATCAGTCTGTGTTTGATTTTACCAGTGTTTTGTTGGCCTTTTGTTGACCGTTAGGCTGTGATCTGCTTAGAAAATATTAGAGTACTTGCCTGCTTTGATCTCTTAAAGAATGAGGTGAACTTGGAGGAGTTGGGGCCGAGCTGAGTTACGCCCTGCTGACTGCCGCGTACCCGTTCTCTGAGGATAACTGCCCCACCCCCTTCCCTTCCTGGAGAAACTTCTAAATCTTCTCTCTGAAACCTCATCTATGCACTCATCAGATACTCGTTGGCTGCTTACTGCGTGAAACCCCACGCCAGACTAGGTTTCTAGGATTTAGGATCCAGCTGCAAAGTTAAGAGGGCACAGTCCTCAAGCCTGCCCTCACTTCTCAGACCAGCTGCATGTTTGAGGGTTCCCAAGACCACCTTCAGGTTTGATAATTTGCTGGGGTGCATAGAACTCATTTGAAGCTATTAATACTTATCATCAAAATCTGCCAAGGGAAGAAGAATCGGCAGAGCCCAGGAGGGTTCCAGATGCAGCGCTTCTTTGCTCTCCCCTGAGAATCAGGAATCAGGCTCGTTACTTTCCTGGCATTGGTCTTAGTGACATGCACAGAGTGCTGCCCTCAGTGGAGCTCACCCAAGCTTCCTTGTTCAGAATGTTTTTGGAGGCTTCATTACATAAGCATGATTGATTGCCCAGGTAGACTGATAGCATGTGACCCAAAGCCCTCACCCTATTGGTTGTTCTGGAGTGGCTGGGCCCTAACCTGTAGAGTGGATGTACTAGTATGATTAGTTATTCCTTCCTGAAATCATTTTTTTTCTTTTAAGATTTATTTATTTACTTGAAAGTCAGAATTACACAGAAAGAGGAGAGGCAGAGAGAGAGAGAGAGAGAAAATCTTCCATCTGCTGGTTCACTCCCCAAATGGCCGCAACAGCTGAAGCTGTGCTGATCTGAAGCCAGGAGCCAGGAGCCAGGAGCTTCTTCTGGGTCTCCCACGCGGGTGCGGGCCCCAAGGACTTGGTTCATCTTCTACTGCTTTCCCAGACCATAGCAGAGAGCTGGATCGGAAGTGGAGCAGCCAGGTCTCAAACTGGCACCCATATAGGATGCCAGCACTTCAGGCCAGGGCGTTAACCCACTGCGCCACTGCACTGACCCCTCATCCAGTATGACTCAATGCCTTCCAGGCAAACAGAGACAGTCCTACCAGGCATAGTATTCCAGGGGCCTGTAGATGATTTCCCAGAAGCTAAGGGTGGGGCTGGTGCTATGGCATAGTGGGTAAAGCCACCGCCTGCAATGCCAGCATTCCAGATGGGCGCCAGTTTGAGTCCTAGCTGCTCCTCTTCCAATCCAGCTCTCTGCTATGGCCTGGGAAAGCAGTAGAAGATGGACCAAGTCCTTGGGCCCCTGCACCCATGTGGGAGACCCCACAGAAGCTTCTGGCTCTTGGCTTTGGATAGGCGCAGTTCTGGCCGTTGCGGCCAACTGGGGAGTGAACCAATGGATTGAAGACCTCTCTCTGCCTCTCCTTCTCTCTCTGTATAACTCTGAATTTCAAATAAATAAATAAGTCTTTCTTGAAAAAAAGCTAAGGGCAAAAGTCAGACATTCTCTTTCAGCAAGGCAAGACAAAATTATTTATTTATACATGGGAACTCTGGTGAATAAATCAGACTCTTTTTTGGTAAAGTGTTTATTTTATTTTATTTTATTTTATTTTATTTTATTTTATTTTGGGAAAGAGCAACAGAATACAGGAAAAGACACGTTTTGATTCATTGGTTCAACTTTCTAAATGGCTGCCCCAGCCAGGACTATGCCAGGCCAAAGCCAGAAGCCAGGAACTCCATCTGAGTCTCCCACATGGCTTGCAGGGACCAAAGTACTTGGACCATCTTGTGCTGCCTTCCCAAGTGTGTTAGTAGGAAGCTGGGTGGGAAGTGAACTAGCTTAAACTCAACCAGCACAGCAGTATGGGATGCTGGCATCACAGATGTGGCTTAACCTGCTGCACCGCAGTGCTGGCTCCTTCCAAGACCTAAAATCTAACTTAGAAGTTTTTGGGACTATAAGGGGAAGGATAAAAGATTTGTTAAAAAAAAGGATTAGATAACTCTTGGGTTTGAAGGTTGATTTAAAAAAAAAAAAAAAAAAAGATTTATTTATTTGAAAGGCAGAGTTAGAGTGAACAAGAGAGATCTTCCATTCACTGGTTTACTACCCAAATGGACGCATGCCCAGAGCTGGGCTGATCTAGAGCCAGGAGCTTCTGGGTCTCCCACATGTCTCTTGGGGCCCAGGAACCTGGGGTATCCTCCACGGCTTTCCCAAGTGCATTAGCAGGCAGCTGGATCCAAAGTGGAGCAGCTGGGACACAAACTGGTACCCACGTGAGATGCTGATGCCGCACGTGGTGACTCTACCCATTATACCACAGCACCGGCCTGGTTGAAAGTCTTTTTTTTGTTTTCCACTTGTGAAATTGCTTAGTGGTAAAGAAAAGAGATTTGTGATTTGGCTTTTCATGGATAAGTTTTCTCTACTTGCTTTTTCTGACTTTTTAAGATTGATTTATTTGAAGCACATAGTGATCTTCACTCCCCAAGTGGCTGCAACAGCCAGGGCTGGGCCAGGCTGAAGCCAGGAACCTGGAACTCCATTCTGGTCTCCCATGCGGGTAGCAGGGGCTGAGTACCTGGTCCATCATTTGTTATTTTCCCAGGCACATTAGCAGGGAGCTGGATCATAACCAGTGCCTCGTAGGGCATGGAAGTGTCAGCAGGTGGCATGTTAACCCACTGTACCACAATGCTGGCCCTTTCTCAATTCTTTTTACCCTTAGTTTTCCTTGACTGTTGAGTAAGGGTGATAATAATGAGGAATTTTATAGCTCTGCATTGGAGTTTTATTGGATGAGTTAAGCTTCCATCACAGAATGCTAGAAACAGAATGTATGAAACCCAGTGGAAATGGGAGGAAAAGAACAGAAATTAAGGAAATACAAAGCAGATTTAAGTGCAACCAAACATGATTCTTTGAAAAAAAACTTAACACTGATAAACCCATAAGAAGACTGATCATTAGCCTGGCTTTGTGACTCAGTGGATTAAGCAGCCACCTACAAACATTCAATTTTTTTTTTTCTATTTTTAACTTTTTTTTGACAGGCAGAGTGGGCAGTGAGAGAGAGAGAGAGAGAGAGAAAGGTTTTCCTTTTGCCGTTGGTTCACTCTCCAATGGCCGCTGTGGCCAGCGCGGTGCGGCCGGCGCACCGCGCTGATCTGAAGCCAGGAGCCAGGTGCTTCTCCTGGTCTCCCATGGGGTGCAGGGCCCAAGCACTTGGGCCATCCTCCACTGCACTCCCTGGCCACAGCAGAGAGCTGGCCTGGAAGAGGGGCAACCGGGACAGAATCCAGCTCCCGGACTGGGACTAGAACCCGGTGTGCCAGCGCCCCAAGGTGGAGGATTAGCCTAATGAGCCAAGGCGCTGGCAACAAGGAGCTTTCGAAATGGAACAGCTAGGACTTGAGCCAGCGCTAGTATGGGATGCTAGCACTGCAGGTCCGGGCTTTCTCCCACTGTGCCACGACACTGGCCCCCAATATTTAGTTTTGAATTTGAAAAGTTAAAATACTACTTACTGACCTCTGTACTATGCAGTTCTCCTGTTTTTTCCCCTCCTAATTTTTTGATTCTAGCGGGATATACTGTCTTTACCTTATTTATATTTTGGCTTTTTAGGAAATGCTGAAATTTCCCAGTCCTTTCTATTAAAAAAATCTTAAAAAATATTATCTTCCATTAAATAAAGACTTTTGCCCTCAGGTAGCTGATTTCAAAGATAAAGTCTCAGGCAGTTTGTGTGCGTTTCTCCAAGACCATGGCGCTCGGAGCTGAGCCGTGGTGTGGTCCATCACTTTCATCTCCACCAGGCTGTGCCTCACGGCTGTGAGCCCTCAGAGAATCTGCCAAGGCTTCGTTTTGCTGGGGTTGATCTCGGCGGCGCTTTAGAGCTCGGTTCATCTTGCCTCCGCTCTCTGGGCAGAATGTCCACTCGGATCGTGTTCTCTTTCAGTGCCTGAGCAACACTGCACCGCTGACCGACTATTTTCTCAAAGATGAATACGAGGCTGAAATCAACAGAGACAACCCTCTTGGGATGAAGGGGGAGATTGCAGAGGCCTACGCGGAGCTCATTAAGCAGATGTGGTCGGGGAGGGACACTCACGTGGCACCTCGCATGTTCAAAGTATGTTGAGATCCGCCTTCCTTCTTCCTGTGCTGGGAGAGAGGTTTAGTGTTGTGATGAGCTATTCATTTAGTCGCGCTTTGGGATTCCGATTCAGCCCTGATGCTGTCCGACCCCTCTGTCCGCCGTCAGTCTCGGCGTCCTCGGTGCCTGTCCCTGGCTGCGGAGGCTCAGAAACTTCTGTGCTGGCGCCAGGCGGTTTTTTTTTTTTTTTTTTTTTTTTTTTTTTTTTTTTTTTTTTTTTTAATTTTTATTTTACTTAGAGAAATCAAGACAGAGGTCTTCATCCACTGGTTTATTCCCGAAATGACTATAGTAGCTAAGGTTGGGCCAGGCCAAACCGGGAGGTATCTTTTTTTTTTTTCCCAAAAGATTTTATTTATGTATTTGGAAGGCAGAATTAGAGAGAGAAAAGACTCAGAGAAATCTTCCATCTGCTGGCTCACTCCCCAAATGGCTGCAATGGCCAAGGCTGGGCCAGGTCGAAGCCAGGAACCGGGAGCTTCTTCCAGGTCTTCCGTGTGCATGCAGGGGCACAAGCACTTGGGCCATCTCTTGCTGCTTCCCCAGGCCATTAGCAGGAAGCTAGATCGGAAGTGCAGTAGCTGGGGTCTCAAACCAGCATCTGTATTAGATGTTGGCATCATGGGCGGCAGCTTTACCCGCTTTGCCACAGCACTGGCCCCGCACTGGCATCTTAATGATTGTACACAATAGTCGCCCCCCCCCCCCATTCATTTATTGAGAGGAAGACAGAGTTTCCATTGGCTGATTGACCCCCACAAATGCCTGCAGTGGCCAGAGCATGGCTGGGGCAGTCCAGGGCCAGAGCCAGGGAACAACCCAGGCATTCCACTGTGGAACATGGACCATGGCCACGCTAACGAGTCGGCTAAGTGCACACTCCCACAGAACTATTTCTAATGACAGTTTCTCCTCTGACTTTGCTGCTGCTGCGTATAATTTGCCTTCTGATGCAGTTACTTTTGTTGTAGACCCAAGTGGGACGTTTTGCTCCTCAGTTTTCTGGCTACCAGCAGCAAGACTCTCAGGAGCTGTTAGCCTTTCTTCTAGATGGATTGCACGAAGATCTCAACCGGGTAAAGAAGAAGCCCTACCTGGAGCTGAAGGATGCCAACGGCCGGCCGGATGCGGTATGACCCTGTCTGTGATGTCTGAGCAGTAAAACCCAGGAAGGCGTGCAGGGCATTCTGGGTTTTGAGTGTTGGCACCAAGGCCCTGGTGTCTGTCACGGTTGCTAGTGACAAGGGTGTGGACTCTGGTTAAGAAATGCACGCCACATCAGAAAGGGACTAATCCACATTACTACTAACACTTCCTTATGGACGTCTTCAAATTAGAGTCTGTTTGCTTAGTTTTGCATTACTGAACCAGATTCTAGGACATCGTCAAAGCTGTAGTGTGGACCCTTGGGATTATTACTGCTCCCATTAAAGTTCATTCATGAGTATTAAAATTGTTTTTTTTTTTTTTTATTTATTTATTTGAAAGAGTTACAGAGAGAGGTAGAGACAGAGGTCTTCCATCCGCTGGTTCACTCCCCAAATGGCTGCAATGGCCGGAGCTGTGCTGATCCGAAACCAGGAGCTCAGGAGCTTCCTCCAGGTCTCCCATGCGGGCGCAGGGGCCCAAGGACTTGGGCCATCTTCCACTGCTTTCCCAGGCCATAGCAGAGAGCTGGATCAGAAGTGGAGCAGCCGAGACTCCAGCCGGCACCCATGTGAGATGCCAGCACTTCAGGCTGTGGCTTTACCCGCTACGCCATGGCGCCAGCCCCTACAATTGGTTATTAATATTAAGTTTTGGGCATTTAAATATTGAATGTTCAGGCCGGCACCACAGCTCAATAGGCTAATCCTCTGCCTGCGGCGCCGGCACACCGGGTTCTAGTCCCAGTCAGGGTGCCGGATTCTGTCCCGGTTGCCCCTCTTCCAGGCCAACTCTCTGCTGTGGCCAGGGAGTGCAGTGGAGGATGGCCCAAGTGCTTGGGCCCTGCACCCACATAGGAGACCAGGAGAAGCACCTGGCTCCTGCCATTGGATCAGTGCGGTGCGCCGGCCGCAGCACACCAGCCACAGCGGCCATTGGAGGGTGAACCAACGGCAAAGGAAGACCTTTCTCTCTGTCTCTCTCTCTCTCTCACTGTCCACGCTGCCTGTCAAAAAAAAGTTAAAAATAAAAAAAAAAATTGAATGTTTGTATATTCAATATTTAAAATAGGCCATACTTTTTTTTCTTTAAAGTTTTTCTTCTTCTATTTTATTAATTTGAAAGGCAGAGAGGTAGAGGGAGAGACAGACATCTCCCATCTGTTGGTCCACTCTCCAAATGGCCATAACAACCAGAGCTAGACCAGACTAAAGCCAGGAGCCAGGAACTATCATGGTCTCCCGCATGGGTGGCAGGTGCCTAGGTACTTTGGTCATTTTGTGCTGCCTTCTCAGGCGCATTAGCAGAAAGCGGGATCAGAAGTCAGAAGTGGAGCAGCGAGGACTTGAAACGACACTCCAGTATTGTGATACTGTCATCGCAAGCAGGGACTTAACCCTCTGTGCCACAGCGCTGGCCGCAGGGCATAGATTTTCTCATCTGTGAAAGGGGCATTTAATATTTCAGCTGTGCTGTCACATTAGGATAATTAATGTGAATGCTTTAATGTAGTGTTTAGGTTCTGAAGGAAACACTGTGTGCCAACTAAACTGTAACATGGATTAAAACCTCCCCAGAGGGACGGAAATACCACGTGTGCAGCCCTTGCCCTGTTAGATCTGAGTGCCCGCGGTGCTTTCAAGGCTTCTGTCCCCATCAGAGGACACACTGACCTCTTATTTTCCTTAAATGCTGTGTCAGCTCTTATTAAATTTGCGCCTGGCTGTAGAGTAGGCGTGTGATTCTAGCCTGGAATGTTAAGAACTGTCCTGGCCCTGCGTGGCCTGGCCCCGGCTCTGGGCTGGTCCCTGGCAGCGTTTACTGGGCACTACTCTGGATCCAGGGAAGAGAACTGATGCTGCCGGTCCCTCTCTTTCAGGTGGTGGCAAAGGAAGCCTGGGAGAACCACAGGTTGCGGAATGATTCTGTGATCGTGGACACTTTCCATGGCCTCTTCAAATCTACTTTGGTTTGCCCAGAATGTGCTAAGGTTTCTGTGACCTTTGACCCATTTTGCTATCTTACTCTCCCACTGCCCTTGAAGAAAGATCGCGTTATGGAGGTCTTCCTGGTTCCTGCTGACCCTCGCTGCAGACCCACCCAGGTGTGTGTGCTCTCGAGATCCTGGTGGGCCTGCTTCTGTCCGCTGCCTTGGGAACTCAGGGCCGCCTGTGTCCCCTCAGCGCTTGCCTGCGTCTGCCCTCAGCCCCATGCCACCTTTCTTCGTGTAATCCCATACACGTCAGGCCTGCTGTCAGTTTGTTCCCCCGCGTTGCATTCGTGTGCCTAAAGGGACCCACGGATGCACTGAGCAGTCCTTGAATGTGAGTGTTGTGGACCCACAAGCAAGGTGCTTCCATGGTCAGGCTCACCCTTAACTCAGCCAAGAAAGCCTGGCCAGAATGAGAAGCTAGAAGAGGTGTGAGTGGCGGCCTTCATGTGCAGTCTCGCTGATGGCGCCTGCGTGCTTGCATTGCTTTGGGTAGGACCACGTGACAGTTTGTAGTTTAAATTGTTATCTCAAGACAGTGGTCAGGTGGTCGACCACATTAGGAACAGGTCGAGCAGTGCGTGGGAGGGAAGGAGGTGGCCTGGCTCCAGGTGGTGACGCACGCTCGCCTGTGTGCTGGACTGCGCCCACCGCACCGCACACTGCTGCTGGGGAGCAGCCCTGTCCCGGGCAGCGCCTGCTCTCCCAGCTCACTCCCCTCCCCTCCCCTCGCCCGTCTCTCCCTTGCAGTACCGCGTGACTGTCCCGCTGATGGGGGCTGTGTCTGACCTCTGTGACGCGCTCTCCAGGCTGTCTGGCATTGCTGCAGAAAACGTAAGGCGGGGTGATGAGTGAGAGGAAGTGCGGGGGGGCGGGGGGTTTCCTGTGCAGCACAGATGTGCCCTCGTCTCTGTGTGCACTGTGGCTGTCCCAGCTACTGGGGAACACCATCGTTCCTGCACTGGGCTCACACTAGCCATGCTCAGGGGGCAGGGACCGGGGCCCTGCTCCCGGCACTGTGTGATAGGGTCACCTGGAGGCCTTGGGCCTTGTGGACACCCCAGCAGCCTTTGGGTGACTCCCAGTCTCTGGTCGGCACTCCTTGCCGCTCCTGCCTCCTTAAGTGCCGCACTCCCTTGGACTGTAGCCCCGAGCCCTGGAGCTGGTTACGGTGGTCTGTTTGGAGGCAGCGCTGCAGTTGAGCGTGTTGGTCCATTTGTTTCTGGGTTTTAAGCAATTAGCAGGGCGCTCTGGTGCCATCCTGTGATCGCTCTCGCCCTGCTGGTCCTCAGATGGTGGTCACAGACGTGTATAATCACCGGTTCCACAAGATCTTCCAGATGGATGAAGGTTTAAACCACATCATGCCTCGAGATGACATCTTCGTGTGAGTACGCGGCGCGTCTGCCGCAAGGGCGAGCAGACACTGTAGGGGCTGCTGGTGTGTGTGTTTCTGGAGCGGGAGTGCGCCTGTGGATTCGCCAGCTGCCAGAGGCGGGTGTGCAGGGGACTGTGGGCAGCCGTCAGTGTAAGCTGTAGAGCTGGGTCTCCCCATGGCGCTTCTCGGTGTGGACACCTACAAGAGCTCCTGTAAGAGGCCTGCCTCCTGCTGGGCCACAGCTGTGGAAGGAAGGGGGAGCGATCCAGAGAGAGTTCCATCCCGTCTGCCAGAGGCGCCTTCATCGCCATCTCCAAAGTGACAGGGAGGCCTGCCGGACGCTCTGTGTGCGAGTCCAGCTCGGGCGCTCTGTGAGCCCGACACGGGGTCCTCGGCTCTGCCGGTGCTGCTCCGGGGCTGCTCAGTGTGGCTGTGTACATGTCCCGGCTGGAGTGCAGTGGGGCATGAACCTGCCTGCTCCTCTCAGACTGTCCCTGGTCAGGGACGCCTCGGGGTGGCCACACCCTCCTCCTCTGCCCCTCGCCCAGAAACTTCCCCTGCTGCGACGCTTCCAGGGTTGGTTTTGGCTTTGAGTTTTGCTGAGGAATGCAGCACACAAAGAAGGAATCCGCCCTGCGCGTTTGAGCCTGACTTGTAGTCTCTGTTCTGAAAGGAGTGGTTCGTGGCGCACAGAGGATCCCAGTTCTGTTCCCATCCCATCTTCACCCACAGGGGGAGCCAAGGCTCACACCAGGCCACAGAACGAGGACCGGGGACAGTCAGCTTTCATGTCCATTTCTGACCCGAAGCCCTTGACACCCCTGAGTTCTGGAAACATATTTGCACACCTGAAACAGGGCTGTCTCATTATGTGACCCAAGGCAGATTGCCTCCAAAAACGGCATTTTCAGAGGGTTAAGGGCCAGCCAATGGGAAAACATGTTGTTCTGTGAAAGCAGCAATAGTCTCTGGTATTTTTTGAGCATGTTGGGCACTGTGCTGCTAAGTTACGTAATTCTCCCCGCAGCCCTTTAGGGTGGGTAATCCCACTGTGAGCTGGGTAAGCAGACTCAGTGCGCACCTGGCCACAGCAGCAGGAAACAAGCCGCGGACCTGGAAGCTGGCCTGGCCTTATGTAGGGCCTGGCCCTTCCCTGGCGCGAGCTCCTGTGTTTGTGTGAATTGTTCTTAGAACTCCTCCTGCGTAAATTGCAGTCAGGACTGTCCGCCAGGCCTTTGGGGGAGAGGAATGTGTGTTTCTAGTTTTAAAAAATGGAATCAGTGAATGAGTCTCACCCAAGAGAAGAGGAAAAGACCACAGCCACGTTGGTAACATCTGTTCAGGCCAAAACATCTGTATACCTCCTCAGCCCCATGCTAAGAAAGACACTTTTTTTTTTTTTTTTAATATGTATTTATTTGAGAGGTAGAGCTACAGAGAGAGGGAGAGACAGAGAGAAAGGTCTTCTATCCACTGGTTCACTCCCCAAATGGACATAGCAGCTGGAGCTGAGCCGATCCAAAGGCAGGAACCAGGAGCTTCTTCTGAGTCTCCCATACTGGTGCAAGGCCCAAGCACTTGGTTCATCTTCTACTGCTTTCCCAGGCCATAGCAGAGAGCTGGATAGGAAGTGGAATGGTTGGGACTGAAACCAGTGCCCATGGGATGTTTGTGCCAAAGGCAGAGGCTTAGGCCATTACACTACAGCTGACCCCAGAAAGACACATTTAAAAATCATTAAATATATATTTAGTAGTTTTTTTGCTTAGCTCTGATTTTTATTTTTTTAAAACTTTAATAAATAAACTGCTTTAGTATAACTTTTGGATAATAGCGGTTCCCCCCCATAACCTCCCTCCCACCCACAACCATCCCATCTCCTACTCCCTCTCCCATCCCATTCTTCCAACAGTTTGCACCCACACAGATACACAAAGTATAAAGTACTGTTTGAATACTAGTTTTACTGTTAATTCGCATTAGTATAACACATTAAGGATAGAGGTCCTACATGGGGAGTAAGTGCACAGTGACTCCCGTTGTTGATTTAACAATTGACACTCTTATTTATGACGTCAGTAATCATCCGAGGCTCTTGCCAAGGCTATGGAAGCCTTTTGAGTTCGCCAACTCCGCCCTTATTTAGACAAGGCCATACTCAAGTGGAAGTTCTCTCCTCCCTTCAGAGAATGAGCTCTGATCTTTTTACTTCATTGCTTTTGAACAAAGATGGAGCTAGTTTTCTAAACTTGCTTCCTTATTTCAACAAAAAGAGACTCTGGCTGATACCTTAGGAGTATATCGTTATGCAGTGCTTGGTTTTATGAAGGGACAGGGCCCTGAAATGCATTTTTTTTTTTTTTTTTTTTTTGGACAGGCAGAGTGGACAGTGACAGAGTGAGTGGCGCTGCGGCCAGCGTACCGCGCTGATCCGACGGCAGGAGCCAGGTGCTTATCCTGGTCTCCCATGGGGTGCAGGGCCCAAGCACTTGGGCCATCCTCCACTGCACTCCCTGGCCACAGCAGAGAGCCGGCCTGGAAGAGGGGCAACCGGGACAGAATCCGGCGCCCCGACCGGGACTAGAACCCGGTGTGCCGGTTCCGCAAGGCGGAGGATTAGCCTAGTGAGCCGCGGCGCCGGCCTGAAATGCATTTTTGAAAGTTGAGCTGCTTGGTGACGGAAGATGGCCTTGGTGGCTGTGGCCCTGGCGGCGGTGCGGATGACCTCCCACTGTGTGGAGTGTCAGCTGCAGGAGTGTGGAGCTTGCCGTCCCAGCGCGCCTGCACTGCGGGGCTGGCAGGTCCCGTCATGCCAGCGATGGCCTGCCTGTGGATTCCTGACCCAGCCTCGGAATCACCCTGGAAATGGCTCTTCCGGCTTTTCTGCTGGAGCCTGCTCTGTCCCAGTGTCCAGCATCCTGGCCACCATGTTGCTGCCGCTCGGATCTCTGTTGCTCACCAGCTAACGGAACCCTTTTGTGTGCTTGACACAGGTACGAGGTCTGCAGCAGCTCCGTGGATGGCTCGGAATGTGTCACACTTCCGGTCTACTTCAGGGAGAGGAAGTCCCGCCCATCGAGCACTTCCTCTGGGGCAGTGCTGTACGGGCAGCCCCTGCTGGTCTCTGTCCCTAAGCACAAGCTCACCCTCGAGTCTTTGTACCAGGCTGTTTGTGATCGTATCAGGTTGGTGTCAGAATACAATTTGGTGCTTATCTGAGATCAAAATAGGCCTAATGGTGTTAGTGACAGCATTGCAAATTGGTTGTATTGATCCCATGTACTCCCCCATGGAAGAGATGTAGCTGTGTCTGACCCGGGAGGGCCAGGCAGCTGCTGTTGGGATGGCGTGGCAGGTGCATCTTAGGCACAGAGACCGTGACCTGAGCCTTGGCTCTCCAGAGTCATGCCAGTCACCTGCATCTGGGAGTTTAATGGCATCGTGTATTTGAATCCTCTTTCTGAAATGCCATTCTGAAGCTGCTGATGGGCATTACTGAGAAATACTGTCATTCATTTATTTATTTTTTAAACAGTATTGGTTTATTTGAGAGTTTGAAAGAGAGGGTAGACAGATCTTCCATTGACTGGTTCACTCCCCAGATGGCTGCAACAGCCAGGGCTGTGCCAAGCTGAAGCCTGGAGCCTAAACTCCATCGGGGTCTCCCACTTGGGTGGCAGATGCCCAAGGACTTGGGCCATCTTTGGCTATTTTCACAATGCATTAGCAGGGAGCTGGGTTGGAAGTGGAACAGCCGGGACTCGAACTGGCACTCATATGAGATACTTGCATCGCAAGCAGCAGCTTAGCCAACAGTGCCCATCTAGGGAAATACTTTTAAAAATCATGGTTTTATTTAACATTCATAGAAGACTTGAAACAGAGTTCCTTGAAGTCTTTATGGCTCAATACATTAGACATCAAATCTCTTGGATTCCTCTCAGTTTTTTTTTTTTTTTTTTTAAAGATTTTTATTTATTTGAAAGGCAGAGTTAGAGAGAGAAGGAGAGATTGTCCATCTGTTGATTTACTCCTGAAATGGCTGCAATGGCCAGAGCTGGGCTGATCCAAAGCCAGGAGCTACTTCGGGTCTCCCATGTGGGTGCAGGGGCCCAAGCACATGGGTCATCTTCCACTGCTTTCCCAGGTGCATTAGCAGGGAGCTGGTTCGGAAGTGGGGGAGCTGGGACTCAAACCAGCAGCCGTGTGGGATGCTGGCGCTGCAGACAGTGGCTTTACGCCACAGCACTGGCTCCCTTTCTCAGTTTCTTAAAGGGTGAGCTGTCACATGGGTTTTGTTTGTTTGTTTTTAATTTATTTATCTGACAGGTTGAGTTATAAACAGTGAGAGAGAGAGAGAGAAAGGTCTTCCTTCCATTGGTTCACTCCCCAAATGGCCGCTGTGGCCGGCGCTGTGCCAATCCGAAGCCAGGAGCCAGGTGCTTCCTCCTGGTCTCCCATGTGGGTGCAGGGCCCAAGCACTTGGGCCATCCTCCACTGCCTTCCCGGGCCACAGCAGAGAGCTGGCCTGGAAGAGGAGTAACCGAGACTAGAACCTGGCGCCCATATGGGATGCCAGCGCCACAGGCGGATTAACCAAGTGAGCCACAGCGCTGGCCCCTATCACGTAGTTTTAAAAGACTTTTATTTACAAACATTTCAATATGTGAATTATTTAGCTGCATAGTGGAGAAAAGTATATAAATGTCACAACTAACAAATAATTTTTCTCTCTTTTTAAGCCGCTATGTGAAACACCCTTTGCCTGATGAGTGTGGCAGCTCACCCTTGGAGCCAGGGGCCTGCAACGGCTCCCGGGGCAGCTGTGAAGGTGAGCACTTGCCATGTTGCGGGCTGCAGGGCTGTGGCTGAGCGGGTTCTTCATTTCCTTCTTCCAAGGGCGTTTGGAGCGGGGGCCCTGCCAGAGCAGCAGACCCGGGAGCCGGCTCGGTGCCACTTCTTTCTGCCTGTCCATCGTTCAGCTTCGTCAGCTCATCGTTGTCCTAGACACCTGCCCATGTGGGTTGGGTTTCACTGCAGACACACTGAACCTAGAGGGATTGTGTGACTTGTCCAGAGTCACAAAGCAGAGCCAGAATTTGAATCCTGCGCTGTTGGGGTTGCAGTGTGGGTGCTGTCCCAGCGCGTGCTTGCCTCCGTGTCATGAGCTCCGCTGGCACGGTGTTGCTAACCTGGCCCTCACACACCAGCGTGGCACACAGCCGCTCAGCCCGCCTGGCGAGCCTGCTGTCCCCGGGCATGGCCAGTCAGAAGGCAGAGGCAGCCTCTTTTGGGTGTTCTTTCTTTCTACCCAGGAAGCCGTGGATGGGGGCTGACTGTAGACAACTCCTACAGTGAGAGGGAAGTCACAGATCAGGAGGCAGGAGAAACTGAGTCCTCACTGTCCTGTATGTGCTGGGTGCTGACGGAGTCCTTCCTGGTCCAGGGCGCCACGTGCAGGCCACATGATGCTTAGCCCTCTGTGCTGGACCTGGAAGACCCAGTGGCTTTATTTCTGTAAAACTCAAATATCCTCTGAAGTGATTCTGTAGAATCTCAAGTCCAAGTCCAAGTGCCTGGATTTCTCCAAAACACGCAAAGTCTGGGGAAGTGAGAGCTGGTGTTAGAAGCAGCGGCCACGCGCAGTAGTGTGGGCGCACGTGAGGACTGCCACGCTGAGCGAGACATCAGGCACAGAAAGACGGGCACCACGTGAGCATCGTGACGTTGTGTGTGAGGTCAGAGGAGCTGACCTCGGAACGTGAGAGTGAGGCCGTGGTCCTCAGAGGCTGGGGAGACGCTGGGGAGGCTGGGCAGCAGGTGCAGTGTCCCAGGAGGGCAGGGGAAATAAATTCTGATGTTCTGGGTGTAGCGAGGTGAGTACGGGTAACAGTCCTGGATTGTGTATCTCAAAATAGTTAGAAACAGACCATAAAGAAATGGTAACAATTAAGGCGCTGGGTATGCTGATTGTCCTGAGTCGATCTTTATCCCAAGTGTACATGAATCAGAACTTGAGGTTGTACCTCACAAGTATGTACTGGTCAGAGTCAATAAATGAAATCAATGAATTAAAAAGAAATTCTGACTACCAGGCTGCACTGCCATAGCTATAATTCTGAATTGCTGTAAGTATTTTGGGTTGGGTAGGATGTCTTTCAGTCAGACACTTGCTTTCGCCCAGAGTCCTAGGTTCTCCCCGATTGAGATGAACAGAAGTGTACTTGTGCACAGGTCGCACAAGCAGAGGTGTCGGAGTGAGGCTGGGAGCCCCCGAGCAGACCTTGGGTGACCTGTGGCACTGCAGAAACTAAGGCCCTGTGAGCTCTCGGCAGGGTGCGTCGTGGGCTTCAAGAAATCCCGCCTCCCTCTTAACCTTGGCTGGCCTGTCTGCCTAGTAGCGTGGTGACACCTGCTCCACAGTTGCGCTTACAGCTTAATGAGCACGTGAGGTTAAGTGCCGTGCACAGGGTGAGCGCTGGCTGTTGTCCCCAGCAGCCCTGCTGCTCAGGTGCTCCACCGTCGGCTGCAGTCGGTGTGGAGACTGCAGATCCTGCGCACGGCCACGTGCTGCTCGCCGACTCTCAGTGGCCTCGAGGCGGCTGCCTTCCCGCGTCCTCCTGCAGGAGCGCTGCCCGGCAGTTCCTTGTGACTGCCCGGCGGACGGTTCCCGAGATTGTCCGGGTAACACGGGTAACACGACCCCTGGCGCGGCTAGGGACGGAGCAGTGTCAGGGCAGTGCTTGACGGGGCGCAGGCGGCTGTTGGTTCCGTCCTGCGAGGCGGCCGGCACGGGGGCGAGGCGACCCTGAGCAGAAGGGGCAGTGGCGCAGCTGGCGGAGCTGAGCGGCTCGGGAGGAAGCCCTGTGAGACCCGCGCCTCCTCGCCGCGGGGCGTATTTCTGAGACTTGGTCAAGTCTGTACCTCTGTTTTCAGTCTGCTCTCCCCTGTTGCCTTTCCGGCTCCTCTTGGATGGCCCCCGTCCTTCCAGGAATTTCGGCTGCATTAGCTTCCCCGTCAGGGCTGTGGGCTCTGTTAGGGGGAGGTGCCGTCTGCTCCTTCTGGGCACAGCATGGCCACTGCCCGCAAGAGGCTGGTAGGACATACTTGTTGAGTGAACAGTTGGCATGTGTCTTTGTGGAGGAACCGAATGCTTTTAGTTAATACTTGGGTTCATTTATACTATTTGAAAATGGACTTAAAAAATAATTTATTTGAAAGGCAAAGTTAGAAAGGGAGAGAGAGAGACAGAATCTTCCATCCCGCTTGTTAACTCCCCAAATGACCACGACGTCTGAGGCTGGACCAGGCCAAAGCCAGACGTCTGGAACTCCGTCCGGGTCTCCACATGCGTGGCAGGAACCCAAGTACTTCACGGCACGTTAGCAGGGAGCTGGATCAGCAGCAGAGCAGCCAGGATTCGATCTGGTGCTGTGTAGGATGCCAGCGTCACAGGCAGCGGGCTTAACCTGAGTGTCCGGTATTCATCTCACTTAGGCCTGTCCCTCTGTGTACCTACTGATGTGGTTTAAAGAGTAAGCCCATGTCGGCCGGCGCCGCGGCTCACTAGGCTAATCCTCTGCCTTGCGGCGCCGCCACACCAGGTTCTAGTCCCGGTCGGGGCACTGGATTCTGTCCCGGTTGCCCCTCTTCCAGGCCAGCTCTCTGCTGTGGCCAGGGAGTGCAGTGGAGGATGGCCCAGGTGCTTGGGCCCTGCACCCCATGGGAGACCAGGATAAGTACCTGGCTCCTGCCATCGGATCAGCGTGGTGCGCCGGCCGCGGCGGCGGCCATTGGAGGGTGAACCAACGGCAAAAGGAAGACCTTTCTCTCTGTCTCTCTCTCTCACTGTCCACTCTGTCTGTCAAAAAAAAAAAAAAAACCCATGTCGTGTGAACTCCATAAGCGCCCAGTGGCCAGGGGCTCAGGTTTTGGACTGCAGGACTGCCAAGTCATTTTGCACTTTTAGTGACGGCTCTAACTTTCTCTGGGCCTTCGCGGCGTTCGCTCTGGTTATCTGGTCTTCCCCTGGAGGGGGTCACATGTGAATTCAAGTGGCTTGTACCTGCAGCCGGGTAGGCCGAGTTTCCCGTACATGTAACAGAATCTGGAAGGAGGCACCACCAGGTATCCACTGCAGCGTCTAGCCCTGACGTGGCGGTGCCTCACGCACGTGTTGTTGTCCTTTGTGTATCAGGAGAGGATGAAGAAGAAATGGAGCATCAGGAGGCAGGCAAAGAGCAGCTTTCAGAGACCGAAGGCAGCGGGGAGGAGGAGCTGGGCGGCGAGCCCTGCGAGGCTGCCCACAGGAAGGCCGGAGGCCAGCGCTGCCCCAAGAGGCTCTTCACCTTCAGCCTGGTGAACTCCTACGGAACAGCCGACATCAACTCCCTGGCGACGGACGGCAAGCTGCTGAGGCTCAGCTGTGAGCGCCTTCTCTGACTTGGGCTTCGGGCACTTGGGAGGGTGCGGGTGGAAGGCCTTGTGCTTTGGGCTCTCCCTCTCCCTGTGACCCCAAATGCAGACGAGCAGGGTTTGAAGCCCCTGAGGCCTGTTCCGGGGGGACCTCCTGCAGGCGCTTCTCTGACCTTGCTGACCTCAGCAGGCAGTGGGTGGCCCTGTAGGACCTCCGCCCTGGGGCAGCTGCACGTCCTGAGGCCACACGTGGTGAGAGCTTGTACTTAGAAGCATAAGTGTGTATCTGTTTTATTTCATGAGAATACTTCCGGATGCGACCCGGCTAGAGGATGACCGTGGATTTTGTAGACTCTCACGTGGAGCCTGGATGGGATGGGATGGGATGGAAGAGGCCCCCAGCCTCAGGGCTGTGGGGGTGTGGTGTGTGACAGGCCAGGGAGGACGCCTGTGCAGGGTAGGCGGGGCTGCAGAAGCTTCTCTCTCTTTTTTAAAAAATATTTATTTATTTATTTGGAGTCAGAGAGGGAGGGAGGGAAGGAGAGACAGGTCTTCTATCTGCTCATTCAGGCTCCAAGTTGTCACAGCGGCCAGGGCTGAGCCAGGCTGAAGCAAGGAGCCAGGAGCCTCATCTGGGTCTTCCATAAGGGTGGCAGATGCCTAAGCACGTGGACCATCTCCCACTGCTTTGCCCAGCCATTAGCAGGGAGCTGGATCGGAAGTGGAGCAGCCAGGACTCGAACTTGCACCCGTATGGGATGCTGGAGCTGCAGGCAGCAGCTTTACGTGCTACACCACAGCGCCGGCCCTACAGGAGCACCTCTTGTGTCTTTTAGCTTCTTTCTTTGGAGGAAAGACTAGTAAACCAGATGCCCTTATGCCTTCTTGCGTTTTTAAATACATTTTTTTTCTTATTTATTTATATTATTTATTTGAAAAGCAAAGAGACAAGAGAGAGAGACCTTCATCTGCTGATCCAGTCCTCAGATGGCCACAATGACCAGGGCTGGGTCAGGCTGAAGCAGGAGCCAAGAACTCCGTCCCGGTCTCCCATGTGGGTGGCAGGGGCCCACGCTGTGAGCAGGAAGCCTGATCAGACGTGGAGCAGCCAGCGCTGCAGGCAGCAGCTTAACCTGTCTGGTCAGGGTGCTGGTCCCCTTCTGGTTCAAAGTCAGAGGAGAAATCTGGGCCCTCCAGATTGCTCCTTGTAGATCTGTGCCTTCTCGGGGTTCTCCATAGTCAGTGTCTTTGGAGCTTATCTGTCTCGCTAAGGAAGTCTTTGCCAAAGGTTTTGGGGACTAGGGTCTGGAAAGGCCGGCGGCCAGGCAGGACGTTGCCCTTGGCCGTGGCTGTGACGACGAGCAGGTGCTGACGGGTCCACCTGAGTGCGCCCTCCCTCCTGTCACTTGGGGAGCCCCTCCTGTTGCTGGCCACCCCAGAATAAGTGATTCTCTGGTCCTCCCGCTCAGCCCGATCTACACTGGCCATCGACTGGGACAGCGAGACCCGGAGCCTGTACTATGACGAGCAGGAGTCTGAGGTAGGTGTTGGGGTTTGCAGTCGGGGTGGAAGCTGGTCTGTGCTCTGGCAGCGTGCGGGGGTCGCTGACTGGTCGGGCAGCAGTGCGGCAAGGTAGATTTAGGCCTGAGAAGGCCACGCACCGCCCGGATTTTGTCACTTCGCGTTCTGAGTGGGCATCTGTGTCCTCGCGGTTGAGCCACTGAGACCAGGTCGCCCCGCGAGAACTGCGCGCTGTGCTCCCCACAGGCCTTTGAGAAGCATGTGAGCATGCTGCAGCCTCAGAAGAAGAAGAAGACGGCGGTGGCCCTGAGAGACTGCATCGAGCTCTTCACCACCATGGAGACCCTCGGGGAGCACGACCCCTGGTATGCAGACACACGCACACACCCTCAGCGAGCACGGCCCCTGGTATGCAGACACACGCACACACCCTCGGGGAGCACGACCCCTGGTATGCAGACACACGCACACACCCTCGGGGAGCACGGCCCCTGGTATGCAGACACACGCACACACCCTCGGGGAGCACGGCCCCTGGTACGCAGACACATGCACACACCCTCGGGGAGCACAACGCCTGGTACGCAGACACATGCACACACCCTTGGGGAGCACAACCCCTGGTACGCAGACACACACGCACACACACGCTGGGCCCGCCCTATCTGCTGGGCCCTTCTCCACCCAGCGGCACTGCCGCTGTGTTTTACACACTCACAGAGCCTTCGGCCTGCTTTGGAAGGCAGGCCCCTGCCCATTGTCCACTCAGTGGCCGGCGCCACCGTGTGCTTTGCTCCCCCACGCAGCGGAGGTTTCTTTTTCTCTTCAGGTACTGTCCCAACTGTAAGAAGCATCAGCAGGCCACGAAGAAGTTTGACCTCTGGTCCTTGCCCAAGATCCTGGTGGTCCACCTCAAGCGCTTCTCCTACAGCAGATACTGGAGGGACAAGCTGGACACGGCCGTGGAGTTCCCAGTCAGGTGCGGTGCACCGACGGCTAGCCAGGGCGGGTGTGGCCGTGCAGGGGCTCTGGCTGTGGTCCGCCCTCCGGGCCTCCTCCCGCCCGTGGGGACCAGGCCTTCCCCGAGGGGCGGCAGGTGCCGATGCTCCGTGGTGCTGGCTCCCCTCCTGCACGCCGCAGCGCTGCTCTTCCTGAGCGGGTTGCGTCGCTGGTGCGGGTGGGCGTGCAGAGCTGCCCAGGTCCCTGGGGGCAGGGACGGCCCTCAGCTCTCATCTCTCAGACCTGAGGTTCTAGACTGACAGAAGCAAGAAAGGAAGCCGGCTGGTGGATGTTCCCCCAAGGCGCCAGTTCTCAGATGCTCTGCGGGGCGGGGGGCGTGGTGGATCCGAGAACAAGTGTCGTGTCAGCGGGAGGGCCCACAGAGGCCGTAGTGTTGGTTGGAAAATTCTTTGACCTTCTCTCTGTGTATGTTGGAAATTTCCACGTTGTTTCAGCGCACAGGGGGGTTGCTGTGGCGTCTTCCCAGCCGTGCCCGCCTGTGCAGTGTGGGGGTCGCCCAGGAGGCCGCTCCCACCTTCCCGTCTGCACGTGCCGGCGGGCAGAGCACAGAGCCCAGGAGCCCTCCCGCTCTGTCGATGCCTCTGATCCCTTCCCAGGAGGCTTTGTGGTTGCCGCGCAGTGTTTCGGCCCAGGTACCTGTGTCACCTCCTGTAACTTGACATTGAAGGCGATGTCTGTGTTTGTGCTCAGAGCGCTGAACATGTCCGAGTTTGTCTGTGACCCGTCGGCGAGGCCTTACGTGTACGACCTCATTGCCGTGTCCAATCACTACGGAGCCATGGGGGTTGGCCACTGTGAGTATTGGCTTCCGCTTCCAGAAATGCTCTTGCTGGCTACCTCGCCGGCCTTTGCCTGTGCGCCAGCCGCTGCCCCAAGCATTTGACGTAAACAAAATTGCTACTGCTGCTCCTTGGGTTGTTTCAGATAAGGCTTTTTCATTTATTTGAAAGGCAGAGACAGACAGCTTCCGTCCACTGGTCCACTCCCTGAAATCCCGCAGTAGGCTAGGCTGGCTGGACCGAGGCCGCCAGGTACATTAGCAGGGAGCGGGATTGGAAGTGGAGCAGTCGGGGCTCCAACAGGTGCTTGCGTGGGATGCTGGCGTCACAGGGGGCGGCTTCACTTGCTGTGCCTGATGCTGGCTCCCCAAGCCGTGTTAACTCAGGTTCTTCCTCATATCCTTTAATTCCGTAACGCTGTCTCTGAGAACCTATCCCAAGGAAACAGTGTGACGTGGGGAACTGACGTGTACACACCAACTGGTAGCACTGCTCTCCACCTGCTTGGAGGATCCACAGGCATTTCAAAATAAAGTTAGTTACCACGTGGGGGAGATAAGTGTCCATCGACGGGGAAATGGGAAAGTATGTCACTGTAGATGGTGATGTCTCAACTGTGTTAAACGGAAAGAAACTTTGATGGAAGGAAGCCTGGAAGAAGATGACAAAATGTTAAGTTCACTTTTTTTTCTGATTACTCAATTTTCCCAAATTTCTATAATCCATTGTTTTACAATGAAGAGACCTAGCACAGTTTTGTTTCTTATTTACGGAAAAGTGTGAGTGATGCTGAGGTGAGGGGCTGGATTCCTTCACATCTCCTCCCTGCATCTGCACTGGGCACTGTGTGGGACCCCAGGGGAGGTGCCGGGCCCGGGTCACAGAGCTGCCCTCCGTGCCCACTCCTCCTCTCCACGGCTCCCCAGTCCCCGGCCTGCGTGTCTGCAGCCTGGGCCCGCGAGGAAGGCGGGAAAGACATCATTTTTTTTGCTTTCTCTGGGACTCCCCGCCCCCGCCGGTTCCCCTCTTCTCTCTTCCTCCATCTCATTGGTCATGACTTGGTCACAGGGCTACGTGGATGTGCAGGGAGGCTGGGACAGTCAGGCCCCTGCTGTCCCACAGTGCACACTGTCGTGACTTGGCTTTTTTCCCCAGATGAACTTTGGTATCTGTTCATTTTCAACTGCCGTCCTCACATGCGAACACACGCCCTGCGCAAGTCTCGGCTGCTTGTGCGGGGGCACACTGTGGTCCCCTCGTTGCAACTGCGCACAGAGCCCTGTGGCTGCTGTTAGGCCGGGCACAGACCACGTGAGCACCTGCTGTGGCCTTGGCCTGGCTCATTCACAGGCAGTCCGTTCCATAGGGAGGCTGGAGCCCCAACACCGCGCCCAGAGTCTCAACAGGCATTGAAACAAAAAACCACACTCTGCAGGCTCAGGTCCCACGGCCGGCCGGGATCGCCATCATTTTAACCTGACATTTAAGGCCTGCTGGAAACGCTGTGATGTGAGGACAGGCGGCCTTGGCTTTCCCTCGCTTTCCCTCGCTCTGTCTCTCTTTATTTGGAAGATAGACACACACACAGACAGATGTTCCATCTGCTTGGTCATTCAACAGATGCTACCAGCCGTCGGCTGGGGCCGAGTCCCACCTGGCACTTGGGGCATCACCTGCTGCCTCCTGGGGTGTGCGTTACAGGACGCTGGAATCAGAAGCAGAGCCGGGACTCGGACCCAGGCCCTCTGATGTGGGCATCCCCGGCAGCAGCTTAACCACCACACCAGATGCGCACCCCTACAGATGGGACTCAGGATTTTAGAGGAAGATAAATTTAAAGGTTGTCCACATCCTAGGTCACGAACCCAAATGCCCTAAGCAAGCAGGCTGCAGCGGTCCTGTGAGCCTTCCAGGACACTGACTTGCCGTCTTTTCAGAGTCTGTTTTGCTTGGATTTTAAGACATACGAGCTGCCTTTGTGGAGCCCCTGGCTCTAGATTTAGATCAGAACCATCCTGAACATTGGCACTGGATATATTGTATTTTTTAGTTTCCAAAAATTAAAGTTTATTATTTATTTTAAAACTTTTAGGGGCTGGTGCTGTGGTGTAGCAGGTAAAGCTGCTGCCTACAGTGCTGGCATCCCGTATGGGTGCCAGTTCAAGTCCCTACTGCTCTGTTTCAGATCCAGCTCTCCGCTGTGGCCTGGGAAAACAGTGGAAGACGGCCCAGGTCCTCGGGTCCCTGCACCTGCATGGGAGACCCAGAAGAAGCTTGAGGTTTCTGGCTTTGGATCGGCCCAGCTCCGACTTTGCAGTCATTTGGGAAGTGAACCAGAGGGTGGAAGACCTCTCTCTTTGCCTCTGCCTCAGCAACTCTGACTTTGAAATAAATAAATACATCTTTTTAAAAAAGGGTATTTGAAAGAGTTGCAGGGAGAAATACAGAGAGCTTCCATTGCCTGGCTCACTCCCCCATGGCCAAAAACGCCAGCCACGTCCCAGAGACCGAAGCCAGGAACCGAGAGCTTTATCCAGGTCTCCCACGTGGGTGCAGGGGCTCGTGCACCTGGGCCATCTTCCCGCTGCTTTTCCCAGGAGCCTCAGCAGGGAGCTGCATTGCAGCCCTGTTGTGCTGGGCTGCCGGTGCTGCAGGTGGCAGCTTTACCTGCTACAGCATAGCGCCGGCCCCTTACAGCTCCACGCTTACCCTTAGGAGAAGGAATACATAAGGAACAATGGGCTGTCTGGGCTAAGACACTGTAAATTATTTCATCCTGAGAGTCGTTGCTGTGCTGGGTTCTGTGTGCTCGCTGTGAGCCTGACTCCGGGCCTGGTGGGTGTCCTTTTGACTTGCAGACACTGCGTACGCGAAGAACAAACTGAACGGGAAGTGGTACTACTTTGATGACAGCAACGTGTCCCTGGCCTCCGAAGAGCAGATCGTGGTGAGTCGGCCCTGACGCCTGCGTCTTCCTCTTGCCTTTGTGAGGTGGCAGCGGGAAGGGTGCTCCTCCGTGACCGTGTCGAGGAGGAGGGGCTGCCCTTTCTTTGGACCCCTTTCCTGAAAGAACCGTGCGGCTCTCCTCGGGCCCTGCCTTTGCCCGCTCCCCTCGCAAGGGCGCAGGGGCCCGCAGCCGGGGAAGGGCCTTCGCGGCCACCTCTGCGTCTGCAGGGCAAGGCGGCAGATTGGTGCGCGACAGCCAGCCGGTAAGTGGCCTTCCCCCTTGTCTTTCAGACAAAAGCGGCGTACGTGCTGTTTTACCAGCGTCGGGATGATGAGTTCTATGAGACGCCGTCTCGGGCCAGTTTTCCTGGCTCCTCGGACGGAGGGACCAGACCGGGCAGCTCGCAGCAGGCCTCAGGGGATGAGGAGGCGTGCAGCATGGACACCAACTGATGTGGACTCTGACCCCGGAGGACATCCGGACGCCCTGGGGACTCCTGGTGTTCAGTCTAAAGACCAGATGAGAAAAGGCCCTTTTATGAGCAGAAGAAAAAAAAAGACCTTGTTTGCTCAGAAGGGCTATGTCAAGAGGCTGAATTATTTTTCCTTTTAAACGGGTGGTGAGACATCTGTAACACCCGCGGAGCCGCGCGGGTGGGGGTGCACAGGTGTGAGTGCTGGGTGCCTGCCGAGGAGAGGAGCGTGGTCAGCGGAGGCGGCCGGCGGCACAGGGTCCCTGTGCAGCTCTGGACACTGGTCCCTGGCCCGGTTGTCTGCCAGGGTCGCCCTTGCTCTGTGCGCTCAGATGGGTTGATAGTTTTCTAAACCTTAGCCACTGGAGCCCATTTCTGGTTCTCAACCTCGAGTCATCTTGGAATTCCCAGCTCTCCTCCCTGCTAATGAAATGAAGATATCTGGTGTTGGGGCCTCTGCCTCTCAATCTCCCGTGGAGCCTGGCAGCCCTGTTGTGCGCCCCTCCCCCCACCCCCTTGATGAATTGAGACCTACGGATACTGTGTGGGCCTCTTATTAGTCGTGGAGACAACTGGGTCCCAGCCAATGGCTTCTCCTACACGTGAGGAGGGGGACCCGAGGGCGCGGACCTGCGGGTTACCCCGACCCTCCCCCTGCCCTGCCCCGCCCCGCCCCACCCCGCCCCCGGCGCACGCCGCCCCTCTGGCTGCCTCCTGTGCTCGGAGCCCCTGCTACCCTTCCTGGTCACGGGGGCTGAAAGAACACAGTTGTCCGGGCTTTTTGTCTGACCTTTAACCTAAGTGGGGAGGATGTTGGGGCTTCTGATCTTGGGCACGCGCGATTGCGGTCGATCGGGTGCACGCGGTGACCGTTGGCGGGGGTGGGGTAGCCGTGTCTCCGCGCTGCTTGGTGAGGACGTGGCGCTGCGGGTCTCCCGTGGGGTAGGGGCGGGCAGCGGGCCCGCCTCGGCGCCATGGGGAGCGGGACAGCACTGGCGGCCGCTGGGGGTGGGGGTGGGGGTGGGGGGTGGGCCCGGAAGCCACGGGAGGATAGGAGGGGCGGCCCGGCCTGGGGGCTCCTCCCTGATCCCGGCCCCCCCCCCAACCACACCCCACTTCACACGGAGGGAGAAGCGCCCCGGGGCTGTAGCTCGGCACAACCTCAGGAGGGTAGCGAGAGCCCCAATGGGTGGTTTACGGCCGGACTGGGGGCTCAGGTCTCGTGTGGCCCTGCGTTTCCAGCGTAGTCCATGGTCGCTTGTAGGGGGAAATGTCCGACAAACTGAGAAGGTGCAGGAAGGAGCTGGCTGCAGCCATTGACCGGGCTTTTGAAGGCGTCTGCCATTCCCAGGAGTGCGCAGGCCCGCAGAGGCCGCCGCTGCCCCTGCCCATGCACAGGCTCCTCTGCAGGCGACACCCGCTGGCCGCCTGCTCCTCCGCGGCCGCTTTCACCGCTGTCCCGTGCGCTCCTGAGAGTGAGAGCCCTGCGCTTGCACCAACCCACGTGTCTCTCGGTGCAAAGCCACATGCTTTATGCCCCAAAAGAAAACCTCTGACCAGCAAGGAAAACGTGCTGATGCAGACCTCCATCTTGGCGCCTGAAAGACAGCTCTGGAGAGCAGCGGGAGACGGGGAGAACTGGAGAAAAGAGAGTTCAAGGTGAATTTAACTTGGTAGTTCAATAGCTACGATGAAAGGGCTTCTTGTCTGAAGCAACTGTGGAAGATCCTCTCTCCTGGGAGTCAGCCCGCGCGTGGGACGTTCACCGAGGTTCTCAGAATCGCCCGGAGAAAGCAGTTGTGTGCATGTGTTTGGGTTGGGGCGCTGGTTGTGGGCTCTGGATGTCCGATCAGCACCCTCGCCAGTGCCCAAAGAGGGGCAGGGAGTGTTATCCGACAGCCTTACACCTAAGCTGTGAAAACAGAAGTTTCAATTCCGTCTTGTGTTTGGACCTGCAGGGGTGGGGTGGGGGTGGCTTCCATATCCTGCGCCCACACTGCAGGGGAGGTGGAGTCTGATGGCTGGGCTCTGCTCCCCCTGGCCTGTCACCAGGTTAAGGGACCCCTAAGCCCTTGAGTTCTGCCAGGTAGCTTCAAACCGCTCGGACCTGGTACCTTGCCTTGGAGCAAGCATGACCACACGGGCTAAGGCGTCCGTGTTCTGTCCACAGGCAGGGACTAAAGAAGCCGTTTAACTGGCTCCGCTCGAGAGTTCCTGCTTCGCTCTTGCCGAGCATGGACGTGGGCTGATACTGCGGAGCCTCCGTCACAGCCTCAGGACGTCACCAGTGTCCCTCTCTAAGTAGCACGAAGTTCCCCTTCCGCACCTTCCTGAAAAGGGCTCTAACGACCTTTCTCCCCCACCCCGGGGCTGCAGGAAGGATGTGGAGAGAGAGTTGAAGGTTGACTCAAACATGCCGCTCGGCAGCTCTAGCCACGAGGTCACAAAGGATCTGCTTGATATGATTGGTGAGTACCAGGGCGCCCGCCCCCTCAGCCGAGGGAGGGTCCCTCTTGCAGGCCCCTGGGGCGGCTCAGGGCTCAGGTCGGAAGCCGGAGCCGTTATTTATCATGTCTGCATCTGGGAGATGTGTTCTCACAGCAGACTGCACAGCGCAGCAGACGAAACAAACCTTAGTCCTGCCTGGTAGAACTGATAACTTAGGGCCCGCACAAGCAAGGTCATCTCACACACGACACGGGTCACGTTGCAGAGTCCCCGAAGGCCAGGCGTGCCCCCCTCAGCACCTGAAGCCGGCGCTTAGATGGAAGCAGCCAGGACCCAGGCGGAGAGGAGAGGGGAGGAATCCAACTGGGGTGGGCCATACAAGATTCAGAACAGTTGGAAGCCAGAGCTGTAGAGGGACGCCACCCAGAGACACGGCTCTGGACACAGCCGTCTGTCGGTTCTGCGCGTGAACCGCCTGTGCCCCATTTGGAGAAGATGCTGCGCGGGGCTGAGCGCTGCTCCTCGCTCCGGCGCTGTTGCTCTGCACGGGCTCCAGGTGTGGGGGATGAAGGGGAGGCCTGGGGAGGGAAGTCCCTGCCAGCCTCCCTCGATCGGTGCTTATGTCCCCCGCAGAAGCCGGCGCTGCCCGTGCCGTCTTCCTTGGCCGGTACCAGCTTCCCACAGCATTAGGCTTCCCCAGGGGAACCGGGTTTAAGCTGGACTTTGACCTGGCCCCTTCCACTCTGCACTCTGGGCTCCCTGCGTATGCCCCGCGCTCTCACGGCCAGACTCACCTGGCCTCCATGCCCTTGGCCTGGGTTTTTTCACACCATGTCTTGTCCTCTCTGCGGGTCAGGGAGGTCCGTGAGAGCTAGGACAAACGTGTGCATTTCTGCGTCTTCCCGTCAGGCCTGCCTTGGGGACTGGCTGGGGGTTAAGACTCAGTGCTAGCGCCTGGGAGGAGGGCACTAAGCCTCCCGGGATCCGGCGCCCACTCTGCCAGCCTGGCTGCCCCGGGGCGGAACGGGCCGGCTGTGCGTAGCCCCGACGCCTGACCACCCTTTTGTGCTTTTCACCTTGTGCCCGAAATGTCTTCCGAAACCTCTCGCTGGGATTGTAAAGCTGAACGTTCTTGTTTCGTTTAAGACCACACAAGCATCCGGACTATTGAAGAACTGGCTGGGAAGCTAGAATTTGAGAATGAGTTGAACCGTGTGTATGGACGCTGCCAAGACTCGCCCTTCAAGGAGGAGGCCTGGGCCCTGCTCGTGGACGAGAGCCCCGAGAAGGCCGCGGGCGCCGCGGGCAGCCTCAGGCAGGCCTTCGACGAGCAGAGCATTGTGCAGACCGTTCTGGACTTGGAAGAGGACTACAACCTGATGACGCATTTTAAATACCAGGTGGAGTGAGGAAGCTGCAGCAGGCCGCGGTGCCCACCGGGCATCGGCACAGCCTGAGCCCCACCGCCTTTGCACCGCGCCCTGTGGCTTTCGACACTTGATCTTAGCCAAAGGGCCGAGGAGCGCTTCTGTGCGCCTTTCTGAGCTGAGTGCCTGGTTTTCATATTGTTACTTTGAAATGTTTCTTACTGTTAATTTTTTTGGACTTTTCTTGCCATCTTGAAAGTGTGTTTTTTTGTTTTTGTTTTTGTGTTCAATATACCCAGCACCCACGTAGGAGCGTGTCTTGGGCCTGTGCCGTGTCTCTTGGTGTTCTTTGCCACAGGCCTCAGAGCAAGTTCAGGAGCTGTGGCCAGTGTGGTTTTGTGCACCCCCTGGGCCCAGCCATCTTAGCTTACCCTGAGGAGCTGGGTTCGAGTGGACCTTGGCCTGCCCCTCTGCCGGCCTGCCCCGTGCCCTCACAGCCAGCCCTGCCCTTGCCCAGCCCCGAGGCCTCCTGGCTGAATCAGAGTGGCTTGAGGATCTCCGCCCGCCTTCTCAGAGCGTTCCCGTGAGGCCTCAGCTGAGCGGGCTGGCGAGGGAGAGCTGCGTAGAGGGCCTGCGTAGTCAGCTTCACACCTGAGACCTAGCCTGCTCTCTGCAAGTCCGGAGATTCCCGGACACCACAGGTGGCTCCCGTGATGAACCCACGTTGGGGAGACAGGGCAGGGGGTGAGGGAGGGGCCAGGCCGTGCCCTCCTGAGGTCAGCAGAGCACCACCCAGGGCTGCCTCTAGTGTCCCCTCTTTTTGTTTTTATTAGAGGCAGAGAGAGAGAGAGAGGAGCTTCCATTACTGCTCCACTTCACAAAGGCCTGGCGGTGGGCTGGGGCCAGAGGTAGGAGCTGGGATTTCAAGCAAGGTCTCCCACGTGGGTAGCAGGGATGCAACAACTTGAGCTGTCGCCAGCTGCCTCCCATGTTACGCATCAGCGGGGAGCTGGGACTTGAACCCAGGCACTCTGATAGGGGACACAGCTGTCCCGCTAGCCCAAATGCCCAGAAACGGAGTCTTAGCTAATAAGGGAACACAGGGATCAAGGTGAGGCCCGAGTCCTGAACAAAGCCAGGAGCCGGGAGAAAGGCCCAGGGGCTCGGTGACTGCTGCCAGGCCGTCTTCCGGGCCAGCGCTGCCTCCACTGGGGACAGGGGCCACACACTCTGCCACCTCCTCATGCCCCTGCCGCTGCACTCACAGCCCGTGCAGCTGGTGGCAGTGTCTTCTGCCTGAGCATCCCCTGCTGCCCCCGCTCGCATGAGGAATGTGCCATCCGGATGGTGTCGGCTTCTTGACGTTCCTTAAGGCGGAACTGGAAACTGCGTTCCAGACAACGTGGGTGTGGATGCTGCCCTGTGGAGGAGGCGGAGCCTAGTTCCCCTCCCCATCAGCGCCCCTTGAGCACACGCTAGAACTTTCTCCAAAGACTAAGGTAGGGAAAGAGAACATCGTGAACTTAGAGTGGAGAAACCTGCCGACACAGCCTGGCCTGGATGACGGAGCTGACGTCAGCAGTGATGTCGCGTGAGTGTCGCGTGAGAGGAGGTGCCGCGTCTCTGGGATGTTCTTTCCAGAAACGCCCCTTTCCACTCCAGGATCCTAAGACGACAGAGCAGCCCAAGCTGGAGGGCATTCAGCAGGCCACCTGGCAACCGTCAAGGTCGCAGCAAGGAAAGAATGACCACAGTGTGGAGCCCTGGATGGTATCCTAGAACAGGAAGAGGACACTAAAGGAAAACTGTTGAAACCCAAATGAGGGCTGTAGTTAACACATCCATGTCAGTTTCGTGGTTTTAACAAACAGACCAGGTAGGTTCGTAAGATGGCAACTTGAGGGAACCTGGGAGAAGGTACATATGAACTCATTATCCTTGCAACTTTTCTATAAATCTAAAACTATTCCAAAATTTAAAATGTATTCTATTTTTAAACTGCACTTGATCCCAAGTTTGTGAAAATGTGTGTGAGCACGCAAAAAAATGGTGAAGGAGGCAAGTGGAGTTATGTAGGGGCCGGCGCTGTGGCCTGGAACTTTAAGCTGCCGCCTGCAGTGCCGGCATCCCATGTGGGCACTGGCTCGTGACCCGGCTGCTCTACTTCCGATCCCGCTCTCTGCTGTGGCCTGGGAAAGCAGCGGAAGATGGCTCAAGTCCTTGGGCCCCTGCACCCTCGTGGGAGACCCCAGAAGAAGCTCTTGGCTTCAGCCTGGCCCGGTCCTAGCTCCTGGGGGAGTGAACCAGCGGTTGGAGGATACTTGTCTGGCCTCTCTCTTCGAGCAACAGCAAGAGAGGGGTTATGTAGCCTTCTCTTTCTGACCTGTAATTTTCCATCTATCTGCAAGCGACAGTTACCACTTCTGTAAAAGGAAGAAATTGAAGTTCTCTTGAAGTCCTCCTCCCCGTTAACTGGCATGGGCAGCCCTCCCGGGGACCAGTCCAGAGCTGGCCTTCAGTTTCCGAGGACTGAGTGGGGTCCTCAGTTGGTGGGGCAGGCTGTTCCCGTCTCACCCAGCTGCTTCTCTGTAGCTCAGTGCGCCGCCCCAGGGGGCCTCTCCCCAGGCAGGACTTGGCAGATGCGGCGTCTGGGAATGGGGAGGTGGCCCTAACTCCCGGAGACTCTGAAATGAGACTCTGGGCTGACGCCGTGGCCCTCGGGAATGAGGGCCCAGCACCAGGTGGAAGTGGAGTGGGGAGGAGGGTTCGGATTCTCCCCGGTCAGAGGGGAGCGCCTCTGTTTTAGCAAAGGCTTCCCGTGCAAATCCAGCTTTACCAAGGGATCGCGCATCCTGAGATCCCCGAGTGAGGAATTGCTCACCCTAGAAATGCAGACGTTGAGCCCCTGGCACGGCAGCCCCAGGACAGCGAGGCCTTGCCGTCTCCCTGGCGGAAGCTCCTCCTGTCTCGGTGTCTCTGGCTCCTGGAGGCGACCCCGCCAGACTTTCCTGCCTGGGTCGTCTGTGTCAGTGCAGCAGGCACCTGCTCAGGGCAGGGTGTGTGGCTTCGTCCTCCCGAGAGCTGGGCCGAGGGGCAGCAGGAGCCTGGAATGTGGAACTGAAGAAAACGTCCTCAGGTTTGCAGGACCTGGAGGCGCTGGCTGCTCGGGAGGCCCCGCAGTTGACCTCGGTCACGCCTGAGAAACTTCTCAACCATTTTACGTCATTCAGCCCTCTCCCTCTCAGCTCATCTTGGCAAACCAAACAATCACTGAATTGTCTCCCTGGAAACACCGCACTGCAATTTGGATTACCAGAATCAAAATAGAAACAAGGCAGCTTCAAGAATACATAGAATAAATAGAAGCTTTGGAACTTGCTAGTTGCAAACGGCAAATTTAGGTCACAGCACAAGGCAGATGAGAAGCTGGGGCCCCGCAACCCTGGGAGGAGAGGCGGCATCCTGCCGGTGAGCATGCCGGAGCCACTGGAGACAGCTTTGTAAGCAGACAGGCAGCGGGAGGCGGGCGCTGGCCGGCAGAAGCTCCTTGGAGGCCAGGGCCAGGGCCAGGGCCAGGGCAGTGAATGGCAGAGCGGAGGTCCAGCGGGGCAGAGCAGCCGTTCTTTGACAGGCATACTCTAAGAGGCCTGGCGATGGACTGGAAACCGCGGGCCTGCCCTCAGCTGGTCTCACTGCAGTGTCCCCACACCCCCAGGCCCAGCTTCCTGTCCAGCCGCGTGGCCCTGATTCTAGACACTGACCTGTAGCCGGATGAGCTCTGCCGGCCTCCCACCGGTCTCAAGCTCGTTCCCACCCCCAGCGCCACTGCCTCCCTGCTGGTTCGCCCGCCTTGGCTCCACTTTGAGAGAACTCCGGAGGGATCAGAAGACCTGGGGGAAGGAGACAGACAACCTGGGGCCTGTGGCCCTCACCTTAGCACCGGGAGTAGGCGTACACTGACCCCGCAGCCACACCAGCCTGCTCAGCGGGGGATGTGAGCTTGTAATGTTCACAGAAGGTGGAGAAGAGGCTCTGACCCCAGCTGGTCTCCTTAGGAAGTGGCCAGGGCAGGGACTCGCCTGGCGCTGGCGTGCATCGCCCCAGCTGAGCCGCAGGGTGTTTGTTGAATGTGGCGACAAAGAGCAGGGACAGAGTCCACCAGCAGGGAGTGCAGGCGACCACTGACAAAGCTCTGCGACACCTGCAGCTCTGGCAATCCGCTCTCTCCTCCGAGGCTCCAGAGAACATTCATATTTTAGATTCCAGTCAAATATTTACAGAGGGAACAAAGTTTTCCTCAGGAAATCTGTTTGACAATGGGTCTGTCCTGGGCTGTCTGGGCGAAGGCCCTGCATAAGAAACTTCAAAACCACCCAACCCTCGCAGGGATGAACTGTCGGTCCTGAGGGCAGAGAAGCTGCTGTTTGCTGGGTGAGAGAGCAGTTAGGGTCTGGCCTGGGAGAGGAGCGGGCATCCTGCAGGTGAGCCCTCCTCGAGAGCCCTTGGGGGACACTGCAGAGGGCCGCCAGGCCGGGCCTCCTCGCAGGACAGCCGTGAGGGGCTGCTGGGCTGAGCAGAACGCAGTGCCTGCCGGGCCGGGCGCCCTCCTGCTGCTAAGGATACAGCATGGACAAGGCAGATAGATTGAGCACAGGACGGGTGGTGAGTGAGATGGTGGGAGGTCAGGTGACGCTTAAATGTCAAGGCAATTAGGAGCTGCAGTCAGCTGTGGCAGAGGGAGGAGTCCCCACCTCCCACCACATCCGCCCCTGTGTAGCCACATGCAGCTCCAGGCGCCTCGGAAGAGCCAGGGACTCGCCTGGGCTGCATCACGCACATGGAATCTGGCAGGAACACAGCAGTTAGTTTAAAAAAAAAAAAAAAAGCCTTGGGAATAAAATAAGAAACAGAATATCCTTTCTTGATGGCCAGAGACAGGCAGTATAATTAATTAACTCTGCCTTGCTGGGCGGTGCGAGTACCGCTCATTCTACAAGAGCACCGGCTCCTGGACTGTGAGCCACTCTGAACTCTGAGGTCATTACACAGAATGGAATCCTGAAGGAACATGGACATTTTTTATGAAGCATTTTTTAAAAGATGTATTTGAAAGGGAGAGTCACACACACACCCCACACAGAGGGAGCGGGAGGGAGGGAGGGGCAGAGATCTTTCATCCACAGAGTCACTCCCAACACTACCAGGGGGCTGGGCCAGGCGGAAGCTAGGAACCAGAAACTCCATCCTGGTCTCATGCTGGGGGCAGGAACCTAGGTACGTGGGCCACCATCTGCTGTCTCCCAGGCACCTGGGCAGGAATCTGGATCAGAAGTAGCGGGGACTCTAACCAGGAAGTCCAGTATGGGGTAGGGCTTAACCCGCTGTGCTGCAATGCCAGCCCTGAGAAATACGGGATTTTATGTAACTCACAGCAGAATAAAGAACAAACGCTACTGCTTTGGCCTTTCAAAGTTGAACAGACCCTTCAAAAAGAAGGCCACGGTTATAAACACTGATGGACTTCTCTCAAAGGGTCTCCACTTTGACTAAAATAAAAGTATTAAACTTTTCAACTTAGAGTAATAAAAGATTTCCAGAGAAGTGGGTGCTTGGCACAGCAGTTAAGTTGCTGTGAGAGATGCCCGTATCCCATATCAAAATGCTGGTTCCAGTCTTGGCTACTCTACTTCCAGTTCCAGGTTCCCGCTCATGCACGCCCTGGAGGCAGCAGCTGATAGCTTAAGAAGCTGGGTTCCTGGCCGGTGCTGCGGCTCACTAGGCTAATCCTCCGCCTGCGGCACCAGCACGCCGAGTTCTAGTCCCAGTTGGGGCGCCAGATTCTGTCCCGGTTGCTCCTCTTCCAGTCCAGCTCTCTGCTGTGGCAGGTAGTGGAGGATGGCCCAGGTGTCTGGGCCCTGCACCCACGTGGGAGGCCAGGAGAAGCACCTGGTTCCTGGTTCCGGATCGGCACAGCACTGATCCCGACTTTAAGTCTTGCTCTAGCCTGCTCAGCCCTGGCTATTGTGAGCATTAGGAGAGCAAACCAGCCGCTGGAAGATCTCTTTCCGTCTGACTTTGTGTGTGTGTGTGTGTGTGTCTACCTTTCTAATAAAATAAAAATAAATTGTTTTTATTTATTTGACAGAGTTAGAGAGAGAGAGAGAGAGACAGGTCTTCCGTTGGTTCACCCCCCAAATGGCCACTACGGCCTCAGCTACGTTGATCTGAAGCCAGGAGCCAGGTGCTTCCTCCTGGTCTCCCATGCAGGTGCAGGCCCAAGCACTTGGACCATCCTCCACTGCCTTCCCGGGCCACAGCAGAGAGCTGGACTGGAAGAGGAGCAGCTGGGACTAGAAGCTGGTGCCCATATGGAGTGCCAGCACCGCAGGTGGAAGATTACCTTACCAAGTGAGCCGCAGTGCCGGCTCAAAAATAAAGATTTTAAATGCATTTATTTGCAGATTCATCCGCTCTGGTCCAAGCTGCATGTTCAGAGTTAAGGGGCCCACCTGCAGTTTGGGAGGGCTGGAAGGAATCTTCCTCTCACACCTTCCTGCACAATGGAAACCAACAAGGGAGGCAGTGGAGCCTGGCCGGGGCAGAGTGAGTGGATATTGAGGGAGGCCCCCAGGGAGGGGGGAGTCCGGGTAGCCTGAGGCAGGGCCCACACCTGAATTCCCTTGGCTTAGGAAGGGGTTGCTCTGACTCCCACTGGCCGCCAGCTGCAGGCCACAGCTGCCCTTGGCCTGGGAGTGAGGGCAGTTTAGGCTGGCATCTGGCGCCAAAGGTGTCACAGGCAAATTAAACTTCTTCAGACTTGTATGGGATACACATCTCTGAAAGTAAACGATATACAAGTTAGAAATCAAGACTCATTGCTTTCTCACCACCTTCTGCTCAGCAGCTGCAATGTCATTGTGCTGCTTCAGAAATCAGCATCCTGGAAACCATCCAGCCCATGAGAATTCTGCTTTCATACAGTAGCAGGAGAAGAGAGAACAAGGCCGTTCGAATGGGTGTTGAATCAGAATCGTCGTGTGGAGCAGGTGTCACAGTGCAGTATGTTCAGCCATGCTGGGATGCTTCCATCTCCTATCAGGACACCTGGAATCAAGTCCCCCCTCTGCTTGCAGTCCAACTTCCTGCTAATGTGCATCCTGGGAGGCGGCAGGTGATGGCCCAGTGCTTGGGTTCCTGCCACCCACATGGGAGACCGGATGGGAGTCTTGGCACCTGGCTTGAGCCCAGCCTAGCCCCAGCTGTTGGGGGCATTTGAAGATGGAATCTCTCTTTTTCTCTCTGTTTCCCTGCCTTTCAAATAAATAAAAATAAATACACCTCAGAATCATCTTCTGGGTGCAGTGCAGTAGGCCTCCCCTTGGGATGCCCACGTCTCATATCTGAGTGCCAGTTGCAGTCCTGGCTACTCCACTCTGAATTTGGCTCCCTCACAATACACCTGAGGAGCAGTGGATAAGATGCCCCGGATGGAGCTCCTGGCTCCTGGCTCCAGCCTGGCCCAGCCCCAGCTGTTGTGGCCATTTGGGGAATGAACCAGCAGATGGAAGATCTCACTTTCATTCTCTGTGTCACTCCGCCTTTCAAATAAATGAGAATCATCTTTTGAGAGACTTGGAGAATAAGAAGATGGGCTGCATCTTATCTATTTGATTTCTCCAAAGAACCGAACTGAGAGATCTGTTCAATAACCTCAGTGAAAGAAAAAGATAAAGATTTTCAAGGACTTATCTTTATTTGTAGTAAGTTATTTGTATTACAAAAGAAACACATATATGTTACAAAAATTAAAAGCTTCACCAAGCTGTAAATGGAAAGCCAAAGTTTCACATAAGCCTACTGCTCTCCAGCAACAAGACAGGGCCCACAGACGCTGCTGTTAGCTTAGAAAGAACAGGGTTTTAAATCGCCAGGAAGACAAAATGGGCTCATGTGGCTTGTGGACAGGGTACCTTTGGCGTCTATTTTGTGCATGTTGCTTCCCTTTCATTGGTAGCTTTAACACTCTCTGTTCACGAGAATATGATACAGCCACTGATCAAAAAATGCAGATGCTTTGCCAGCATTAGTGGATAAAGTAGGAAGGAAAAAAAATACTGAGGCCCAGAAAGACACCGGTCATCTGCAGAGAATATGTTGGGGACCCAAATTGTGTTTGGGAGTCAGGCTGCCACAGCAACAGCTTTTGTGAGAGCCCTCATGCTCCTCGCCTGAGTGCCCTCTGCCGGAGTACAGCCACTCTCCTCCTGGTGACCCACACCACGCTGCTGCCTCGGCTCTCATCACCACGACTTCACATTTCATTCCAACAAACACAGATGTACTTACTCCTTATGTCTTTGTCATGGGCGGCACCTGCTACCCACACTTGCCCCTGCTCTCCATTAACCTCACCGCAGCAGAGCCCCTGACCCTGAGAGTCCCAAGCAAGCTTCAGGGAGTTTCTGCTGATGGTCAGCCCAAGTGTCTAGCATTTTGTCTTTCTAGGTGAGATCAATATACAGCTAAAGATGCTCTGGGCCGGTCAGAAGCCGTCATCACTGCTATCAAATCCCAGGTCATAGAGAAAATGCTTCCCTGGCTCCTTGCGCAGAGGCGGCTCTGAACGTCCAAGGCTCAGGTCACTGAACCAGCTCATCTGGTGGTCCCCCTGGGAACTGCCCGAAAGCAGGCTGTTGTCTTGGGAAGAGGACCTGTTGAACTGCAAGCAGTTGCCACGTGCTGCCCTCGCTGTCTTTGTGGGCATGACTGTGCCTCTCAAAACAGGATGGACTGGCTTGCTGGGGCTCCTGACACCCTGCAGAGGCAGCACATGAGTAAGGGGTTCCTGCTGCCCCAGGGGGCCACTTTGTGGGACAGAAACTGGAGGCTGAGGACTCTGATATTTAGACTTCAAGGCATGGGTCTCACTTGGGGCCTGTTCCTGCTTCCTGGCTATGGGCCTGCCTCTGCAGGCTCTCCTGGTCTGCTGCCTCATGCCTTTCCCCCTGCTTTCTATAGCCCTGCCTTTCTGTTCTGTCACCACCTGTTCACATGGGTCACTTGAAGACATGCTTTTGGTTTGGTGTTTTGGATAGGCATTCTCAATGCTGGTTGCAAATGTGTTTAAGTCCAGGGATATGAGCTGTGAAGCTCCTTGAGAGACCTGGTCCCTGTCGCCAGGAATCCTGTAGCCTGGGATGTGGGAGCCAGGGTTCTCGGGATGGCTTTTGCTAACACCCTGATTGTTGGAGTGAGGCTGCATTGCTTGGTCCTTTGCACACCCATTGCCTTCACGGGGCTGAGCTCCGGGCAGCGCAGCCTCTTCTTGGGGAGCACCATTCTTGGCCCCCTCACCCCAGACATCAAACTTTCCAGGCTGTGAGGAGCCCCTACTGGGATTCCCCGCACCAGGGAGGCCCTGGGCCTGCCATGGCACTGGGTCCTCAAGGGCATATTGTTCCTGCCCGGTGAAGCTGAGGTTCCGAGCCAGAAGTGGCGACGTCTGAGAAGTGCTGTCTCTCACGTGTCTGGGCACCTGAGGCACTGAGATCCATCTCTTCAGCTCTGCGAGGACACTGGGCACGTTCAGCTGGCCTAGCTGCTCACACAGCTGCTGGAAGTCCTTACTCTGCTGTGCAACTAAAACCTCCAGGTGCTTCAGGTTGGACTTCATTTCCAAAATCTCTGCTTGTTTCTGGGGACAGGCAGTGAGAAAGAGTGTGATGGTAGTACAAGTCAATGCACAGCAGAACATGCGAACAAACCAACGGCTGTATCAGTAGAACAACGGGTGGCCCCTCACATTGTACTTCACAGGCTAAGCTTGGCTACACTGGGGAGCAGGGCCCCATCATGCCAGGGAACCCTGGGGAAGGAAACTAGGCTAAACCCTGGTCTGGCATCCTGGGACTCTGCTGGCCTCTGGTCTCAGCTGAAAATCTGCAATTTTGGAAGTGTCTCTCCGTGTCTAGTAACAAAATCAAAAACTCACTCGAAGAAAGGGGTTGGGGTTTACACTTACAGCTTCGAATTTCTTCTGCAGCTCAAGGATGGCTTGCTCCGTGTTGCCTTTCTCCTGCACTGCCTCAAACACCAGGTCACTCTGGGTCCGTGCAGTCTCCTGTACTGAATACGAAACAACAGTTCACCTCGGGGAGACTATGGGGTGCTCGGCACGCAGTGGTGGGAAGGGAAGAGCTGACATCCACGTGGATCACCCGAGCCTTTCCTGCTCAAGACTATGTCCACTTCACCCAGGGGGCTCCCTCCACAGTTTCTTCTTGCCCTCCCTGAGAAGATCCTGGCCAGGCAGAACCAGTCTTAGCACCTGCTGGCGACCACGGAACCGATCTTGACCTTAGCTTTTTGTCTTGGCCCTGTCATCAGAGCGACCTTTGTGAAATGTATACATCACCATGTCCCCGCTGACACCGTCTCTGCTCCAATGGGATCCCACTGAGCTCTGGACGAAGCCGGCAACTGTAAACTGGCCAACAAGATGAGGCTTTGTTCTCTGAGTAATCTGGGCATGTGCTTCCTCAGCCTGGAGTCCTCCCGCTTCACTCCCCCAGGCACCACCTTAGCCCAGCTAATTCCCAGTCCTTCCTCTGCTCTCGGAAAGCACCATTTCACACCCAGCGCTGGTGTCCTTCTCGCTGCCCTGTCCATGTGTGCTCTAGCATTCTGATGGCGCTTGTTTATTTATCACCTATTTACACTTGAGCCCTAGTGTGCTGACCACCTCAGGACTGATACTGACTTCCCTCTTTTGCCTCGGGAGATCTACACACACACACACACACACACACACACGGACTTATTTACAAACAGGCTGTTGTGATTCTTGCCATCCTCTTGCTAGGCTATAGGTCATGTGAAGATCCTCTTTCATTTATTCAACAAATATTTAAGGAACATCTACTGTGTGTCAGGCACTATTATGATCAAGAAAGATAAAGCCGCCTTGAAAGTATGATCTTATGGGGAAAACAGGTAGTTAATGAGTAATTATACAACTAACTGTTAATGAATTTCAGAAGTTCTCTAGTGGCACTGTGAGTTAAGTTGCTGCGTGGGATGCACACATCCTATGTGGGAGTGCCGGTTCGAGTCCTGGCCCTTCCATTCCTGATCCAGCTTCCTGTTAATGCATCCTGGGTAACAGCAGGTGATGGCTGAAGTGTTTGGGCCCCTGCCACCCACACGGGAGATCTTGATAGAGTTTTAAGTTCCTGACTTTGGGCTGGCCCAGCCCTAGCCGTTGCAGGCATTTGGGAAGTGAACAAGTGGACGGTAGATTTCTCTCTCTCTTTCTGTGTCATGTATTTATAAAAATAAATAAGCATTCTTAAAAATGAGCTCAATAAAAATGGACCTTTAAAATCAGTGGGAAAAAGATGGATTATTGAGTCATGGCATTGAGACAAACTAGTTAGCCATTTATAAATAATTAATCAGAATTTCTACTATAATCCTGCTAAAAATATTAAAGCTCTACAACATGATTTAGTTTAGAAATGATCAGAAGTTCTGTTACTTCTTATTCAGGCATATTTCAGAGTCCTGCAAAAGAGAAAAAAGATTTGTAACAACCAACTCAAAATTCTTTTTCTACCTTGGAAAGGAGCTCTATGAAACAAAGCACAGTTCCTAGTTCCTGGCTTCAACATAGCTCATTCTTGCCGTTGCAGCCATCTGGAGAGTGAACCAGCAGATGGAAATCTCTCTCTCCACTCCCCACCCCTATCATTCAAACTCCCAAATTAACAAGAAAAAAAAAGAAAGAAAGAAAAGAAGAGAAAACATTAATGGGAAACAACAGGAAATGGTAGTGGAGCAGTGGGAATCAGCAACTTTGCACAGGGAGCTTTGGGAGAAGTTGTTAATCGTAGTCTGCCTGAAATTGGGACAAAACTGAACAAATACTTGCTCAGTGCTTTGGAAAATGTGCAGGCAGCTCCTGGCCTCTATTCTCCAGCATCAGGAGATGTAACTGAAATTAGTGCTCTTGCAGAACATAAGGATTTGCCAATAAATGTTCTGAAGATGGTTGGCTAGTCAAGATCATGCTGAAAAACTCTTCAGAACTAGACGAACTAATTCAGAAGAATCCTGTGACACCTAAGTAAAATTTACTGAGGACCAGAAATGGAGTTCCTAAATAAACCCATATGAAACAATTTAAGTCAGCACAGCTAAGTTAGGGCTAGATAGAAGATTTAAAATAACAATTTTAGCCATACCAATGGAAAAACAAACTATTGGTAACACTGCTGCTGGAATAAAATACCTCTTCAGTTTCTAGTTATCGCAGATAAACACAGTCTGCATCTACATCACAATATCCTATGTTTTTTTGGCCAGGCTCTATGGTGTAGTTAAAATATTCAGAACTCATGAAATTGTTATTAAAAACTAGTTATAAAGATAGATAATTCGAGCCGGCGCCGTGGCTCAATAGGCTAATCCTCCACCTTGCGGCGCCGGCACACCGGGTTCTAGTCCCGGTCGGGGCGCCGGATTCTGTCCCGGTTGCCCCTCTTCCAGGCCAGCTCTCTGCTATGGCCAGGGAGTGCAGTGGAGGATGGCCCAGGTGCTTGGGCCCTGCACCCCATGGGAGACCAGGAAAAGCACCTGGATCCTGGCTCCTGCCATCGGATCAGCGCGGTGCGCCGGCTGCAGCGGCGGCCATTGGAGGGTGAACCAACGGCAAAGGAAGACCTTTCTCTCTCTGTCTCTCTCTCTCACTGTCCACTCTGCCTGTCAAAAATAAAAAAAAATAAAAAAAAAAAGATAGATAATTCAAGGATAACATTGTTACTTTAAGCTTTATAGCATATTGTAGCTTGCTTGTATCTATCTCTGCATTTAGGTCAAAATAATGAAACTACCATTGGAAATAATAGAATATACAGATTTATTATAACATTTGTGTTAGTTATATAGTATCTGGTGAAGAAAGGTACTATATTAATGTTGCAATATACTGTATTTGTTGATGTTATTTTTACACAATGAAGCAATGCTTTTAGCAAAATAAGAAACAATTTAATAATAACACATTCACTTCTTCAATTAAGAAAGTAAGAATATTTTAGAAAGTAAGTTTTCTCCTCCTCTGAACACAATTCCACATGTCAATCAATTAGAAAGAGGTTGTCTACTTATGTGCTGCATCCTGTCCCTAAACTCAGCACTTTTTCAGACATCCATGTAAATATATCTGTAGGAGACAGCACAAGCAGTTATCCTTCCCTAGAAGAGTTCCTAAATAGCAATGTTTCTTAGCAACAATGGACATTACCAACTCTCACAAAAACAAAGAATGGAAAAGGCTAACAGCACTCAATTCTAGATTAAATGTTCAGAAAACATCTGCACGTGGCCCCACACATTCTGTTTTTGTCTCCACAGAAATATATGTTGGGAGTCTTCCCCTTTACTGAGTTTTTGTATTACTTAATAGTATCAAAATCTACCCATTTTTTTTTCTTTTTAAAGTTTTTAGTTAGTGGATTGGCATTGTAGCATAGCTGGTTAAGCCACCAACAGGGATGCCATATGGGGCTGGTTCGAGGCCTGGCTGCTTCACTTCTGGTCCAGCTCCCCGCAGATGCACTGGGGAAAGCAATGGAGAATGACCCAAGTGCTTGGGCACCTGCCACCCATGTGAGAGACCTGGATGGAGTTCCAGGCTCTTTGCTTCAGCCTGGCGCAGCCCCAGCTATTGCAGCCATTTGGGGAGTGAACCAGTAGATGGAATATTTCTCTTGCTCTGTCTTTCCCTCTCTCTATGTAACTGCTTTTCAAGTAAATAAATAAGTTAGGGACCTGCTGCTGTGGTGTAGCAGGTTAAGTCGCTGTCTGCTGTGCCAGCATCCCATATGGGAACCTGTCTGTGTTCCTGCTCCTCCACTTCCCATCCAGCTCCCTGCTAATATATCTAAGAAAGCAGCGGAAGATGGCCCAAGTCCTTGGGCCCCTCACCCAGGTGGGAGACCCTGAAGAAGATCCTGGCTCCTAGCTTTGGCCTGGGCCAGTCTTTCCTTCTCTCTCTCTGTAACTCTTTCAAATAAACAAATCTTTAAAAAAAAAAAAATTGGTGGCCCATACTGTGGTGTAGTAGGCTAAGCCTCTACCTGTGGTGCCTGCATCCCATATTGGTGTCGGTTCATGTCCCAGCTATTTCTCTTCTGATCCAGCTCTCTGCTATGGTCTGTGAAAGCAGATGGCCCAAGTGCTTGGGCCCCTGCACCTATGTGGGAGACCCAGAAGAAGCTTCTGGCCCCTGGCGCCTGGCTCCTGGCTTTGGATTGGCCCAGCTCTGGCCATTGCAGCCATTTGGGGAGAGAACCAGTGCAGGAAAGATCTTTCTCTCTGTCTCTCCCTCTCTCTGCAACTCTACCTCTCAATAAATAAATAAATAAATAAAATAAAAATAAAAAGTGTTAAAAAATCTTGGCTATGAATACAACCCAAAACAGAAAAAAATAGACATACAATGAAAAAATAATAAAATATTTTCCACACACACCATAGCTCTACTTCCTGGATTAACATCAGCTGCTTTTGGAATTTTGCATTGATAATGTGCTTCTCTGTGTATAAATTATAGATACAAGATGGGTGTGTGCCTGCACACACATGTGCTCCAGAAAACACTTCATTTCTCTTTTGACAATAAACATTTGATATTTTTAGCTTTTATGTAAAAATGACATTTAAATCCATTTCCATATTCTGAACAATGTCTATTTTCCAAGTGCTTGGGCACCTGACACCCATGTGAGACCTGGATGGAGTTCCTGGCTCTTTCTTGGCTTCAGCCTGGCCCAACCCTGGCTGTTGAGGGCATTTCAGGGGTGAAACATAAGATGGAAGATCTCTCTATTTCTCTCCCTCTCTCTCTGTTACTCTGCTATTCAAATGAATACATCTTTTTTAAAATGAAAATTAAGGAACCATCAAGAACAACAGATTAGGATCCCTGTGTCTACTGTAAGCCACATTTGGTTCTAGTCCTCTCTCTGCCTTGATCTTGTATTGTAAACTTGAGCACTTAAATTCTCTTTTCTGGGACTCAAAGGCCACACTTTTGCTGTAATCCTCCTTTTTGTCCTTCACCCAGTTTTAAATGTAGACCAAAACAGAGTGATTTCCTTGGGCACTTACAAATGAGTTATTCTATCACATTGCACATAGGAAGGGTTCTTGATTTGCTTCTGCTCTTTGCCTTATCACATCTTGTGGGGGTAGCAGTCCTAGGATTCCAGAACCAGTTTCTAAACAGATGCACAGTTGCCCTGTGTGTGGGATACCGGGTTGGAAGACAACAGACAGTACAGTGCTTCTTTGCAGACAGATGGGGATTAATTTTCCAGCCACACAGAGGCATTAATTTTTGTAAATCATGAGCAGTCTATTCCATGGCATTTGAATAAGTTGACTTCAATGTGTTTAAAATAAAAAATAAACACAGAGACAAATGCAAACAATTACAGATGCGGAGTCATCAGCTTAGTATTTTGCTGAGAAACTGGTGATTCTAGAGAGATATGTGCCTATGGAGCTCTGTGCATTGGCTCTCTTGTTTACAAGGGCTAGGACAATGGTTTCATATAAATGTAAATCACTAATTGGTGGGAGTAGGGGATTTGACAAGCACAAACTATAATAGAAATTGAGAATGATGTTGCATTTCACTATACCACAGCTCTCAATGAAACCAAGGCAGCAAGAAAAACAGTGGGTAACTGGTGTATTTCTTTTTCTTTTAAAAATGTATTTATTGGGGCTGGCACTAAGCCTCAGCCAGCAGTGCCAGCATCTCATATAGGCACTGGTTCTTGTCCCGGCTACTCCTCTTCCAATCCAGCTCTCTGCTTATGGTCTGGGAAAGCAGTGAAAAATGGGCCCCTGCACCCATGTGGGAAACCTGAAAGAAGCTCCTGGTTCCTGGTTTTGGATCAGCCCATCTCCAGCCACTACAGCCATTTGGAGAATGAGCCAGCGGATGGAAGACCTCTCTCTCTCCCCCTCTCTGTGTCTGTAGCTTTGACTCTCAAATACATGTTTAAAAATTATTTATTGTCATTTTATCTGAAAGGCAGAGAGAGAGACAGAATAATATCTTTATTTCTTCTTAAAAACTTTACTTATTTATTTTAAAGGTAGAGTTACAGAGAAAGAGGGAGATACAGAGAGAGAAATCTTTCATTCACGGGTTCACTCCCCAAATGGCCACATCAGCCAAACTGAAACCAGGAGCCAAGAACTCCATCTGGTACTCCCTAGTGGGTGGCAGGAGCTCAAGAACTCAGGCCATTTTCTGCTGCTTTTCCGGACACATTAGCAGGGATCTAGATTAGGAGCAGAACAGCCAGGATGCAAACTGGTGCTCATATGAAATGCTGATTTCACAGGTGGTGGCTTAACGATGCTGACCCCAGAGAAAGAGATCTTTCATCTGTTGGTGCACTCCCCAAATGTCCACTACAGCCTAGACTGGGCAAGACAAAAGCTAGGAGACTGGAACTCCATCAGAATCTCCTATGTGAGTGGCAAGCAGTCAAGTACTTGAACCATCATCTGCTGCCTCCCAGGCAGCATTAACAGGAAGCTGGATTGGGAGTGGAGGAGCCAGGACTTGAACCAGGCGCTCTGATGTGGGATGCACACATCCCAAGTGGCTTCTGTGCAAATGCTTGCTCCCACTGGAGCACTTCTGTCTCCCAAGGGGGCAGTGTCGCCACAACCTGCACAGCATATCACTCTGGAATACTGCCAATTCACCTGAGGCAGTGAGATGAGAAACTTGGAGAGCTACCTGCCCTGAGGCAGCAGGACGGAGGGTCAATGCTGCACAAAAGGCGTGGGGTGAAGGTCTTGCCACACAGAGGTGGGCTGCATCCCCAGCTCACCCTTCAGGGCTAACCTTATCTATCCACCCTCTCTGAAACATGGAACTTCACCACTGGAAATATGGGTGGAGTCAAAAAGTTCACGGTCACCACTCTCCAGCGCTCTCAGCTGATAACCTCAGACATGAGGCACTCACATGTCTTGGCCACAGTCTCCAAAGAATCCAGAATAGACTGACTTCTTATAGTGAGATGTTCCTCAGACTTTTCCACAGATGTCTGCAACTAAAAACCCCAAAGAAAAGAAAGAATTCAGACTATTGCTTTACTTTACTAACCCGGAGAATTGTCATTAAGTGATAAAAAGCGTAAATAAAGATGGTTATTCTGGAAGCCAGCATTGCAGCATAGTGGGTTAAGCTGCTGCCTGTGATGTCTGCATCTCACATGGGTGCCATTCAAGTCCCAGTTGCTCCACTTCCAATCTAACTCCCCGGTAATGCACCTGGGAAAACAGTGGAAGGTGGTCCGAGTAATTGGGCCTCTGTATCCATGTGGGAGACCTGGATGAAGCCCCTGGCTTCAGCCTGGCCCAGCCCTGGCCATTTGGGGAGTGAACCAGTGGATGGAAAATCTCTCTCTCTCTCTCTCTCTCTCTCTCTCTGTAACTCTCCCTTTCAAATAAATAATCTTTAAAAAAAAAAAAAAAAAGGATTGCTCTTCTATATGAAGTAAAGCTAGTGAATTCATTTAACTTCTTAAAATGTAAGATGTCAGAGGTCCTTGGAATATAACCATACTTACCTTGTGAATGCTTTCTCTGACATTGGAAACAAAGTTGTATAGAGTCTCACTAGAATGGGAAAGGAAAAAAGAAAGCAAATGCTTGGGACACATTAAAGCAATATGTAACAGAACTGATAGCATAAATCTAGCAGGTTTCTATCGAATTGAGGATCAAAACACTGGTCAGACTTGGAGATTCAAATTTGAGAAACCTTAGTGCTCAATCAGAAGAAAAGAAAAATATAGACATTTTTGTGACCATTTCCAAGGCAAATCACTCTTTTTCTTTTAAAAATCCAGTTTGGGACAGGCATTTGCCTCAACAGTTAAGACACTGTTAGGATGCTATCATTCCATATCAGATTGTCTGGGTTCATGTCCTGGCCATGATTCTTTAAATATATATATATATATACACACACACACATACATATATACATACATACATATATATATATATATATACATATTTTTTTGACAGGCAGAGTGGGCAGTGAGAGAGAGAGAGAGAGAGAGAGAAAGGTCTTCCTTTTGCCGTTGGTTCACCCTCCAATGGCCGCCACGGCTGACGCACTGCGGCCAGCGCACTGCGCCGATCCGAAGGCAGGAGCCAGGTGCTTCTCCTGGTCTCCCATGGGGTGCAGGGCCCAAGCACTTGGGCCATCCTCCACTGCACTCCCGGGCCAGAGCAGAGAGCTAGCCTGGAAGAGGGGCAACCGGGACAGAATCTGTCGCCCCGACCGGGACTAGAACCTGCTATGCCGGCGCCGCAAGGCGGAGGATTAGCCTAGTGAGCCGCGGCACCGGCCATACATATATGTTATTTGAAAGGCAGAGTTACAGAGAGACAGAGACAGAGATCCTCCATCAGCTGGTTTACCCCTCAAATGGCTGCAGAGGCTGGAGCTGAGTCAGACCAAAGCCAGGAGCTTTTACCAGGTTTCTTATGTGGGTGCAGGGGCCCAAGCACTTGGTCCATCTTCTGCTGCTTTCCCTGGTACAGAAGCAGGGAGCTGGATTGGAAGTGGAGCAGCCAGGAATCTAACCAGCATATAGGATGCCAGTGCTGCAGGCAGCAGCTTAACCTGCTATGCCACAGTGCTGGCCCTTGGTTATGCTTCTGAATCTTGTTAAATGTGCACCCTGGAGCCCATGCTGTGGCACAGCGAGTTAAAGCCCTGGCCTGCAATGCCGGCCTCCCATGTGGCCACCGGTTCGAGTCCCAGCTGCTCCACTTCTGATTTTGCTCTCTGCTATGGCCTGGGGAAGCAGAAGATGACTGAAGTCCTTGGGCCCATGCACCCTCATGGGAGACCCAGAGGAAGCTCCTGGCTCCTGGCTTCGGATCGGCCCAACTCCAGCCATTGCAGCCATTTGAGGAGTGAACCAGTGCAGGAAAGACCTTTCTCTCTGTCTCTCCCTCTCTCTTTCTGTAACTCTACCTCTCAAATTAATAAAACCTTAAAAAAGAATTGATCTGGGCATCATCGCCACTGTGGTGGATTCTCCTCCGCCTTGCGGCGCCGGCACACCAGGTTCTAGTCCCGGTCGGGGTGACGGATTCTGTCCCGGTTGCCCCTCTTCCAGGCCAGCTCTCTGCTGTGGCCAGGGAGTGCAGTGGAGGATGGCCCAAGTACTTGGGCCCTGCACCCCATGGGAGACCAGGATAAGTACCTGGCTCCTGCCATCGGATCAGCGCGGTGCACCGGCTGCAGCGCGCTGGCCACAGCGGCCATTGGAGGGTGAACCAACGGCAAAAGGAAGACCTTTCTCTCTGTCTCTCTCTCTCTCTCACTGTCCACTCTGCCTGTTGGAAAAAAAAAAAAAAAAAAAAAAGAAGAAGAAGAAAAAGAATTGATCTATGTAACTGTTTTTTAAATATATATAATAAATAAAATCAATTTTGCATGTTAAATTGTAGCAATTCAAGTGGTTACCAGGTTGGAAAACGATCAGTTTTTATTTTTTATGGCAATATTGACTTCAGAAGGTAGTGGCTTTTTTCTGGTAGTCCAAAATTCCTGGTCTCGGCCGGTGCCACGGCTCAATAGGCTAATCCTCCACCTAGTGGCGCTGGCACACCAGGTTCTAGTCCCGGTTGGGGCAACAGATTCTGTCCCGGTTGCCCCTCTTCCAGGCTAGCTCTCTGCTGTGGCCCAGGAGTGCAGAGGAGGATGGCCCAAGTGCTTGGGCCCTGCAACCACATGGGAGACCAGGATAAGCACCTGGCTCCTGCTTCGGATCAGCGCGGTGTGCCGGCCGAAGCGCGCCAGCCGTGGCGGCCATTGGAGGGTGAACCAACGGCAAAAGGAAGACCTTTCTCTCTGTCTCTCTCTCTCTCTCTCACTGTCCACTCTGCCTGTCAAAAAAAAAAAAAAAAAAATTCCTGGTCACATCTGTGAGAAGTAAATATTTGGTTTTATTTTTTAAAGATTTATTTACTTATTTGAAAGTCAGAGTTACACAGAGAAGGAGAGACAGACAGAGAGAGAGGGAGAGAGGTCTTCCATCTGTCGGTTCACTCCCCAATTGGCTGTGATCCGGAGCCAGGAGCCAGGAGCCAGAAGCTTCTTCCAGGTCTCCCACGTGGGTGCAGGGGCCCAATGACTTGGGCCATCTTCTACTGCTTTCCCAGGCCATAGCAGAGAGCTGTGGAACAGCCGGGACTTGAACCGCTGTCCATATGGGATGCCGGCACTGCAGGCGGTGGCTTTACCTGCTACGCCACAGCACTGGCCCCCTGGTTCCTTTTCAAAGTAAGGTGTTCAGCTGTGAGTAGACAACTAGCTAGCATAAGAGCTTACAGATGTGCGGGAAGTTGCAAATAGTTAGCTAGCAAAACAGCTAGGTTAAATACACCTGAAAAGTTCTTAGGCAAACAAGTTGTTGGGAGCAGCCAAAACAGCTGATGCAAATACCGTGAAGATTGTAACCCGGTGGAACTCAGCCAATGAGGAACTGGGGGAGGGACCTGAGTCCTAGGGAATAAATTTCTTCATGATCCTGCACCTGGTTTGCCTGCCTACTTACCAGACACTTTACCTTGCAAGACTGCTAATAGAAAAGTCTCACTTTGGCTGTTCTTCCTGAGTGAGGCCATTTCTCACAACATCTTAGTATTACTATTGTTTTGACTATAAAATATCTAAGTGCTGGTTAGAATCTTGGCTACTCTGCTTCTGAGCCAGCTCTCTGCTAACATGCCTGGGAAGCAGCGAGTGATGGCTGAAGTACTTGAGTCTTTGCTACAAAGGTAGGAGACCCAGATGGATTTCCTGGCTGTTGTGGACATTTGGGGAGTGAATGATCTCTCTCTCTCTCTTTATGTGTGTGTGTCTGTCTGTCTGTGTGTGTTCTGTGTGTCTGTCTGTCTGTCTATGCCTCTCTGCCTTATAAATAAATGAAAAAATTAAAATTATATACATAATCACACAAACTAATGAGAATATATGCAAAATTCAGGGTATAGCTCTAAAAATACCAATACTTCAAAGGGAGAAAATCATAATTTAAGAATTTATGCATTTGGAGCCAGTGCTGTGGTGTTGCAGGTAAAGCCACTGCTTGTGGCACCAGCATCCCACATGGGCGCCTCTTTGAGTCCTGGCTGCTCCACTTCTGGTTCAGCTCCCTGCTAATGTGGCTGGGAAAGCAGCTGAGGATGTTCAAAGCCCATAGGCCCCTGTGCCTACGTGGGAGACCTAGAAGAAGTTCCTGGCTTCAGAAGGGCCCAGCCCCAGACATTGCGGTCATTTGGAGAGTGAACCAATGGATGAAAGATCTTTCTCTGTCTCTCCTTCTCTGTCTCTGTGACTTTGCCTTTCAAATAAACATATAAATCTTAAAAAAAAGATTTTATGCATTATATTCTTGACCCTAAAATAAATAATGTTGTTTAACTTCCTAATCCCAATGAACTGAAAAGTAACTAAATTAGAGGGCAAAATTTAAAAAAATTATAAGTGAATAAAATTTATTTCATATATACAGACTCAGGAGCATAGTGATACTTCCCACTGTACCCTCCCTCCCACTCTCACTCCTTCCTCTTTTTTTTTGACAGGCAGAGTTAGAGAGAGAGAGAAAGGTCTTCATTTTTTCCGTTGGTTCACCCTGCAAATGGCAGCCACAGCCGGCGCGCTTGCGCAGATCCGAAGCCAGGAGCCAGGTGCTTCCTCCTGGTCTCCCACACAGGTGCAGGGTCCAAGACACTTGGGCCATCCTCCACTGCCTTCCCAGGCCACAGCAGAGAGCTGGACTAGAAGAGGAGCAACCGGAACAGAATCTGGCGCCCCAACCGGGACTAGAACCCGGGGTGCTGGCGCCGCAGGCGGAGGATTAGCCAAGTGAGCCACGGCGCCGGCCCGGTAGGATTTCTTGGCATTTGAAATAATAAATCTTTGTCTCTATCCATACTACACACACACACGCACGCACACATGCACACATATACATTCTATTCTGTTTCAGTGGAGAACCATTGCTAACATATGGCATTATGCTGAAGTTCAGTTATTTGCTTATTCACACTCTATTTTGTGTTTTCTTCAGAAGAGATGCGGTGTCTCAATTACTTGAAAGGTTTGCATACCTGTCACATTTATCTTTTGCTGTTTTCTTTTTTTCCTCAAACTGTTCCAAGAGGCCTTTTGATTTTCCAACTGGCAAAGGAAGAGGAAATAAATCTCCATCTTTTGCATTGCCTCCAAACAGCTGGGGTTTTGTCTGGTACTTTGTAAAAATACTAGGTTCACTCTGTTAAGTAATAACAATAAAAATATAGCATTTCACAGATAAAGATATAGCATTCACTGTTTTCTGTATAATAGTAAAATTTAAGCACAAACAATGTTAAATACAGTATGTAATTTTTTTTTATTTTTTGTATATACAAAAAAGCTACTCTTCTTATCCATATAAGTTCTGCCTTACCAGCCCTAGAGATATTTAAAACGTCAGCAAAACAGCTTAAAATCACCTTCATAAATTTAAAGATAACAAAATTATGATGTATTTGAGATGATGCGTTAAAATTTTCACATGGGCTGGCATTGTGGCATAGTGGGTGAAGCCACTCCTGCTACACCAGAGTCCCATATGGATGCCAGTTCAAGTCCAAGCTGCTCTGCCTCTGATCCAGCTCCCTGCTAAATGCACCTGGGAAAGCACTGGAAGATAGCTCAAGCGCTTGGGCCCCTGTATCCATGTGAGTGGCCAACAAGAAGCTCTTGGCTTCTGCCTGACCCAGCTCTAGATGTTGGAGTCATTTGGGGAGTAAACCAGTGGATGAAAGGTCCCTCTCTCTCTTTCTCTTCCTCTCTCTATCTGACTCTGGCTTTCAAATAAGTCTTTTTTTTTCTTTTTTTTTCCGACAGGCAGAGTGGACAGTGAGAGAGAGAGAGAGACAGAGAGAAAGGTCTTCCTTTGCCGTTGGTTCACCCTCCAATGGCTACTGCAGCTGGCGTGCTGCAGCCGGCGCACCGCGCTGATCCGATGGCAGGAGCCAGGTACTTATCCTGGTCTCCCATGGGGTGCAGGGCCCAAGCACTTGGGCCATCCTCCTCTGCACTCCCTGGCCACAGCAGAGAGCTGGCCTGGAAGAGGGGCAACCGGGACAGAATCCATTGCCCCAACGGGGACTAGAACCCGGTGTGCCGGCGCCGCAAGGCGGAGGATTAGCCTAGTGAGCCGCGGCGCCGGCCTGGTTCACTTTTCAAATGCCTACTGCAGTTGGGGCTAGGCCAGGCTAAAGTCAGGAGCCTGGTTCTCTCTGCGTCTCCCAATTAGGTGGCAGGGAATCCAAATATTTGAATGATTACCTGTTGCCTCTCAGGGAGCCCATTAGCAGAAAGCTGGATTGGAAACAGAGGCAAGACTCAATCCTAAGCACTCTGATACGTGATTCAATTTTCCCAAGCAATAGTTTAACTGGCTGCACCACAGCGCCCACCTCCCAAAAATTTTTAAGAGATATTTATTTATTTATTTATTTGAGAGGTAGAGTTACAGACAGAGGGAGAGAGGTCCTCCATTTGCTGGTTCACTCCCCAAATGGCTGCAATGGCTGGAGCTAGGCCAGTCCAAAGCCAGGAGCAAGGACCTTCTTCTGGGTCTCCCATGCAGGTGCAGGAGCCCTAGGACTTGGGCCATCTACTGCTTTCCCAGGCCAAGGCACAGAGTTGGATTGGAAATGGAGAAGCTGGGACTTGAACTGGTGCCCACATGGGATGCTGGCACTAGCAGCTTTACTCACTATGCCACAGCACCAGCCCCACCAAATTTTTTAAAGAAAAAGATATAATCCCCTGCACAAACTAAAAAATAAGTAAATAAAAATTTTAAAATGTATTTTACTTTTTTCCTATTTTATGAAAATTCTTTTTTCTTATGAAATTTTTGCAAATAATAGTATGACCAGTCTTGGGAAATGTCATGAAATATTTGCCTCACCATAGGAATGGTCAAGGGGTTGACACTTTCTATGTTGCTCTAGTATTAGAAGAAACTGAAATACAAGTATTTTTTCCACTTCAGAAATGAGTCATCAATAAAGAACAAATCCATTTAAGAGAATAATCTTTAGAGATGCACAGTTCTCAAAAATATTCCAACAGAGTGATCATTTTCATAGCTTATATCCACAATGACTATAAATACATGTAGAAAAATTCTGGAAATCAGACTTACATCCAAAGAATTCTGTTGTGATTGTTTTTGCTGTCTTAAGTGTGCACCAAAGTCCAAAGGTGCTGACAGAGTCTCTGAATTTTCTGGACAGAATTGAGATCCGAAGAGGAATTGCGAATCACTGAGACTGGAATAATCAGTCTGATTATTATTCGAGACAGATGCTTTAGTATTTCTGGAATTAAACAAGTGTATCAGTTGAACAAAATTCCGAACACATGAAATCATCATTCACAACTATTCATTTTAAAATATTCTGTTTTTCATTAACACATGTACACAGAAATAATTCCTTTTCTAAATGTTAAAAGTAATTAGATAGCACATTAGTACATATTCTAAGCCAAAGGAAGTTTCATTTTATAAAAACAAAAAATCTGTTTATAAATTGGTACAAGCAAAAATACTATTAATAAAACAAAAGAAACTTAATAGTTCAGCATAGAGAAGGACAATTATTTTCACTCATAGGTAATGGACTGCATGCATGTATTATAATATGGGTTGTATAATCACTGCTCAAAATAGTTCTCTGACTTTGCTCTTGGGACAAAGAGAATAATTAGCTGGGTTTAAAAAACCCAGATCTGTAAGCCTATTGAAATTATGTAGGATTTATGTCTTAAAGCTGTGATCTGGAATTAAAGATATTTTCCCTACTCTTTTTGACTTCTAAGCACCTTTTTCTTATTGAGAAATAAAGAGAATAATGCTCTAGGTCTTGAGAAATGAATAACTTGCTTCAGGAAGGGTATAGGAAGGAAAGAGACAAGAGATGACACTATGATAAAAACATAACCAAAGCAATTAGAAATCCCTTAAATATTCACCACTTCTGGAACATACCTACCAAGTTGGCAATGGCTGCTTATTTCAGGCTGGTGAATACCAATTTAAGTACTTCAGTGCAGTAGTAGCAGGAACAATATCTCCATGAGCCTTGTGGTCACTAAAGAGGCTTTAAAATCACAGTGCCTACAAATTACCCTACACAATTAAACATGAATCTTAACGTTGTCTTGACTTTGTTCCTTGCTATTTGAATAGAAGCCACCCAAACTGAAATAAATTTCCAGAAGGTGGACCATTTGTGACCCTCAGAGGACAAGTCTCTAGATAACAGTGTTTGATAACAAAGTCATTCTTCAGCTAACACACAAATCTGAATTGACATAACTTTTATAATCAAAAAATGAAAAGAAGGAAAAAGACAAGCAAGGGAAGGTGTAGTAGTAACAGAGGAAAGAAAGAGAAGAGACTGTATGGGGTACCTCTATTACTATAACCTGATAGGAAGAGATTCTCTTATGAAATCATGGGTTCTTACAAGTATCAGAGAATACAACCAGAAAACTTACCCAGAACCTGAAGGAATACTGAGCATTTCTTTGATATTCCAGACATTAAAATTCATTCTTTATGATTATTCCCTATTAGAACAGAGGAAAATTAAGAAGGTTAATATAGGGGCCAGTGTCACGGATGCTGGCATCCCATATGAAGTGCTGGTTCAAGTCCCAATTGCTTCACTTCTAATCCAGCTCCTGCTAACATACCTGGGAAAGCAGCAAAAGATGGTTTAGGTCCTTGGGCCCCTGAACCCATGTGGAAGACCCAAATGAAGCTACTGGCTTTGGCCAGGCCTGGCCATGGCCCTTGTGGCCATTTGGGGAATGAACTAGCAGATGGGAGACACCTCCCTATCTCTTTCTCTCTCTAACTTTGCCTTTCAAACAAATTAAATAATTAATTAATTAATAAAAAGGTTAATATAGTGTATTTTCCCCAAAGATTACTAATGTTTATTTTATGTAAATAAGGACATTTCAGGAGTGACATTTATATCCCATTGGTGAAATTTCCATTACCTCTGTGTCAAAAATAGGTATTTCTGTAATTAAATTATATGCAAATCCTCATTCATCTAAATACCAGGGAAAGGCCAAAGTCATCTATGAAACAAAAAATTGACCTTCCTTCCTCTTTGACCTTTATCTTTTGCCACCCTATTAGTAATCTGCTTTTATGACAGGACCAATAAACTCCATCCTTATTTGCCTGACACAATGAATGACTTAATTAATTAATTTATTATTTTTTTTGACAGGCAGAGTGGACAGTGAGAGAGAGAGACAGAGAGAAAGGTCTTCCTTCGCCGTTGGTTCACCCTCCAATGGCCGCCACAGCGGGCATGCTGTGGCTGGCGCACCGCACTGATCTGATGGCAGGAGCCAGGTGCTTCTCCTGGTCTCCCATGGGGTGCAGGGCCCAAGCACTTGGACCATCCTCCACTGCACTCCCGGGCCACAGCAGAGAGCTGGCCTGGAAGAGGGGCAACCGGGACAGAATCCAGCTCCCGGACCGGGACTAGAACCCGGTGTGCCAGCGCCGCAAGGCGGAGGATTAGCCTAGTGAGCCGTGGCGCCGGCCCCAATCTATTACTTCTAAGATTAGTTCTTGGGGTTGGTTGTGACATCCATATCCCATACTGGAATGCCAGTTTAAGTGACAGCTATTTCATTTCCTGACTCCAGCTTTGCCCAGACTTGGCTGTTGCAGCCATTTGGAGAGTGAACCAGTAGATGGAAGATCTATCAGATTTTATGCTAACATTGTGTTATCAGAAAATATGATTCCCATATGTATGGTGGAATAATTACATCAAACATCAAATACTGTCCCAACACAGACCTAGATAAAATGAAACACAAGTTCTGAATAGATATTTCAATGTACTTTACAAAAAAAATATTTATTTGAAAGGTGGAGTAAGAAAGGCAGAGGCAGAGAGAGAGAGAGATGTTTCTTCCAGTGCTTTACTCCCCAGATGGCTGAAATGGCTGGAGCTGGGCTGATCTGAAGCCAGGAGCTTCTTTCAGGTCTCTCATGCCAGTCCAGGGGCTCAAGGATTTGGGCCATCTCCTACTGCTTTCCTAGGCCATAGTGAAGAGCTGGATTGGGAGTGGAACAGCTGGGTCTCAAACATGGGCCCACATGGCAGCACTACAGATGGAGGCTTTACCCACTACACCACAGCCCTAGCCCTTCAATGTACTTTTTGTATGATTTAATCTTGTTTAAAGAAATCAGCACATGAAAATTTTCTAGAAACACAGATGCATTTGGGTTGTTTACATTTTTATTAATTGTAAGACAAATAGAACTCCCATTTGTTGGTTCAGTCCTCCAGTGCCTGAAACAGGGTTGAAGCCAGGAGTGGGGAACATAATCTATGTCTTTCTACTTGTAGGAACCCAATTATGTGAGCTATCACTTGTGGGGAGCAACTCGGACTAGACTAAGTTACTGGAATTAAGACTTATTCTATACATCTGCTCTCCCACAATATGGCGCTGGGAGAGGAGTAAAAACAACTTTTACACAGCTGCCTCCAGTTCAACCAGTAACCTGCAGGAGTTGATCCCGCTCCTGATTGGAGGAGAGCAGCGTACTCGGCATGTGGGTAGCAGAGTTGGGATTGGTGGAAGAGGACTATAAAGGAGGAGAGAGACAACATGCACCAGGAACATCTATCTGAAGGAACACCTGAGCAGCCCCCGAGAGAGCCGGCCGGCGGTGTGCTGCTCCCCCTCGGAAGTGGGGAAAGTGGCAGGGGGAACCGCCCTTCCACGGAGGTGGAAGGGTCAGTAGCCAACCCGGGAAGAACCAGCAGCAAACCCGGGGAGGGTCGAGCAGACAAAAGAACAGCGCAGGGTCCTGTGTCGTTCCTCCGCGAAGAGGGGGAGCGACAATCACTCAGCTCCCAGGGTCTGCATTGGCAAGAGGATGGAGTCGGGAGCCAGGGCTGGGAATAGAACCCAGACATTTTGATGTAGGACATGGGTTTTCTCCCTTCCATTCCTTTCCCTTCCCTTTCCCTTTTATTTGAAAAGCTGAAAGGCAGAGGTGACAGGGAAAGAGGCAGAGACAAAGAGATCTTCCATCTGCTAGTTCATTCCTCAAATGGCTGCAACAGCCGGGATTGGGGTTAGGCCAGGCAGAATCCAGGACCCTTGAACTCTACCCATGCCTCCAACATGGGTAGCAGGGGTCCAAGTACTTGAGCCGCCATCTTCTGCTTTCCCGGGCATGTTAGTGGGAAGCCAGATCAGAAGCAGAGCAGCTAGGACTCAAACTGGCTCTCCAATATGGGATGCCAGTGTCTCAGGCAGAAGCTTAAACTGTAGTGCCACAATGCTGGCTCCAACATGGGTGTCTTAATCACTAGGCTAAATATCCACTCCCAGCATTTTGGTCTTTATAACCACTTGTTTTGCTTGGGTCCCTGCACCCATGTGGGAGACCCAGAAAAAGCTGGCTTTGGATCAGCCCAGCTCTGGCCATCACAACCATTTGGGGAGTAACTGCCTTTCAAATAAGTGAATGAATCTTTAAAAAACAAACAAGAAAAAAGGAAATAAAACTGCAGAGCAAAATTTCTCATGGACATACATGAAAAGTCCTCAACAAAATAGAGGTAGCATTTGTCTTACCAGTTAGAATGCCAGTTAAGATAACCATGTCCCGTATTGGAGTGCCTGAGTTTGATTTCCAGCTCTATCCATTCCACCTTCCTGCAATGCAGACCCTGGTATGCAGTGGTGATGGCTAAAATAGTTGGGTCCTTGAAACTTACATAAGAGACCTGGATTGAGTTCCTGGCTCATGTGCTTGGCCTGACACAATCTTGGCCACTGCAGGCTTGAGGTGAGCTAACAGTGTATGGGAGCTCTTTGTGTGTGTTTCTCTTTCTGCCTTCCAGATGAAAATGAAAATAACTTTAAGAAATGCAATTAATGTAATCCATTGCACCAATAGGCTACAGAAGAAAAATCACATGATCTTACAAAGAGATTCAGATAATGCGTTTTACAAAATCCAATACCTATTAAAGATAAAGACCCTCAGCAACCTAGGAATGCACGTGAACTTGCTCATCTCATAAAGAATATATACAGGGGCTGGTGCAGTGGCACAGCAGGTTAATCCTCTGCCTGCAGCGCTGGCATCCTGGATGGGCGCCAGTTTGAGTCCCAGTTGCTCCTCTTCCTATCCAGCTCTCTGCTATGTCCTGGGAAAGCAGTAAAAGATGGCCCAAGTACTTGGGCCCCTGAACCCACATGGGAGATGTGGAAGAAGCTCCTGGTTTTGGATGGGCTCAGCTCTGGCTGTTGCAGCCATTTTGGGGGTGAACCAGCAGACAGGAAATCTTTCTGTTTCTCCCTCTCACTGTAACTCTGCCTCTGAAATAAATAAATATCTTTAAATATATATATATATATATATATACAACAAACCTACAGCTAACATCATAGTTAGTGGAGATAAAATAAAAACTTTCAGAAATAGAACTACCAGGGTATCCAGCAACCCCACTATTGGAAATATACCCAAAATAATGAAATCAACCTCTTGAAGAGTCACTGAGAGTCCCATGTTTATTGTAGCACTATTTTTAACATCCAGGATATGGAATCAACATAAATGTTTATCAACAGGTGAATGGATAAAGAAAATGTGGTATAAATACATAATGGAATATTATTCAACCATAAAAAGCATGAAACCAGTTATTTGCAACAGTGTGGATATACAGGAAGACACTAAATAAGTTAAACACAGAAATACAAACACTGCATTATCTCATAAGTGGAAACTAAAATTTGATCTCATACTAGTTTCCAGAGACTGGGGAGAGCAGGGGTTGGGGATGGGGCAGAGGTTAGTCAATGGATGCCATATTACAGTTAGACAGAAGGAATAGGTTCTGTGTTCCATGGCATCTCAGGGTGAATATAATTAACAGTAATGCAATATGTATCTCAGAAGAGAATTTTGAATATACCCACCATAAATAAATGATAAAAATTAAAGATGATAATTATGCTAATCACCCTGAGTCAATCATCACCCAATCAATATAATCTTGAATCAAAACATCACAATGGGGACTGGCATTGCCATAGGTTAAACTGCCACTTGCATCATCAGCATTCCATATTTGAACAACAGTTTGAGTTCTGGCTACATCACTTCCGATCTAGCTTCCTTCTAACCCAACAAGACCCAAGTGATTGGGTCCCTGCCACCCATGAGGGAAAGAGGATGCAGATTCTGTCCCAGACATTGCTATTGCAGCCATTCGAATAGTGAACCAGCTGATGAAAGATTTCTCTCTTTCTGACTCTCCTCTCTCTCTCTGTTGCTCTGCCTTTCAAATAAATAAACAAATAAATCTTCAAATGTAAAAACATCACACTGGGGGTAGGTGTTCTGTGCAACAATTGTTGAGGGAGAGAGCACCTGGCTCCTGGCTTCGAATCTGCGCAGCACTGGCCATGGCGGCCATTTGTGGGGTGGGCCAATGGAGGGAAGACCTTTCTCTTTGTGTCTCTCTCTCTAACTTTGCCTGTCAAAAAAAAAAAAAAAT